GAAGCGGCATTGGCTAAGAGCAAATTTGTATTCCGTATATCAACAATAATTACCCATAACCACTTTCAATAGTTAAAACACACACAATAATTAAAACCTTTGATAGTTTCGAGCCTCTACTTTAATGGGTTTATTGTTTTTCTCGCGCTAACAATGGACGAATTTCCCATCGAAAAAGGTAATATATAAAATATAATGTTTATTAACAATCAGATGAAAAGCTCTCCGGTGCACCGGAGGTCGATAACATTTTCGTTTCGCAATCAAACGCTTTTTATTTATACAATGGAGGATAAAAAAAAATTAAAACGGAATTAAAATTAATACGACTGCGTGTACCGATAACTATTGTGTTATTAACGGGACAGGTTAAAATATCACTCCGAATGCGACCAGTTTCTAGCTGTATTCGACTTGTATTAACTGTACAAGTTCATTTCGAACGTTTTAATTTAATTATGACGTTATTTTTAGTAATATCCGCGCAATTCAAAATTCCCCTAGGGCCAATGTTAAATCCGCCGTAAGTCTAGGGGAATTTGACGACGCCAAGTTGAAATACCGATGCGTTGTTGCCATATCGTTAGTTTAAAACGAGTTTTGACTGAAATTTGTTATTTTTGTGACTTTCCCAGAGTTTTTTTGTCTTTTTCTGGAGCGTTATAGATGATTCTAGACAGTTCTAAATGGTTTTGGACCGCTCTAAATGGTTATAGACAGTTTATAACGATTCTGGAGCGTTCTAAATGATTCTAGACTGTTCTAAACGATTCTGGAGCGTTCTAAATGATTCTAGACAGTTCTAAATGGTTTTGGAGCACTCTAAATGATTCTAGACAGTTCTTAACGATTCTGGAGCGTTCTAAATGATTCTAAATGGCAGTTCTAAATGGTTTTGAAGCGCTTTAAATGATTCTAGACAGTTCTAAATGGTTTTGGAGCGTTCTAAATGATTCTAGACAGTTCTAAACGATTCTGGAGCGTTCTAAATGATTCTAGACAGTTCTAAACGATTCTGGAGCGTTCTAAATGATTCTAGACAGTTCTAAATGGTTTTGGAGCGTTCTAAATGATTCTAGACAGTTCTAAACGATTCTGGAGCGTTCTAAATGATTCTAGACAGTTCTAAACGATTCTGGAGCGTTCTAAATGATTCTAGACAGTTCTAAATGGTTTTGGAGCGTTCTAAATGATTCTAGACAGTTCAAAAACGATTCTTAATTTACATGTAATCTGGTTAGTTCTCCCTGTATGCATGTTTGTTTGATAATCGCCGGGGTGAGACCGAACCAGCATGTTCTTTTTGTTGTTGTATATATAATGTATGCATAGATGGTCGGCTTGTATTAGCTCCTCTTCGATATCTTCTTCAAGGTCGCGGAACCGCAACAACTGTAATTTTCATATATGAAACGTAATCGAGTCCGGAGGATCGAATTAAATTACACGGTGGCTTTTTTTTTTTTTTTCGGGTCGATAGAAACGGATATCTGTTTATCGCTAATTTTCGGTTTATCGATGGCTTTTGATTGATTCGAATGATGGCGGTTTTTTTTTCGTATAATAGAAGCGTTTAGAGCTTAATAAAATTTCGAGTGGTGTTATTACGAATCTTAGTTGTTGCATTTTATTGATGTATTTTTCTGTTACTAATTCGATATGCACGAATCTGTTCTATTGTATTTGGAAAAAGCGAGAACGCGGCCATTTACGCTTCCCTAAATAATATGCCAATTAAATGGTTAATTAAACGAACGTCGAAAAAGTTGCTACGAAATTCCGAAAATACATTCGACTTGGTAGGTCTATACCCGTTTTTTTTTTAGTATAATTTTTATTTGTTTCGAATAGTTCCAGTCGACCGATTAATTTTCGTTAAATGTACATAAAAACGCGCAGCATAAGTTTCTGTCAAACGTCAACAGTCAAAAACCCAGCCGAGCGACTCGATTTGTGGCACAAAAACGCGCAGAGCAGTGTCTGTCAAACGTCAACAGTCAAAATATATAAACCAAGCGACTCGATTTGTGCGTATTTCGAGCTTCCAATAGAATAATCTTCGCGGAGCTGGACGTGCACAAACTATTTTAATTTATTCCAATAAGGCATCGGTACAACGACCCACATTCTTTGCATAATGCGCGGACATGTCTTTTGTTGTTGCTGTTCGCTGGCCGGAGCGTTTATCGTCCGTTCTCACAGATCTCTATCTACCTAATGCAAAACGTCCATTTTTTTTGTTGTTCTTTTCTTTAATTTCATTTCGTTCTATCATCTCCGGGTAATTTATTAGACGTTACGTGACGCCGATAACGTCACTTGTCACTCGCTAACAATTCTCGCTCCTTTGCTATCTCTATCAGCGGATCGGTGTGCTAGAAAAGGAGCGAGAATTCAAGATGATCGAACCTCCTGTAATTTCTAAGGTCTGGAATCTCCCTATGCTTATGCATTAGAGAATATGTCCTGTTATTTGAGGACTTTTTGAGCTTCACTTTTGAAGGACCAACTTATCTCATCCAATCAGCGTCGCGCTACATATAAATCACGCTTGTGTGAAATGACAGTTCGAGCTGTCAAAAGTGTCAAAAATTATTTTTTGATATTTCGAGGAGAAAATGGAGAAATTCATTAACCGAAGGTACGCGAGGTGTGACGTTAACAACAAACCCATCGCTGATTTAAGTATATTTTTATATTTTCTATTTATTTTTAGTTTCAATGTAATCTTTCTTAATGTTAATTCTATATAATTCGTACGCAAAAAAATCTTGACGTTACGTGACGCCGATAACGTCACTTGTCACTCGCTAACAATTCTCGCTCCTTTGCTATCTCTATCAGCGGACGGGTGTGCTAGAAAAGGAGCGAGAATCCAAGGTGAGCGATACTCCTGTATACTCGAAGAGTATCTATTAGATCAATTTCGCTTTGTTTGCGATTCCTCGCTACAATTCGAATTGACATTACGTTCGTTGTAATCATTCATTTACCAGGTAATTGCGTAATTGCGAAAGAATCCATGCGATTTATTTCAATTTCGTTCGTTATATACAAAATTATATTCCACCAGATGCAACGAGACGAGCGAAATGATTGTTGAAATCATTAAAAATTCCAACTTCCAAGCTATGTACGGCGAGGTATAAGCTTCAATTAGAGCTTACTAATTACCCAAAGCACTAAATACTTAGAGTACGATTTGTTTACGCCGATAATTAGCATATTTTTATCGACGATGCCCATCGACTACTTCTAATATTCACTTTACTCGAGAGCCTTATCTGGTGCTGTAATAACACCACTAAGGAGCTCCTCGAGCTCTAACTCTCTTGTAATAAATGTTTCGAATACTTTTATAAGCATCTCATAGCGCGTTTTCTAACGATTATTGTGTATAGCTCATCGAGATGAGCCAATCGCGATTGCAAATACATAAATCGAGGTGTATTTGCCGGTAAATAAATAGTTAATTAGGGTATTACTGGGGCTCGGATTGTATATAGTTTAGTGGGCGTCGGTCATTGAACAATCCGAGGTAAATTGGTAGTAAATTAATCGATAACAATTGGACAATGACGACCTCACAAGTGCATAAAGCGAACTTTCCCCCCGAGGAGGTTTTGTGAAGACAATAGGCGAATTTATAAAACTCTTTGTGTAATGATGATTGTAAATTAGGGCGCTTTATTGGCCATGTAAACGTGAATAGGTAGCCTGAGTTTGGCGAATTTGATTTGAATATAATTGAATTTTTAAACGATATCGAAATTTTGCATCAAAAATTTTGTTATCTGCCTAATCCCAAGCAATACTTTTTCACATTACTCTGTATTCTACTCTCTATTCTCTACTCTCGATGCTAATTAAAGCTTTCTAGTCTCTAATCTCTAGTCTCTAGTTTCAGTTTTTTAGTCTCCAATCCCTAGTTTCTAGACGCTAATTAAAGCTAGCTAACTAAATGCATCTATCAAAGTGCTTTTATTACGGGAATTTTTACTACCTTTAGGCGGATAATACAAGAAGTTCTTTAAGAAAAAAAAAACAAACCTAAATCCATTATTAAGGGGGAAATATTCGCTGGAAATAAACAATTCGTTATTTCCTTTAGCGGAGGCGAGTCGATAACGAGTATCATTACGAGAGGTTCGGGATTATTATAATAAGCCGATTGAAAAATTTTATTAATAAGGGATTTCCTTTTGCAGACGAGCCATTCGTTGGTACCGTTATGGTCGTAAAAGTTAAAATAGTTAAAGGTTATTTCGCTATTCGTACAATCGATTTTATATTCGATGTTAATAAGGCAGTTAATAAGTTGTTTTTTTTAATTATTTTCTTGTAGTAGGATAGGAAATGAAAATTCCGATAGATTTAATAACGCAATCGTTTAACATACCGAATTATACAATGCGTTAGCCGGGAATTTAATCTTTAATCTTAGATTAGAGACCATTAAAACATATAATTAACGACCCTTGTACGCCGCAGAATTCAATTTCCTCATAATTTTCCAACAATCGATATCTGTAGCTAACGATAATTTCGTGCATTATTGGCTGAAAGCCAGATCGGGAACAGTCCCAAACCGATAGCCGATAAATGGAATGGATAAATCTATTTAAAATAATGGTGGAGGAGACAAAATAATGGTGGAGGAGGCAGGTGTTATGCATTACTAAATTTCCACATTGGTAAAGTCATTGGTAACAAAGTTATTGAGTTAAATAGTCGAAAACATTTTTTTCTCTCTTAATTGAGTAGTCTATAAAATCTCCATTCTCTAGTCTCAAATTAATAGTTTCCAATCTCTTGTCAAGTGTCTAAATTAGATACATTTTTATGCATTTTTAAGCTTATTTTACATCATCAGAATTTAATAATTAATTTCATACAACAATATATAATGGAGTTACGGCTCGTTTCGATATTTTCGTCGAAATAACCGGGTTAAATTTGCATTGTAAATAAGTTGTTGTATGTATTCAACATCGAGATGAGAACAATGTAGTTGTTGAGACATCACCGTTGATCTACTTGACCGGAATGTAGCGAAATAGACTCCCGTTTTACACGCTCCGTTGGATTTATGCATGTTTTTATAATAATAAGATGCATAATAACATTTATATACATGTCTTTATAAGAGGGAAATGAATGCTGATGGAGTTTATATTTCGCTGTATATATTAATCTCGAAATAGCTTTACCTACGTAATTTACACGAAAATAACTAAATATCTAAATTAGTTTGTTGTTTTTTTGTAATCGAGTTTTTACTCAATAAGCGTTTGTTTATCTCTATCATCTTCGACTGGTTCGTTTTTTTGTGCTACTAATTTGCCGATTTGCGATTTCGCCATCAACATTTTGGCTTTGTAGTGTTGAATGTAGCGTTCTCGCTGCCTGTACGATTGCCCCATCATGTTTTCCGATTCCCTTCTTATTTCTAAAAATTATCATTTATAATCGAATCGAATACATCTTATATTCTCCATTTCCGATTGCAACATGATCGTTTCTATGAGTGGAACAAAGAAAGATTATTAAAATGACAGTTGTCAGAGTAAACAAGTGACAGGTGTCAGAGTGAAACGTTGCAATGACACAAATGTCACTCTTTCCTTTTCCTTCGTAACTGTCTAATGGAAGTTGTCTTTATCGCACTTATACAATCTATGTTGCGATCTGGAATGAAGCAACCTGTAAACGAAATCATCTACCATCGAACCAATCGTTTAAAACAGCCAATTTCTTCTGTTCTTTCTTGTGAAACTCCCGCATGGCGATTTTCGATTTTTCCGACGCCGACAAATCCGTCAGATGCCTCGCCAGGACCCCGTACGAAAAAATCCACGACTCCTCCGCGGTTTTCATCCTCCTGGAATCGATTAGAGAATCGAAGCGTTCATATGGAGAATTTTTTTTTGATTACCTGGCCTTCCTGATGGTGTCCTCGTCGATCGGCACTTCGTAGTATTTCGACCAATCGACCGACGGCAGGATTTTCTCGAGGAAAATCTCCCGATTCAACGACCGCTTGCCCGGCTCGAGGCACAAATCCGGATTGGGAATCGAGTGCTCTCGAATGAATTGCTCCCTGCGAAGTAAAGGGGATAGACGGCAAGTTTTTTTTAATACCAGCAGAAGCAGAAATAGAGAATACATTTTTTTCACGCTTACCTAGTCTTTAAAGCTTTCGCGAAAGCAGCCGTATGGCTTCTGCTGTATTCCTGCTTGATGGCCTTCAGTAAATCGTCCTTTTCGGTGTCCTTGTAGAAAGCGATGTGATCGCAGTTGTTGAAATACACCTCCATCGTCCAACGAGGACCGTCGTTTCTTAAAAAATTACCCAAAAAATAATCAATTCTTTTACTAAAAGCAGAACTTTTACTATATTCCCAACTAACCACAACTACAATTAGCTAAATCCCCAATTAACCTCATCTACAATTAGCTAAATCCCCAATTAACCTCATCTACAATTAGCTAAATCCCCAATTAACCTCATCTGAAATTAGCTAAATCCCCAAATTAACCTCATCTGCAATTAGCTAAACCCCCAATTAACCTCATCTACAACTAGCCGAATCCCCAATTAACATTCGATTTCGATTAACATTACTCCAATTGTCTCAAGTGCGACGATTTGCTCATCAACGTGGAAACGTTGGAGGCGGTAGGTCTGATCAGAAACTTCTGCCTCTCTTTGTCCACGTTGTTCCATTCGGGGGCGGTCAAGGGCCAGCAGCCCTGCTCTATGGTGGCCTCTATCACGAATCTTTCCTCCGGGATTTTCAGATTGGCGAAGATCTGGTTGTCCTGCTGCACGACGTGCTCAGCCAATAGATCTTTCTTCGAATGCTTCATGTCTTTAATTCAACGTTGTTTAGTGAGGTATTTTTGATGAGTTAATTGGATGTACCTTTGCGCGATTTTCCTTCGAGTTCCACCGTGCAACTCGATTCTTTTTCTGTTAATTGTGCTAGTTTGTTTTCTATTGTAAGCGATGGTACTGTAACGTAACCGATTCCTTCGACTTCCACTAATTTATCGTCCGGTTCTTTGGCGTTGAAAATGCTTAGTTTCATGTTCACTTTGGGGTAGTCGGTGAACAGATGCAACGTTATATTAGTGATATCGGATTTGAGCGCCAAAATGTATCTAAAAATCTTTCAATTACAAGTAGAACGGATTGGAGTGCACCAAGTGCTAAAGGTGTAGGAATGTGTAGGAAGGTGTAGGAAGGAGTGGGAAGCAGTAGGAAGGAGTAGGAAGGAGCAGGATGGAGTAGGAAGGTGTAGGAAGGAGCAGGATGGAGTAGAAAGGTGTAGGAAGGTGTAGGAAGCAGTAGGAAGGAGTGGGAAGCAGTAGGAAGGAGTAGGAAGGAACAGGATGGAGTAGAAAGGTGTAGTCGTCAGTTATACATTGGATTGGAGTGCACCAAATGCTCGCCTGCACAAAACGTTGCAATTGTTAGGTATGTAGTAGTTCGATATGACCTCCTTCCGCGGTACTTTGCTCGAAAACGCCACGTAGTCTTCGATATTGTCCGGCCGACAGGCGAACATTATCTTGCAATTCAAAAACGTCTGTTTATCGGCCCATCCGAACGCCACTGCCGTGTAACCAGCGGCGTTCGCGGGATATTCGTTCACGGCAGAGTCGTTGACGTGGCTCTTCATCTTCTCCGACGTGTCGTTGTCGTAGACGACCAGATAGTACCGGCTCAAGTTGCAGAAGAGGCTGATCCTCAATGTTAGCGGGTGCTCGGTGCGCACGTGGAATATCTGCCTCGAAATGAATATCCAACCGTTGTCGATCGATTTCAAATTCACGTGGAAGAGCGCCAGCGATACGTCGTTGTCCAACGTCCGGTACCACGTGTACTTGCTTCGGAAATCCGATAGCTCGTCGCTTTGGATGAATTTGCGCAGCGTCGCCGCCCCTGGAATTTATACAAAAGCTTCAAAAAGTATTTTTCTTCTACAATTCAGCTATTCATCGTGTACTCTCATCCCCAATTAGCTATATCCTCAATTAACCTCATCTACAACTAGCTAAATCTCCAATTAACCTCATCTACAACTAGCTAAATCTCCAATTAACCTCATCTACAACTAGCTAAATCTCCAATTAACCTCATCTACAACTAGCTAAATCTCCAAATAACCTCATCTACAACTAGCTAAATCCACAATTACCTTCATCCCCAATCTCCTACATGCCCGCTTAGCTATATCCCCAATTAACCTCATCTACAACTAGCTAAATCTCCAATTAACCTCATCTACAACTAGCTAAATCTCCAATTAACCTCATCTACAACTAGCTAAATCTCCAATTAACCTCATCTACAACTAGCTAAATCTCCAAATAACCTCATCTACAACTAGCTAAATCCACAATTAACTTCATCCCCAATCTGCTTCATACCCGCTTAGCTATATCCCCAATTAACCTCATCTACAACTAGCCAAATCCCCAAATAACCCCATCTACAACTAGCTAAAACCCCAATTAACTTCGAAACCGTTTCTCGCCTAATCGCTTTTCGTTGTGGACGAATTTCTCGACGACGCCGGCCAGAAGGACGGCCGTTTTGGAGTGCCTGGACGAGCCCAAGGCGTGGTGGCGGGTCAACAATCGCTCGTAGACGCCCCTGAAGAACGATTGTATCCCGGTGGCGGCGTCGTGCATCATCTTCACGTACACCTTCTCGTCGTCGAAGACGCGATAGCAGAATTGCGATAGATCGTTGACGTCGCATCGCCGGCTCGATTCCAATTGCCATTTCCTGAAGAGGATCTTCACCGCCTGACGGTAGATGTCTTTAATGCTTGTAGCATATAGGAGAAAATGGCGATTGAGTTACCCGGAGCGCGTCGTCGCCCAAGGTCTTCTGAACGGAGTCGAAGAACTTGTCGAAGAACGCCTCTTGTATACCCAACCATTCCTGTTTGGTGACCTCTTCTTTCGGTTTGAAGCACTTGTAGAACTCCTTCAACACCACCACGTAGGATTCGCGTCCGAACGACGCCACCAACGCTCGAAGAGTGTCCACCAACGAGGAATACGCCACCCTGAATTGGATCGAATCTCTCCCTATATCGAAATCGAACCAATCAAAACGACGTGTAATCGAAATACAAACCATCAACCGACCCATCAGAGTAAGAGTCTCCTCCAAGGTGCCCACGCACAGGTACCCGTTCGACACCACTTGCACCGCGTAGGGCCGATCGACTTGCAACCACATTTGGAACAAATGTCTGCCGGGCGTCAGGTGCAACACCATGCAACCCGATCCCAAAGTGGCGAGCGCCCCCTCGCGCAAATCCACGCGATCGCTGTCCCATTTGAACTTCGTCACCACCACGGACGCGCGGGCGTCGTCGTGCTCCGCGTTCCTGAGCACCTTCACGATGCTGCTCTGGACCGGCCTGGCTTCGCTTCGAGCGTTTCTCGCGCAGTAGCGCTTCACGCGCTCCAAGTAGTTCGAGATGCACAGGTCGCATTCCGATTCGACGGCGTCGGCGAGAAACTCCCGTTCGGCGAGGCGCGTCGTTATGGCGTCCAAGCAGCCCGAGTAGTTCAAATTGACGACGACGCTTTGCTCTTCCAGGCTGTCGGAGAAGATGTACAAAGGCTCGTTGCGGTGCTGTTGCATGGCCAGAGGTCGAACGATTTCCTTCCAATTGGTGCCGATCAAATCGACCAGCGATTGGGCCAACGTGGGTTTCTGTTGCTTGGGGATGTTCTCGCTGGTCATGTTCGATATTCTCGTCTTGGATTTGTAGGTGGAGGGCATGTAGTAGATGGTGACGTATTTCAGTTGTCGGTGGATTTGGTCCAGGTCGAGCCATTCGGTGATGTCTTTCAACGGCGGTGGATTGGCGTTCGGTTTGTTGGTCGCTTTGGATTTGCTGTCTTGCGCTGTAATCGACGATTGTAGTTGTGGTGGAAGTTGTGGGGTGGTTGGTGAGGGGTACATGGTTTGGATTCCATAGTGAGGTCGGAAAGGACGCTGCTTTGGTATCTGCATCTGAACGGATCCACCGTTTTGAAGCTGCGGATCGGATTCGGCGGGCAACGGGGATTTATTAGTTTGTGTTCGATGGCCCAATCGATCCATCTGTAGCGCTTCCAAGCTTCGAATTCTTCGTCGCAAGACGGTTTTAGTATCGGTACTGTTCTGGTTTGTACCACCAGTAACCCGTGGGTCCAATCTCGTATATTTTCTTTATCGCTATACATACATAAATTATCTATAAACACTTTTTTTTTTGGTGTTAATTTTTACCTGTTTAAGGATATCCCGAGGACTACAACGAATCGATTTTTAGTATCGACCAGTAGGTTGGATCGAGTAGAAGATTTTCGTTGCTCCGAGCTTTTTCTTCTGTCGGTTGAAGGAGTGGCCGATATCGGATCGGACCAGGTGTATTGCGATGTATAATCCATGCAAATTTGCCACACTTTCAACGGGTCCATGTCTGGAAGAGAAATCTAGAAGTCTAGATGTAGAAGAAACAGTAGCTTACAAGTTGTATCGATTTTGTTGAAGATCCAACCGGTCAGACATTGGATGATATCGAAATCGAGCAATTCGTTGTCTTTCTTCCAAGTCAAACTGGCCACGATCATGAGCGCTTTGGTGAGAAGAATCGGCCATAATTCCACCACGTTTCTTCTAGACTAGTAACGAGTTTATTACGATTTGTTTTAAGAGTTAGATGAAGCTTTTACCAACGATTTTTCGCTCTTCGGTCTGCCCGAAACTACAGGCGTTTCTTCGTTTTGGAAATGCGAATGGAACAAATAGGGCAACAACAATTGATCGCTCTCGCTAACCGGCACTTTATCGCTAACATAGATCTTCTTCCAAGATCCCAACCAAAAGAGTCGAACGACATATTTCCCTAGAATAATCCCAACACGACCAGTAGAAGAAATTCTTCGAACACCCGTTGGTACAAGAGATTTTTGCAGAGGCTTATACCTCACAAGAAGAATACCCACCAAACTTATTAACCGTAGGCGAATGGTTGTAATTCTTCCCCGATTTGCAATTGGAATAAACGTGATGCCAAGGTCTCCAGCGCTCTTTATCGAACGAAGGCGAGAAACCCTGCGATACATACTCCACCGAAAACTGCCGCACGTTGCTCAAATAATAGAGCGTCTCCATGCTGGTGACGAAGCTCCGCATGAAGTCCGAACACATCAGGTGCTCGTTGGCCGTCATCAGGTCCGGATAGGACGGATTATCGTCCAATTTCACCACGAAATCCGTCTGTAAATTCCCCACTAAACTCCGCTCCTGCATTGGAGGTTTGTACTTACATCCACGAAGTACTCCCCGATGGGTTTCCATTGGTACCCCTGCAAACTGTGCGGCAGAAGAACCGCGTAGACGTCCATGAACCCTTCGGTGTTCTGGAAGAGAAATGCTGCTGGAGTGTTCGATGAAAGGATTTGTAAATGGGTTTTACGATGGTTGATTGTTGGTCCCATCTCTCGTTGTTGATATCGGAATCGGTGAATTCCTGGAATGGAATGGAATTGGAATCGTCCGGTTGGTACGCCGGAGTGTACAATTCATTGGGGGCTGGTTGTTGAGCTGCGAACATCTTGTTCGATGTCATCTGAACGTTTTCGATCCTTCAATGCGTCAGGTTTTCGAAGCTCGATTCGCTGGAATTCGCCGGTAGAGGCGCGCGTGCGCTGGATTGGAGGTAGCCGAAACGTGCTCGATGCATTTTCGGTTTAGAGCTGTTGGGGGAGATTTCGTCGCGTTCGCTCGCTCAGAACTGGCGGATCTTTCGCCTCGAATCGTCCGGTTAATTCGGCGTTGAAAGTTTTCGTTGATATGTGAAACCGGTTGATTAGAATCGATTGTACAAAGGTGAGTTGATTAATTACTATACTTCTTGCTACTGGTATTTAATTAGAGGCATCGCTGGAATATTTTTTCACCTCTAAACATTTTACATTTTAATTTTCTACCGGGTTAAAACGAGGCGTAGTTTCATCGGTTTTCGCTGAATTTTCTAGCGTTATTTTCCCTCTAGTTTGTCCGAGTATAATAAATATCTCTCGCGCCTTTATACCCTTCAAATGAATACTAAGTGGTGTTTAATGCTACTAAATGGTTCATCTGACAAGCCTAACACGGGGGTAATTAATAAGAAAAAGCGCCTTTGTGAAACTATAATTTTAGTTGTCTTGGGGTTATTTGAAAATTATGTTTTAATGAACCCCTAGGGGATGGTTCGGACGAGCCGGGTCTAATTAGAAATCTCCGATAGGGGTCGAGTTTTGATGCGAAGGGTGGGATTAAATCCGCTCGAAATATAGTGTAATACTTACTGAAAATTTTTATAAACTATTTATACTTTAAAAAGGAATTTTTATAATCAAAACTTGGGCGATAGAGGTCGGAATTAGAGGAAGTTTCTCTAATAAACTCCCGCGAGGCGCTATTGACATTCCGGGGAAAGTTTTTTATGTTTATTATGGCGAATGTACTCGGCTGGTTCCTCGTTGAGTAAACTCCGCGCTCGTGGTTAAAGTGCAGAAGTTTCCTAACGAGCAGGAATTTTTTCGACGGTTTGAATTCGCGTTTACATCATCGATTCCAAATATAAAGTTTGTTTATTGAATTTTATATCATTCTGCGAGTCGTATAAATTCGTCGAAAAATATTTTAATATCGAAGTGTAGAAGTACTAAATGGATTGTGTGAATCGACTATTACTACAATATCGAGAGGAATATTATTTTTGCCTGCAGTATAGGGTTTTATTGTTGACTTTATAATGTAATATAAAGTAAAATGAGCGATCGTAAACCGGCGCTGGCGTATTTCCTGCAAAGGAAAAGCCAATTTACTGGTAGATTAGGCGACTGGAAGCCGACGATAAGCGTTCTGACAACTCTACACTCTCTGAACGTCTGTTGCTCCATTTGGAAACTGGAGAGAACTGGGAAATATAACGCGATTGAATTCACTTTTATATCGGCAGAGATAAAGGGAATGTGTCGATGTGAAAACGGTTCGTAAATAATCGCGCAATTCGGTCAATTGGATTATCTACTTTAGTAGGAGGAATAAATGTTTGTATACAAAAGGTTATGGATGTAGGAATTCAAATTTAAAGGTTTTAAAATTTAGCTATATCGTCGAAATCTTGTAATGTCAGCAGAATTTAGGAATATTAACAGATTTATTGACTTTTTCAAAGTCTAATAATATCCACAAAATCTAGTAGAATCCTCAGAATCTAGTAATATCATCAGAATCTAGTCATATCACCAGATTCTAGGAATATTAACAGATTTATTGACTCTTTCAAAGTCTAATAATATCCACAAAATCTAGTAAAATCCTCAGAATCTAGTAATATCATCAGAATCTATTCATATCATCAGAATCTATTCATATCATCAGAATCTAGTCATATCACCATATTCTAGGAATATTAACAGATTTATTGACTTTTTGAAAGTCTAATAATATCCACAAAATCTAGTAGAATCCTCAGAATCTAGTAATATCATCAGAATCTATTCATATCATCAGAATCTATTCATATCATCAGAATCTAGTCATATCACCATATTCTAGGAATATTAACAGATTTATTGACTTTTTGAAAGTCTAATAATATCCACAAAATCTAGTAGAATCCTCAGAATCTAGTAATATCATCAGAATCTAGTCAAATTACCAGATTCTAGGAATATTAACAGATTTATTGACTTTTTGAAAGTCTAATAATGTCCCCTAAATCTAGTAAAATCCTCAGAATCTAGTAATATCATCAGAATCTATTCATATCACCAGAATCTAGGAATATTAACAGAATTAGTGACTTTTTCAAAATCTACTAATATCCCCAAAATTTAGTAATATCATCAGAATCTAGTCATATCACCAAATTCTAGAAATATTAGCAGATTTATTGACTCTTTCAAAGTCTAATAATATCCACAACATCTAGTAAAATCCTCAGAATCTAGTAATATCATCAGAATCTATTCATATCACCAGATTCTAGGAATATTAACAGATTTATTGACTCTTTCAAAGTCTAATAATATCCACAAAATCTAGTAGAATCTTCAGAATCTAGTAAAATCCTCAGAATCTAAAAATATCACCAGAACCTAGTAAAACCACCGGATTTATTGACCTTTTCAAAATCTACTAATATCCCCAAAATCTAGTAATATCATCAGAATCTAAAAATATCACCAGAACCTAGTAAAACCACCGGATTTATTGACCTTTTCCAAAGTCTAATAATATCCCCAAAATCTAGTAATATCTTCAGAATCTAAAAATATCACCAGAACCTAGTAAAACCACCGGATTTATTGACCTTTTCAAAATCTACTAATATCCCCAAAATCTAGTAATATCATCAGAATCTAAAAATATCACCAGAACCTAGTAAAACCACCGGATTTATTGACCTTTTCCAAAGTCTAATAATATCCCCAAAATCTAGTAATATCTTCAGAATCTAAAAATATCACCAGAACCTAGTAAAACCACCGGATTTATTGACCTTTTCAAAATCTACTAATATCCCCAAAATCTAGTAATATCATCAGAATCTAAAAATATCACCAGAACCTAGTAAAACCACCGGATTTATTGACCTTTTCCAAAGTCTAATAATATCCCCAAAATCTAGTAATATCTTCAGAATCTAAAAATATCACCAGAACCTAGTAAAACCACCGGATTTATTGACCTTTTCAAAATCTACTAATATCCCCAAAATCTAGTAATATCATCAGAATCTAAAAATATCACCAGAACCTAGTAAAACCACCGGATTTATTGACCTTTTCCAAAATCTACTAATATCCCCAAAACCTAGTAACATCATCAGAATCTACCAATATCACCAGATTACCGATACACAATTCCACCCACCTTTACTCCCTGTCACCTCAAACCGACCTCACGTCCGTCAATATGACATTCGACCGATCCGAAACCCGATGATCCCCCCCCGATGAGATTCCTCGGACTGTTCTGGCCGTCGCCCATCATCGAACTGACCGCCCAAAACTTCGGCGACGTCATCCGCAACAATCGCCTCGTGCTGGTCTACTTCCACAAGCCCTCCTGCCGCTTCTGCAAGAAATTCGAGCCGGAATTCGCCAAAGTGGCCCAAACGCTGCAGGTCAAAGCGCCCGACGTGAAGGTGGCCAAATTGAACGGCCTCACCGAGACCACGATCGCCACCGAACAGGGCATCGAAAGGTAAATTCTGATGATGATGATGGTGATGGTGATGAATTGATCGATTAGTTTGATGAGTGTGTTTTCGTCTTGTAGATATCCCACTGTTAAGTTGTTCAAAAAGACCGTGGGGATTAGGTATGAAGGACCCCAGGAGGCTTTGAAGTTGATCAACTGGTTGGACCAAAGGATATTCTACAATGAAACTTAGTTGGGTTGTTTGCTAGTTTTGAATTTAATAAAACAAATTCGATGTAGAAAAACGAAGTTAATTAATCGATTAGTTTGATGAGTATTTCGTCTTGTAGATATCCCACTGTTAAATTGTTCAAAAAGACCGTTGGGATTAGGTATGAAGGACCCCAGGAGGCTTTGAAGTTGATCAACTGGTTGGACCAAAGGATAATCTTCAATGAAACTTAGTTGGTTTGCTATAGTTTGAATTTAATAAAACAAATTCGATGTAGAAGAAGGAATTTTTTAGCAAAATATGCTCCAGTTTCCAGACGCATTAAGATCGCCTTTCGATTATTATATTTCGAGAAGTTTGTTGAGGAAAAATCGATGGGGGATTTCGACTAAATTTAATTCCACGGCGATGTGATTTATTCGAATTTGCATAAGAACGAGCGAAACTTTCCAGAAATTTTCCGAGGATACGCTTTCGCTACTCGATTTTGCAGCGCTAAACATTAACCAGACTCTACTGTAAATATTGCTTTAAAATTCGTCGAATTTTATCCAGATAGACACTCTACAGAGTGTTAAAGTTGAGTCTGAAGCATTCTAAATGGTTCTAGACAGTTCTAGAGTTAATCATAAACGTCCCAAACGTGAAATTTCTGCTATTTAGAGCACCCTCAATCCGAATAACATTGCCCTAGTGGTAGATTAAAATGTAGAAAACCGATCGATGAGGAATTGAAAATTTTGCAGCAGCCATTCGATCGGAATGCATTATCTTCCTGCTATATACCTACCGATACAAAATACCTTCACCTGCTATACATACAAGCGTTAATTAATCAAACGTTCAGCAGGAATTTTTGGCGTGCATTTCCCATCGATCCATGCTAATTAATTCATCCGGCTCTTTAATGAAACACGAATTAATTCATTAACTCTATTATTGGCGAATATATAGCGTAATTAAATTGAACGAAAAAAGAGGCTTTTAATCTTCTCATCACGTCGGGGGTACGTTTGGGATCCGTTGGGAAATCAGGAATTTCCCGAAAATATGAAATTTTCTATCGATGTTAGAGTAACTCGTAGTTTATTCTATCTAGTTTAAACTCGCCTAATTAGTTATGCAATTGAATTATTGAAGGTTTTTGATGTAGGCTCGATTTAATTCGGAGTTTTATTGGATTAAAGAAGGTCCGGATTCGCCCGGAAATCCATCAAGGACTGTTCGCATTACCGGAGTTTCCAGTTGACGTTTTGGAACGATACTAATATCTCTTGGTACAATGGAAAAACCCCGGGGTTTTTCATGATAAATGCCTCGAGGAATTATACTCTGAAAGAAATATGATTCTCTTTCAATTTGTGTAGGTTGAGTTATTTTTTTTTTCATTTTATGATAAATGACTTGTGATCAACACTCGTAGGAATTGATGCTTCAATTGTATAGTGAAACTTCCATTTCTATTAGTCAATTAGTTACCTAATTATTTCCTTAATAATTTACCTAAAGTAATTTCGATCTAAAATTCAACGATGAATTTAATAAAACGAAACCGTAACGAACAGATTATTTCAAATTGACAGATTTACATTGTTGTTATGGAGTAACTAAGGACGCATTATTTAAATTGACAGTTTTTTTTCACTTTTGACAGTTTTACATTGTTGTTATGGAGTAACTAAGCAGATTATTTCAAATTGACAGATTTACATTGTTGTTATGGAGTAACTAAGGACGCATTATTTAAATTGACAGTTTTCTTTCACTTTTGACAGATTTACATTGTTGTTATGGAGTAACTAAGGACGCATTATTTAAATTGACAGTTTTCTTTCACTTTTGACAGATTTACATTGTTGTTATGGAGTAACTAAGGAGATTGTTTCAAATTGACAGATTTACATTTAGAAATTTTAGAACAATAACGGTCCACAAACCAATGGGATTTATCCTAGAAACATTTAATCTCTTAGTTACATTGTCTTTGAGTTACATTATACCAAAATCGACAAGTTTCCATTTATCTCCTGCGACAATCGAAGCTCCCGCTTCGCTTTTGCATAGCCGCCCAAAACAACGAATGAAATATTAAATAGAGCGCCTCATTCTCTATACTCTACAGGAAGTTTATACCGCTCGATTTCCGCGAATATAGCGAATGCACGAAATCAGGAAACCGCCGATCCGGCCATTGGGAAATTGCAGGAACGTCCGCCGTAGAGACAAGAGCGGTTTTATCTCTATATCGCCTCTATTTTGAGCCTCCCAGCTCTAATGCGAACTCACCGCAGTTTGTTCGAGTTTAAATCGATTTTTATTTGTGTGTTCCAGCGAAGTCGGCTTAATCGTTTTCATTACTTCATAATTCACCGCTTTGATTCGCGAAGTTTCCCGGTCGAAAATCGCTTTTCCGCTCGGAGATTTATTCCGGGAAACCCGTCCGAAAAGAATGTTACTTACGGTCGAGGGAAAGTTTTTTTTGGGGGTTTATCTGCGTAGAAAAAAGGGATACTTTTCCGCGTTAATTACGGGCGAATTGTTGGGGAAATGCAAGAAGTTTTCCCGTTCGGTGCTCGAGGAAATCGATGAATACCAGTTTTACCGAGCGTCGGTGAATTTATCGAAAATAATCAGCTGGAATATCGATATTAACTAGGGAAGTTTTCCCGCTGTATAAATTTCAACTTCAACCGAAAAGCTTGGTAATCTGCTTATTGTTGGCATGCCGGAAAAGTCTTTCTATAAAGACTTGGAATTGTCTTCGTCGTCCGGGAAAGCGAAACGAGTAAATATTTGCCGGAGAAGTATGAATGCGATTTCCCCTTCTATATTTAGATTTTCCATTTCGAACAGCGGAAGGAAATTGGGTTTTCGTCGAGCGCACAAATTGAAACATGTTTTCTTTTCCTATTCTTTTATTTTAACATCGCGATTTAACCTGGATATTTTCAAGTGATTAGGCGGTTTTAAATTTTCGAATTTTCCTATTTTATTCGACCGAATTTCCACTGTTATACCACCAAATCTAGCGCGATTTAGCTACAAATTTAGGTAGGATTGCTATATTGTTTATCCCTCCGATTTTCCAATTCGATAGGTATTAATTCGGGCGAAATTAGCGATTGGAATTTTTAATAAAAAATGCACCGATCAATCGCAATTATACAACGATGGCGGGCGAGCGGCGCGCGGCGTCGCGACGCCCCGCTACATAGCGGATTTAATTAAAATTTGATCTTGCAACTAATGTTTGGTACAAGCGGGGGTTTAGATTTCAATTCTGCAGAATTCAAACGACCGAATAACGAATTAACTGAAAGAAGATGCTTTGATATCTCCGAGGGAAAGCGCCGAGAGCGAATTTTAAAGGAATTATTTTCAGTTTTTCTGGCGTTACAAAGAAAACTCATCTATTATTCAAGACGACAAAGAAAAGGGAATATTTTTTTTCCGAATTACCTACCGTTTTTCCAGGTAACTGTGCATTATAAGAACATCAAGTCAGATTCACGTCTTGATATATCCATTCGGAATGAATAAAAATCGCATTTCCATTCCGCTTAAGCGGTTTCTAATGCTCTATGGAAAACGCATACAACGCGGAATTTCCCATTTCCTATCGTGGAAGGTGATTTTTTAATCGATAAGTCCATCCGAATTGAAAGTATCTCTATAGCGAAAAAGCCATCGCAGGTTTCCGTTCGCATTTAATCAACGAATTTTAATTGAATGTTTCCAAAAAGCTCCAAGTTATAATAAACCAAAACAATTTTGAATCGCCCTTTAACTCTAATCACTTACCAGAATTCCTATAGAAAGTAGTGGAGAGTAGAAAGTAGAGTATAGAGAGTGGGGAATGGAGTAGAGTAGTGTGGAGAATTTTCCTGCTTGGAATTAGTGCAGCTTGCTTTAAATAACGTGCAGTAAATAACAAGTATTATTGAAATACAAATTATTTCTTCCTCCGTATTAGTGTCTTTGCTTTAGGGGGAATTGAAGATGGTCGTTCGGAAAATCTTCGAGGAGGTCGAGTGATCATTCTCGCTGCTTTTTGCACCGGATTCGCTCCGGAAAATTCCCTTTCGCCTGATGCTCGACCTGCTCTCGACGATTCTCGAGCACCGAAAACTCCTGCTGGTTAACAATGGCCCCGAACTAACCAAATTCGAGCGAATTTTCCGCAATTTCTTTACTTTTTGCTTCTTTACATGTGCTAAAAAGTAGTCCAATTATCTACTCTTTGATAGAGTTTAAGAGTAAGTAAAATGTAATGATGGTTGCTTTATTAGAACAAGTATTCATATAACTAAGTAACAACGAAATTGCAAACTTGTGAAGCTCTGCTAGAACTTGGTGATTTACTAATTAGATAAAGTTTGGTTGTTATGTTAATGAAATTTCATTAAAGAGCCAAAGGGTAGAGTGTATTCATTGAAAATTAACGATGACGTTAATCGCGGCGTTGTCAGATTGTCTGTTATTTTCTATTCCCTAAAGATTACCGTGTTATAGGCGGAATGATTTGTGGATATTCCAAACTTTTCGTGATATTTAGATAGATTTCTTCGGGTCGATTCGTCTCGATTTAACTTGCTGTTTTCGTTTAACCGGTCGGTTTGTGGTGGAAAAATCATTAAAACTCCTGTTAATTGCTAGCCGAGTAGCCGGCGGATCGATTTAGGCGAGAAAAATGGCGAGAATCGCGTTAAAAAGTTAAACAAGGAGCGATCGGCGAAACTTCCGAACGATTTTCGCTGTTTCTCCGAGAAACGAATTAAGGGAATGTAAATGATGAGACGGCGACTGAGAAAAAGTTTTCGCGTTATTCGAGAAAATTGTTCGAAGATGGGTTTTTTTTGTCGAACAAATTCTAAAGAATTTACAGGACTTTATATCTACCTAACCTCACCAAATGTAGCTTGAATTGATGTACAAAAAATTATCAATTATGTAACTACGGTTTTTTTTATCTATCATTCAAGTTTAGATGGAAAAAATTGGGACCGTTTGCACGTAAAATCCGGCTTTTCCGGAGTCTACAAAGACCCCATAATACCTCACGATTCCGCGGGAAATATTTTTTCCAGCCGCCCGAGCAGTTTGTTTCCACAAAACTTATCGTGACGCTTTATCCGCGCCAATTTCGATATTTTCCGCCTCGGTTTTTACGACCCGGAATTTTTTTCATTACTATCACGTCGGCGACCGGAAAATTTCCCACCCGAGCATAAAAATCAAGCGAGCGGGGTATTTTTTGAATACGTCATCGGATCACGTACGTCACTTGTCGTTAGAGTTGACAGTTGACACTTTTCCTCGATCTTCCACGTTTAATTTAATGAAATTCCTCACTCTCGGCCTCCGCGTAAGGAAAATAAAGGGCGTTGGCTCCGAACTATTCCGGAATGTCGAACATTCACCCGAGATTGCTCCAACTATGTTGACATTTTTACCCGGCGACGGTGCTTTTGAAATAACTTCGTTTCCCGCGGAAATCGTAAATACCTCCGCTCTCAAAGCTCTCTAGATTTTCCATTACATCTATACTCGAGCGCTGACAACTGACGTAAGTGACAAGCGAACGAATCGCCCGAATTAAACTACTTTAGTTGTTGATATTGCGATATAATTAAATTTCCCTTTTGAAAACCGGCGAGATTAAACCCTCAATTAAATGTATTGTCTGGCGCTAGTCCAAATAAATTTATGGAGCCTCTCTTTGTTTTGGTTTATTCCTTGGAGCCCCACTTTTTCGCTCAAACGATAAATTAATTGCGCCAAGCGGGCAATTTCGCATCCTTCCTTCATTATATTGTATAATGGAATTTCCTTTTGTTGAGGGGTTTCCCCCGCTTAAATATATTACAACCTTTTACTGTCTGCGCGCACAGCCAATAAGAATTTGTCCTCTTTTTTTTTCAGGCAAGTTGCCGAACCGTTTCTAATGAATTATCTTCCCTCTTATCCTGAAACCGTTTAACAACCGAGTTATAGACCGTTTCCTAATTGGAGAAAACGGATAAAAGAAGAAGAAACGACGACTAGATGTTTATTCTCCCTTTTACACAATGTAGCTAATCAAGTAGGCTTCGCAATTGACAAGTTCACGAGAAATTCCGACTGATGTGGTGTTGAGGTTTTTCGATGTCTGGCCCTGTCAGGTCCACTTAACGAAGTAAAGGGTTCTAATTAATATTATTTATCGCCGCGTCGGCGCTGGTAAAACTCCCGCGGGAAACTCCGTTAAAAGGATTAGAACTCCGGCGAATTTTCGACTCGATAAACTCCGCAGTTTTGAGTATATTAAAAGTTTACCCGAGGCGTATAATCGCCTCTATTCTTTACTTTTCTTCTTCTTCTATTTATTGGCCTCAGCTACCGGGGCTATTCGGCCTTCTTTACTTTTACGCGAATCCCACGACGTTTGACATGTGACGTTTGGCATTTCTTTCTACGTCGACCGAGATCCGACCTAATTTTTTCAGCAAACACGCCATTGATGGAAATTCGTCACGAACCCTTAAGAAAAGCAACACGATGTTTGAATAGCGTTTGAATGGTGCTTAGAAAGCCCCGAGAACGAATAGAAAATTCGGGTTAGTTTCGGAAAAGGAACGAATAATAAAGCTCTCTGCTGTCGCTTGTCAATCGATAATGTGGTCGAATAACACGAGCAGACGAGGCCGAAAAAAACGAAGAATATCGTTCGTATTTAAATCCCAATGGCGTCGTAACTAGTTCGTTTGTATAAAACAAATACCTATTTCTCGCCGCTAATTGAGAACCCCGAAGAGGTAATTTCGCATTCCTAGTCTCGTAATGTACTTACCTATTATATATTATTCGTCGAGGATCCGAAGCTCGAGAGCTACACAATCCATTTTCTACTACTACACCTTCAAGTCCCCGACTCGAATAATTTCGTGCTTGATTAATGGGACAACGCGAATGTGAGCTTTCTCCCAACACTACTCGGTAAATAAATAATTTTATTCATTGAAAACAAAGCCCGTAGAATGGATGTTGTAATGATAAAAGCCGGTTGTTTTAACGAGCAACCGTTTGTAGCAAGATTATAATGAAGGAAAGAGTGAAAGAGGAATTATTAATAGACGATTAATTGGTGTTTGTATTCGCTCCAGATTGAACTGCTCTTCGTTTCGGAGCGTCCGGAAGCCGGAAAACAATCATGTCAGTGCAGCAGGAAGGCATCAATAAAGTGGCCTCCGCCGCAGGGAACGCCAACCATCACAACAAACGACCAGTGGTGCTCGTTTATCCCACCGGTAAGTCGAATTGCATGTTTTATACATCGCGAGATATTATTTTCTCCCTGCTTTTTATCAATCCGATAATTCTCTTATATTCGAATTGATGCTCGACTATAAATGTGCAGGTACATCGATCAATTAAATCTCCTTCACGTCGAAATCAAACCAGCCGAATTAGTGACCTGGAAAAAAAATCCTTTTGTCGATTTCACCGTCATCGGAACTCGATCGAAGCGAAGAACAAACGCCCCGAATGGAATCCCGGGCGCTTTCACATCGACTTTTTAATTTCGAAATCAATCCCCGGATTGGTTTATTTCACTCGAAAATTAGGGTGCAATTCAGCGCCGCCTCTGTTTAACTGAATAGAATGAGTCTAAAAGTCGCGACTCGAGTCCCTAGTTACTCCATAACAACAATGTAAATCTGTCAAAACTGTCAATTTGAAACAATCTCCTTAGTTACTCCATAACAACAATGTAAATCTGTCAAAAGTAGTGAAATAAAACTGTCAAGTGTAGAAAATCCCAACGAATCGTCGATGTAAATGTGATAAATTTGTTGCAGTATCTCCGGAAACGGTGGTGGTGCCGATCATCTCGTGCATCTTCGGCTTTCCGCTGTTGGCCCTGCTGGTCATTTGCTGTTTGAGACGACGCGCCAAGATGGCGCGCGAGCAGGCGCGCAGGCGCAACTGCGACACCGAACACGGTACATACTCTATTGTCAGATTCAGTCCAATACACTATTTAGGTAACTAATGCTCTAATTTTAACGCACCCACCCTTCCGAAGTGTATTTTTGTGTTCGTTTCGTTGGTATTATTGGAAATATTTAGCGTATTTACAAGTCTAATATTTCGTTTAATATCATCAACAAGATGGAATCAAATTGTATCATTTAGTTGCCTATATAGTAACTTAATTTTGTAGGTACTTCACTCTACTAAACAACCTCTCCCCATTCTCATCTCTCCCCACAACTCGAGTACTCGTTAATCAACAATCTGTTTGTATAACTAAACGTTTTAAATTATTCCTGTGTGGGGGATTCCCTCGATGCGGATATTCCTGCAGGGGGAGGTGAGACCATCAGGACGGTTTTAGGACGTGTCAGGTCAAACAGTCCTGCGTTATCAGATTAGGAGCCTCTGTCTAATCTGGGAGGGATGAAATTTACGGCCCTGCAGGCGAGTCGGGAGAATGGAGGGAAAAACCGGGGAGGGAAAATAACGTAATAAATGCGGCAGGTGATTTAGGGGTTAGTTTAGGGGCGATACGAGAGATTAATGCTATTTACCCGTTGTAATATCGTTGTCGATGTAATTAATGGTTTGGTTAATGGAGGATTGGGATAATGGAGAGAATAGGTGTTTTTTTTGAGTTTAAAATGAACCCTTTTTCGTCGATAATTAAGCAAAAAAATACCGATTTATATTTAATCCGGTAAAGTAGCTTTTCTGCTAAATTGTTGACATTGTCAAAGCGATTGAAGAGACAACAACTTCGCTTAATAAAATTCCATCGCCGGTATCATTTTTCAATTTTCCCCCGACGTCATTTGCCTACATTACCAAATGGGAAATTCCAATTTACGACGCTCCTCCATTTTCCTCAAACAGGTTTTTTTCCACCTAATTAAACGCAATTTTATGCAAATCTTAATCGAACAACGCAAACACGCCCGTAACAACGAAAATCCAATTTTCTTCCACACTGCGTACTTATCAACACAAAAAAAAAACTCAAGATAAATTTATTGCTCAACCCCTAACCCAAATACCTATCACAGTTTGTTCGAAACACGCTAAAACCGGCACATTAGAAACCCTTCGCGCCGTTCAAATAATTCTGGATCTCCTCCAGCGACTTGCCCACGGTCTCGATCACATAAAACTTGATAAAAACGCAAGTAACAGCACAACAAACGGCGAAAAATACAAAAACAGCGCCGATTCCGACGGCATCGACGATCGGATTGAAGAATTGCGCGATGAAGAAACCGACGACGAAATAAACCGAAACGATGAAAGAAGTGGCGAGGATTTTAACCCGCGTGGGAAGAATCTCGCTGGGGATCATCCAACAAAGCGGACCGAAACCGAAATTATAACTCAGCATGAACATAGCGAGTGTTAGAAGAGGCAGGAAGTTGATCGAATCTACATCGGCGCCTGATCGTTGGAAGATGCAATAGATGCCCAGGATCGATTCGGATAGGATCATTCCCAAACCGGAGGCGAGCATGATGGATTTCCTGCCGAATTTCCCGATTATTAAGGGCGTTATTCCGCCGCTGAGTAGCTGAATAGCGCCGATTATCATCGAACCGATTTCGGGCGATAGACCGGAATTGGTGAGGTCCAAAATCGGCTGGCTGTACATGAGGATCGCGTTGATTCCAGTAAACTGTTGGCTGGTCACCAATACTATAGATATAGTGAAAGCTTTCAAAAATCCTCTAGTTTTAACGATGTCTATGATACTGCCTTCGTTTTGCGCTTTTATTTGTACCTTCATATCGTCGATTTCGCCGTCTATATCGCAACCATCGCCTCTGAAAGCTCGTAGAGACTTCTTGGCCAGTTCCACTTCGTTTTTCATCAGGTAAAAATAGGGAGATTCCGCGCAAAACGCGTAAGAAACCACCAAGAAAACGGCCGGAACCACCGCCATAATCGCATTAAATTCATTCACCGACACAAACGGTCCCACTACATAACTAAACAGAGCTCCAGCGCTCACCATCATCCCGGTTAGAGTCATCACCACGCCTCTGTTCTCTTTGCTGGACACTTCTCCTAAGTAATTCATGAGGGCGAAGAGGCCGCCCATGGCGGTGCCTTGCGCGAATCTGGCCACGTAAAAGGCCTCGATTTTTCCGACGGAAGCCATCAGGATGTAGCCCAGCAGGAGGGGTAGACCCAAGGAGATGAATACCGGTCGTTTTCCGGCTATGTCTGATAGAGCGCCGAAGAACCAGCAGCCCAGGATGGCGCCCAGCGTGAGCAGGGAGGAGAGCCATGATGCCTGCGATGAGGTGATGGTGTGGTCGAAGGGGTTGTCGCTGGTGAGGTTTTCGAGCTTCGGTAGAACGGGGGAGGTCCAGCTGTTTAGGTTGCCCACTGTGGTGCTTAGGAGGCAGCCTGGAAGGAGATGGATTTTTGTGGTAAATGTGGATTTGATTGTTTGTAATTACCTGCTAGCGCGACGCCGGCTATGTTGTTTAGGAATTTGTGGCGTAGAATCATTTCTGGGTTTTTTTTTACTGAGGTATCTAATAATTCGGTGATTGATTTATATGCGATTGATAAGGTTTTTGTTTTTTCGTCTGGTTTTTTTGCTCGTGCGGTTGAAAACACTCAATAAAATGGCAGCTTCATTGTGTAAGTTCGGTGAAAGTACTACATAATATGTATATAGGTACTTGTTTGGGAGTAATTGCCGATAGATAATCAATTGTGCAATCGATTGTATGAACTCGTTATTTAACATTTTGTGAATAGTTAGGACAGTTAAATATAGTATGTAGGTACACTTATTCGTAAACGAGAAATTTTTATTAAATGATAGAATCTAATCGACGGTTTTATTCGAATTAAACGATTTTAGCGTCGCCTTGAATTAAAAAATTAGCTTTTCAAGTATCAAGTACTCGTACTTATAGATCTTCAATTAAGATAAATTAAAAAGTATTATTCGCACGATGTTACTCATGTAGTATATTTTTAACGCTAACAATTATTATTAATTAAATATCTAATTAACGATTTGGTACAAATTAAACCTATTTTTTCCTACATTTGCCTTGAAATTAAAATAGTTTTCTAACTAATTATGAACCTTATTAGTACCTTAATTAATAGATATCTTACCTGCTAAAGTAGTCCCTAACAATGTACTAAAACGTCCAACGTACAAAATCATTGCACTAAACACTTTTAATTAATTCAACGATGTACAAACATTTTCAAAATACCAACGCGAGGACGATTTAAATTCAGTTAAAGCGAATTGAAGACTGCACATTTCATTGAAATGTGAAAGGCATACTTGCATATACGCATTAAATCTCAACCGAGATACAACCAAGGTACATAAGGATGTTGACCGTGTACCTGCTGTAAGTAAATGAAAAATTTTCGTTGAGGTCAAGCGTAGAATAAAGATTTTTCCTTCATATTTCGCATTTCTTCCTTGGTTTTCCAAGGTAGAAAGGAAAGGATTTCTTTAGGTAGTGTGGGTGGAAATGTTTAATTTTATTCACCTCGTTCTTATTGTAAATGGGACTACATGAGAGGGTTTTGTGTAGTCATTGAATCATGAGAAAGTTCAGAAATTACTGAGGTAAAATACTCATACAATTACTCTTATAATTATGCTTTTATTAGGCTAGATTGCTCATCAACAACTCCATTTTAGCACTCGAGTATACACCACAAAAAATGTACCTAAATACACTCCATTTCAACTCGAATTTAGGACTAAACACTTCGACATTGAATCCCAATTCGAAGTTAAAACGTTTCGTAAGTTTCGAACTATTTAAAGTTTAAAAAAAAATGTCGATTTCAGGTCGCTCGTCGAGGGCCATTTCGTTGCGATCGGAGCGCGGAATGAGCCGGGGATTCCCATCGTTGGAATTGGACACGGTGGTGGAGGAGCGTTCCGACGCCGACGCCGAGCCCGATCAGACCGTCATCGAGATGATGACGCCCGACGGCGAGAGCGATTCCAATCACAAGATCAGATAGCATCAGATGGACGTCTGCGCTGAGAGGTAAACAAATCAAGCCGATTTTAATCCCGAAAATCGACAGTCATTTGAACAAACTAGTAGAGGAGTATTAGAGCGATCGACTGTCATTTGAGCAAACTAAACAAATCGACGATTTTTTTGTGATTTAGTAAGTTCGATCAAGCCGATTTTAACCTCGAAAATCGACAGTCAATTGAACAAACTAGTAGTGGAGTATTAGAGAGTATGATTTGAGCAAATTTGTTAGTAAGTAGTGGAGTGTTAGAGAGTATGAGTTGCTAGTATTGGATCAGATGAATATTTAGTTAGAGAATATTTTAGTTGCATTTCCTTTCGCTTTGAGCTTGAAACGTTCCAGGGAAATTAGCATTCGGGTTGAAAACGCTAAAGTAGGTGCTCGACCCTTTTGCTTTTTCAGCGATATATTTCATAATTACGACGCTCCCGCGTGGAAATTGCGACGCCGCGACGCCTCGCAGGCCTCGATTCGATTAAAAAGGGAATGCTCGCGGTGCGGAAAAAAAAGTTTCTCGTCGCCTAAACGAAAATGTTCTGTTGAAAACATTCATTTCGCTGCACGTGAGAAACTCTCGGTTTGATTCAATAAGTAAAAAAGTTTCCGTGCGGGTGGCACAAATTTTAATTAGCGTAATTAACGACTTCATCTGTCTCTTGTAACTGCTAACTTTCTTCTTACAAAATATTACCATTTGTTATAATGATTATAATCGACAACAGTCTCTAGCAACTAGAACTCTCATCTACTATTCAAAATACTATTACCAAAACCTTCTTGATTATAATCAACAATCTATCAGTCAGTAGCAACTTAGAACTCTCCTCTATAGAAACTACAACCACATCCTTCTCGAGTACAATCGACAATCTCCCGGCTAATGAATGGCTGTTAGTTAATAAAATATTTGTAGGTCGCCTTTATGGGCAGCGTTGACGCATGCGCATTCCCTGACGATCGTCTGCGAGGGCGCCACCAGTTGACGAAAGGAGGACGCCGAGAGGAACGACAAGGACGATGACGAGGATTCGGAAACCGACGAGGATGCTTTGGATGACCGTCGATCGGATCCGGTGATTCCCCAAATGGTGCCGTTGCCGTTCGTCAAAGGCCATTAAACGCGCAGCGGTTTTTCACCCCCGAGCTTAAAGCTTTGTAATCTATTCGATCTGCGAATGTGGGTAATAATTCGATAAAATAAGAAGATTGTCACGTAATCGTTTAAGTGTCAATTTGGAAAACTCCCCGAACTTCAACTTAGCATCAACTTTTACCAACCTCCTTTTAGCACACCACAAAAAAATTGTATTTTTATACCTGTAAATTGAATATCTGTTAGATGTGTATCTTATTGTAAATTGTAAATAAAAATTTTATTTGAAAAACTAAATATACTCTACGTTAACCTACCTATCGTTACATTTTTATTATACCCTAACCGAATAACCGATAAGTAAGAGACCAGCAATGACAGGAAAACCGAAACGTCAATTGCCACCGAAAATTCGAGTAGTAAAAGACCATATTAAAATACACGCAACGATCTTTGATGGTTTTCTTTAAACATTTATTAAATTTACAACTATAGAGCAAACCGACGAATAACCTATTGAAACGAATAGCTACCCGAATTGGAATTATTCTGCTGTTCGCCCAACACAGACGGATCGTCCATGGGAGGTAATTGGGGTTGGAATTGCTCGGCCGATAATCTGGTAAACACTATACCAACACCTTCGATCAGAGCTAATAAAACACCGCCTATAAAGGCGCTCCCCGCCATCGCGGGTAGACCGTTTCTAGCCGCTAAAATACCTACAATACAATCGAATTAGTCTTACAACAAAGTAATAGAAATGTTGTATATAATCACCTCCAGTCGCCGCTCCGCTTATTATGGAATTCCAAGGGTCTTCCTTCTTTCGTACGTGTATTAAAGCGCAGTCTATCGTGGAAAACATTCCTCCCCAAACGGCGAAATTTCCAGCTATTATCGGCGAACGTTGTTTGATGGCCGTTATACTTCCTATCTGTGAAATTGAAAAACAATTAAAACCATAAATTATTCTGGAGAGTTCTAAACTCTCGTATACTCGTATGATTTACTCCTATACGAGGAATTATTGTGAACTTACAAATCGTCTGTTAATTCCCGAAGGAGCGTTTCGAAAACCTTTGATACTTTGGAAGACGCCGCCGCCGATTAGGCCCATCGTGAATGCTCCACCGCAATCGTCGACTATTCTCCACGGGCAAGGTTCTCTCGTGTATTCCTCCATTTGTTATAATGTATTTCAACGAATCGATTCTAACCTAAAAATTAAAATTTCATCAGTTTTCGTCATAGCTAATCGACAGTTAAGCAAGCCAAAGAACGAATCTACGTTAAACTAACTCACTAAATATGACTTAAGAATTGGTAGTTACCTCAATTATAAAACCGCATTAGCTAATAATTTAAAGGTCGTCGGGACAAAAAGTTCACTCTTATTTAACACATCTTCACAGTTGCACTCTGTTAGCCCACATAACGTTCACTAATAATTGTTAATTTATTTGGCTTTCATATGTCGATTTTTGTGTTTTTTCTATCAAATTTTATTGATGACAATGAAAAAAATTAAATGTCTCAAAGCAAACTTTTTTTTTGAGGTTACATGAAAGAAAATCGAAAAATGGATGTGACGTAACACCCGCAATTGTCATCTGTCATTTTCCAGATACTACTTGCCTTGTCTTACTTACACAAAATAGAAAAGGATAGATACCAAACGAATTGTAAAGCAGATGGCGCCACTTAAAAGAGGGAAATTTAAATTGCGAAGTAAGAAATGCGCTTTTCTAAATTTAAATTAACAAGTCACCTACAATTCTAAAAATACTCCTTTCCTCCGCAAGCATCGCTTCAGTTTATACGCATAACTCAATCGAAATGGCAGACTCGCAGGTAGCTATAAAAATGCTAATTGCATTTAAATACGCATTTTAAAATTATACATTTTTTAGGCTCCGTTGAATTTTAATCCGGCCGAATTGATCAGGCGTGTAGAAGACACCGAAAAGCGACTACAAGTAGGTCAAAAAACCATTTACCAATCACCTAATAATAACCAATTAATCATTAATAGACGAAAGACGCGGAAATCCAAGTCTACAAAATGCTCGTCTCCCAAATGGAGGAAGAACTCGCCCAAGCGAAGAAATTCAAAGAGCTCCACGACAAGCAATCGCTCGACGTCGACTCCATGAAATCCGAATCCGAGAAAACCCTCACGAAAGCCAAAAGTCTGCTCTTCGAAAAGGCCAAAATCATCAAGAACCAAGAGCTCCAAATCGAGGCGTTCGCCCAGCAAATCGACTCGCTCAAAGAGGTCGTGCGCATCACCAAAGACCTCCTGCAAATCCGCAACCTCGAAATCGAGCAGCTCGAGACGAAAATCTCCTGCATCGAGGCCAAGACGAAGGCCGAACAGGAGCGGTACGATCTGATGCGCAAGAAATTGGAGACGATGATCCGGCACAACGGCGAGTTGAAGCGCGAATACGAAACGCAATTGTGCCTGTTTCAGGCTTTGAGGGAGCGCTACAACGAGAGGGAACTGGCCAAAGGCGTGGTGGAGGGACTCAAGCAGGGTATCAACAAAATTGATAGCGATAATGCGGTGAAAACCGATCCGCAATCTTCCGCTACTGATGATGTTAATAACGATGCTAAAACTACCAACAACGATCTGATAGAAGTCAAAAATCAGTTGGATGATACTCTTTCGGTGTTGGAGAAGACGTTGGGCTTGGAACAGTCTAAAACACAAGTACCAGTCGACTTGAAGTCGAATTCAAACGCTCCAGAAGCTGATGTAGTACCGGAGAAAACTGAACAAGAACCGCAGAAGGATGAGAAAACTGATAGCGAAGAGAAAACTGATAACGAAACCAAACCGGAAGCTAGTAGTACTCTAGGTAGCATCATTTCCGCCATCAAAAGTACCGTTGGATTGGGATCAGATGATAATCGAGCCGAAGCAAGTAATGGAGAAGTTGTGGAGAACAAATAGGAAAGTCCATGCGTTTCTAAACGTTTTGTATTTTGTGGAATATACTCTTGAATAAAATTATATTAACCCGACAGTTAGTAAATAAATGGTTTTCCCAAATACCTCAAGCTTGAATTACCTCCGAGCATCTTCCTAAACCAATGGATTTGTAGTAAAGCAACCCCATTAAAAATATAACTTATTTATTAAAACATATTGCTATATAGAATATACACAATTCAACGAACGAAATCTAAATCGGTATACTTTCGAGTTTGATTCCTCGCAGGATTCGTAAAAATTAACGAAACACATCCGGAATAATTGCAAACCGCGCGGTAATTTCAAATTCGAACAAGTAGTTTCGAAAACGCCATTCGAATATTCCCAAAAGCGAAAGATTGTATTAATAAACGTGTTGTACTCGAACGGTTTGTTTGTTTGTTTGTTTTTTATCGAATATATATCACAAAAGTCTTAAATACAATTCGTTAACTATAATAGTGAACACCTCCGAAATCGATTAGAATTTAATTTGTACAGACGAAATTCCACGTGTTACGAGAAATCGGGAATTTTATCCGACCGTGTACAGCCCGATTAGAATAGCTGTAGACATTAATCTTTAGCTATATCTATCGCACTGTAGTTAGTTATATAACATTTCGGGCGTATTATTATTAATAAATTACGATGAGAATGCAACACAAGAATATCATCTAACAGGCGAGATAAAAAGAATGAGTAGTAGAGACACTTAACATTACGAAAAGATCAAGCAATAAATAACAAATAATTTTTATAAAAAACATTCATTTGTACTGTAACGTCAATCTTGTATTATTTATAGCGAACAGTTCTATACAAACTACTTGCCCGTGTGTACTAAGTGAACAAACATATTTATAACATCCCTTTCTCTAACACGAATTAAAATTCGCATCGAAAAGAAAAAATTAGTACGAATCTAATATCCATTTTCCCTATTATATACACCAACATTTAACCTACGAAATTTCACCTACGAAACGAACCCCTTTCACCAAACGGTTTTACAACAACAACAACAAAAAAACGAAAACGAAAATTGTGCAACGAGAATCGAGACGAAATGACACCCAAAAAAAAAACCGAATTTCCAAATGGCAGTGTAATAGTAGATATGTCAAAGGGTGAACATCAAACGAGCACCTCCATCTTCCCGCCTTTTCTCATCACCCTAATCTGGCCGGGTTGCACCTCCGGCAGGCCGCATTTGAACGTAAACGTCACGATTTGGGCCCCGAAATTCGCTTCGAATCTACAAAATAATTCGCACATTAATCGAATCCATCGATACGGATGCCTTGCTTGTATCTTACTCGGTGGTGATATTGACTTCGGGCGGTTTACCCGTCGCGTTTTGCACCACCAAAAACAGCTTGGTGACGATCTCGATGACGTGGCCCGTTTGAAAAACGAAATCGCCCTTCTTTTTGCTCAAATCGCTCTGAAATAAACAGCTCGTTTGGTCAGACGAGGCGCTGGACGTCTCGGGATTCGGCAATGATGACTGCGAAATAAATTACAATATCTAATCTAGCGCTAAATTACTCTACAGTGGAATCTACACGATTCGTTTTAAAGCGTTGTTAAATGATAAAATACGTACGGCTTTCACGTGAACGACGGCGACGTCGTCGAGAAACGGCGAAAGGGACATTCTGTAGATTTCCGTTGCAGGCACTCGATATTTGATTTGTAATGTCCTTTGATCCAATACCAGCATCGATCTCGTTGATATGACCAAAAGTATAGGAACGAACTACAACAAACATTAATAAGTGCATATACTAACCCCATAAATTATGTTTTACATGGGTAAGTTGGCAATTTGCAATCTGCAATCGTTGTTATGGAGTAACTAAGAGAGATTAATTCAAATTGACAGTTTTGACAGTTTTACATTGGTTGTTATGGAGTAACTAAGGATATTGTTTACGTTAGAGAAACTCTTGAAACATTTATATATCGATAAATCCTGTAGAAACGACTTACTTTTCCACTAGACCTAGTAATTTTATTAATAATATCAGCAAACACTACGTATTGGTCATTGTTTTCCAAACACATTTTCTTCCACTGAACGTTCTGCCTCAATCGAACGTAATCCCCGACGAACGGATGAGATACACTAAAAAAAATCGCATTATTAATCAGAAAATTTTTCAAAAAACCGCTCGTTTACCTTCTAGGATATGAACATTTTCTATCTTTAAATATAAAACTCGCCGTCACCTTTTCCCTCATGCGATTGCGAGCCGTTTGGTCGAATTTCGATCGGAATTTGTGACAGCGCCATCTGTGATGGATTTTATTCAATAGCGAGCTGCACTCGACGAGCCGCTGCGACGTAAGAGGCCATTCCTTGCAAATCGGCGAATCCGCATCGTCGGGCAGGATTCTCAGCAAATTCAACAGGAATTGTCGACGCTGAACGAATTTAGATTGAATAAATGGAATGTTCGAGTTGCATTTTTTACTTACTTTCCATTGTATGTAGTGCCTTTGAATGATTCGAGTGGCCCATTCGACTTCTTTTCTATGTTTCAGTATCCTAAATTCCTCTCGAGCCTGTAAATACGATATAATTACTGTAATATACGAAATTGTAGTGAATCAATGTAGTCTATTTCTAGCGTATAATAAATCAACAAATACTAATTTTTTTTCAAGCTAGTTTCATACCACGTTGTAAAGACACCACAAATGTTTCCGACCACGAAACGGTACACCGCAATTCAACTCCTGAAAGTACCATTCAAAAGAAAAGAAAAAACGATAAACGTATAAATAATAATCAACGAATCGAACGCGAAACGAATCAAATTTACCTTCCAACTTCTCCAAGCCGACGCTATGATGATCTGGCTACGCTTCATCTTCCTATAGCGTTTCCTCTCCCTGTAACCTCTCCATATCCTCTGCACCAGCATCGCCAAATCGTGGAGCCTGGCCCTTCGGAAATCCTCCAATTCGAACACCGTCCGGGGACTCCTCACGAACAACTTCGTCCTACCGAACGTGAATTCAGCGCTCGGTATCGGAAGCGATCTACAAAAACCAACCAAACACGATCCCTAACCAATTCGCATAGCAATCGAATAAATACCTTAGAATCAACGAAGCTCCTTCTACCGGTGACCCGCGCCATTTGGGCCAGGTACTCCCCGACACCATCTTGTACCTCGACACGAACTGCACGTAGCCCAATCGCAAGCAGTACCCCGTTCGCCACAATTGCACCGTCGGCAACAAACACAAATAGCGCACCTTCAATCACAAATAACTCTATTACTAAACAGTCCGATTCTCCTCGAACGGTTCTCAATCACCTGGTGTTGGACGAGCGCCATCTCGAACGACCTCGGTCGCTTCGATTCGTTGGGTTTGAGACACCTGACGTGGTGGGCTCGTCTGCCGTGCAGCTCTTTGAAGAGGGACTCCAGAGAGACGCGCAGCTGGAACGATTCGGAGGCCGGTCGCTTCGGATTGCATCGTTTCGGGTTGCCTTCGGGGAACAGCACGGGGATCAGGGGATGATCGCATCGGAACATCGCCCTCGACAGCTCCCTGGGGAGGACGTCGCGATTCTTCTCCACGAAACCGCGTACGTTGTACGTTACCGCTCCGGCGTAGTGCCTTATCCTTTGTGGTTAACAAGCCATTATTGGTACATTTTTAGTTGTTATTACACCCGACTGATTGCAGTGATAGATTAAACTCGGTATCTTCTAATGCAATGAGTCGGGTGGTGATTGTTTAGAGCTGTTTGCGGCAAGAGTAAGAGTCTGGAAGCGCCTCGAGAGGGGTTTATTTAGGCATTTATTCTGTCTATAAACTTACTGGAAGCTGTGTAATGGTAGTATGGAATCCGCTGCTAAACAATGAGAATGTCCAGCACAACATTGTTCAACTCTGGTTAAATATGCAGCGTCGCATTGAACGTGGGGTTCTTCTAAGAGCGATAGAACGCCGTGTTTCTCGTGCTCTAGCAATTGACAGATAGTTCTGCGGAGGAATTTGCGATATTAGATTAATTGCTAGATGTTGCTTACGAGTAAATTTACATGTTATTGAAGTAATCGATTTTGGTCCATTCCAAGCCTTCCTTGATCATCTCGGCTTGTTCCTCTTTCAACGTCGAATTGACGATGAATTGCTGCAGTTTTTCGTTGCAGTAGTTTATCATGAGTTGCTCGAAGCTGTTTTTGTCGAATATTTCGAACCCGTAGATGTCCAAAACGCCGAGTTCCTTGCGTTTACCTAACGTTTTACCCTACACGAAACGAAAAAACCGTTACTTTTCATACTTAATTATTGCGATTAATGCACCTTTATAATATCGTTGATTCTATTTACAAGCCAAGTAAACAGACGACTGTACAAAGTTCTACAGAGCGCGTCTCTGAGTTTGGCTGCATCGATTGCATTCAGATCGGCGATTTGGTCTTCGATTTGGTGTGTAATCAGCGCCCTTTGCAGCCATCTCGGTTCGGCTCCCAACAGTTCGCAAACATCGTACAATTCTATAAAAAAAACCGAAAGTATTAGAGGTGGAGTATTTCGATGTAACAGTATCGTACCGTAATCGTTAGTTAGTGAACATCCTTCGGTGCCGTCGATGTTACTACAAGGGACAAACTGCAAATTTCCCAGTTTCAAAATAACGGCTATAACGCGGAATATGTCGATTATTTCGTTATCGGTGAACCCGAGCACTTCCAGGGCACCTCTGGTATAGACGAAGAGCGATTTGTCATCGTCATCCGATAGAGTTGGTTGGTGGTTTTCCGTTAATAAAATCGCGTACAGTTCCACGTTACGTTGTAGTTTCAGAATTTCTGGAAAAATATTCGCGTTTATTAGGTTTAGATGTAGATTATCGCTGAATACTTACTGAGTAAATGAATATCGGCTCCGGATAGGAGTTGGTAGAATATATGGAAATTTCTATCTAACGGTGCTAAACGTGTGATTCTCGCCTAGAAAAAATTGTTTATTGAGCAAACAAGCTAATAAAAAAACCTTTTATCGCATAGCATACAAAACTTACTTTATCTAGAAAATCTGAGGGCGTGTAAAGAGATTTTTAAAGTTAATTTAGAAAGGGAACAAACAAGAAATATGTACTCACAATGCGTAAGATGGCCTCCTATCGGATCTCCTCTAAAATTGAATTCTATATCGAGAAATTTCCCCTAAAAATCAACATTATTTAATCATCGGTGTATAAAAATTATACAGTTTGCATACAAATCTCGAAGCGTTGTCATTTTTCATCGTCCTAGCATTTCCGAACGCTTCTAACAGCGTATTAGCCTGAACTAAACGATCTTTGATAATCTTCGATTCATTTCTATCTCCCGATACAAGTACCAAGAATTGCAGGACAATTCTCGCCGCTTCCGTCTTACCCGAACCACTCTCCCCTAAAAATATACAAAATAATATAAATGCATGTATACAAGAACCCAAGAAACACCGGTATGATAGAGTAGGTTTCTTGGTTCCCTGTGTAAACCTAGTTTTAGTCTACCTGTTACAATAATGCATTGATCCTCGTTTCGATCGTTGAGCCATCTGTACGCAGTACCAGCAATGCCATATCTTAAACAATTCAACGATTAATCAAACAAAAAAGTGTTTTTTTCTGTGAAAGCTTACATATGAGGCGGCAATTGAAAGGGCCCTCGTTTCACGTAGGCCTCGACGAGATCGGCGGAGTACAGGGCGAATTTCTTATACGGGTTCACCGAGATCAGAACGTTTCCGATGTAAGTGTAGATGTGGTCCCGTTTGAAACGGTGCTGCAGATTGGCCACGAACGCGTCCTCCGACAGGGGCTCGAGCAGGACGGAGTCCCAAACGCCCGCTTCGTGCTCCAGATTGAGCATCCCGGGTGGAGCGCCGCCGGGGCGGCATCTAGTCCTCGACTTGATGCTCAGCGTTTTCTAAAATTTACCCCCCAAGATGTTAAAATAAATACGGTAAAAATAGCGGGGAGCTTTTGGTGCATTTTAACATTTTTATTCGTGGATTATTATGACGAATCGGCGATAAAAATCATTTTTAATTAAGTTAATAAACTAAATATACAAATCGAATGAAATTATACAACTTTTTATTCGTATGACATTTTTGTCATAACTGACATATGACAAGTTCTGCTTTTGACAGTTCGACGTTTCTTCTTTTCTGTTACAAGGCTTCTTGCAATTCGACCTTTGTTTTAGTATAAAACAGCGAAAACCAGCGCTGACCAAATACCGTTCAAGTGGAGACCAAAATAAAAAAGAAGAGTTTTGTAATGTTGATGTATTATAACCTAAAAACTTAATTGAAAATAAAATATTTAAATTGTTTATTAGTATTAAATATATGGTACAACAGTTAAAAATATAAAAAAATCAAAATTACAGTAAATATGTAGTATACTTTCATTTCAAAAGTAGCCATTTGTAAACGATTATTTTTTTTTTCCTAACTATTTTCGAAATGAAAGTTTTGTTTTAAAGTACAGTAAAGATTAACTTAAAAATTAACAAGGATTGAGCCTGGTAGACCGCCTTAGATGCAGGGGAGTCGTTAAAATATTTTCGCTCTTCCTGTTACTGTTCATCCTCCTCGAATCGTTTTCCTTGTCTTCGGAAAAAAGCTCTTTGGAAACGCTACTGCGCTCTTCGTCGACAAAATTCACTTTCACAGACTTTCTTCCTGTAGATTTCGCTCGAGATTTCAAAATGCTCCTGTTAGGCGTTATGTTTTCCACAAGCAACTTCACGACTGGCGTTTTTACGAGCAATTCATCCTGCTCGAGATTTTGTTGTTTCTGTTTTTTTCTCGCTTCTTTGATAAGATCCTTAATCATCGATTTTGCCGCGGGTTTCTTAGCGCGCCCTTTTCCCTTCTTCTTAACAATTTTTTTCTCAGACCTAACCTCCTCCCAGTCGTTAGCTTTCAATCTGTCCAAATTAGCGAAGCGTCCGTTCACATTTTCAACCTGATGGTAAACCATATCCCAAAAACCGTGCAGGTCTTCGCACGTAATCTTCTTGAAATCAAACTTGTTGGTTTTGCATTGGTTCAGCAGACTTCTAAATTGTTGAAACTTGCTCGAAATTAGCAACTTCGATTGGTTAATGGCCACATCGATCATGGACGATATTTCTTCAGTTACTTCGTTTTCGCTCCGGTACTCTTCCCATTTCTGGCACATTTCCTCGATCCTGTTTATCTCACCGTCGAGGACGGTTTCGAAGAAATAAGCGCCCGCTTTCGGACTAGTAGCCGGTTGATTCTTCAACTGTCCACCTGTTAAAACGACAAGAATAAATATCAGAAAGCCACCGTGTTCAAATACGTACCGGTGGATTTTCTTTCGGTATATTCCTTTCGAGCAGACTCTTTTCCCCTACTTATGGTGACAAAGGGGCTCACGTAAGTTTTAGGCGTCTCGGGGGAAACCGGACAGAGAGCGCACGATCCGCTCCTGCTTCTCGATAGTCTCATCGATCTTCTAGGGGTGCTTTTGGGAAGCTCTAGTAAAGATTTTCTGCCCTTCGATGGTGTTTTTAATACGACTTCTTCGTCTTTATAAAATATCAACTCGTCCTCCTCATTTTTGATATCGGGTTCTATAGAGGCTTGTTTTCTCGCAGCTCTTGGAGTCTTCTTGTACTTTTTACCGGATCTTTCCTAAAAATGTTTAAACGATTAGAATATAATTCGGTTGGTTAAAAGTGGTGAAACTTACCTCATTGGGAGGAGTAACGCCCCATCCAACGCTCTTTTTGTTTTTTTGTTCGAGTGTGTTTTCTTCGATTACTTCTTCCTTTATTTTAGCTGGATTTTCTTTTTTAACGGTGGTTTTTTTCGAGTTTACGGGTTTCTTTTGAGCCGTTACGGGTGTTTTGGTATTTTTATTTGTACTTTTCGTAGAACTTGCTTTTTGTGGTACCCCGACGGTACTTTTAGCCGATGCTCTCGTTGCCATTCTCGTAACAGGCTCGATTTTAGCGTTTGTGGGTTTCTTGGTTTTGTTTGTTGGAGGGTTCGATTGAACAATTTTGCTGTTGGAGGGTTTGCTGGTAGGTGGTGGGGCTTTCGGTTTGCCCATCGAACCGGGAACTTTGTACCTCGAAGGGGCGACGAACGAATTGTGGACTTTTTTAATCGGTTTTCCCTTGATCTCGCTGTACACTAAGGTCAAATCGGGCAGGCCGATTTTGGTTTCCACATGCTGGACTTTGAATATCGGTCGGGATTGTTTGTTTTGCAGGCGTTTGAGGCGTTCCTTGTTCGCTTTCCACTGCTTGAGCCTGTCGTATTTTTCCTGTTTTTTGTTTGACTTTGGCTGTTGAGGCGTTTTTGTTTCTGGTTTTTTGTAGGGAGTGAAAGGCGACATGTTGCTAGGCAAATTTCTTTTTCCGAACATCAAAGTAACTCGTGAGGCTTTTCTAGTTAATAGAGCCGATAGTCTTCGATCGTCGACGGTTCGTTTTTTGTAGTTTTTATCGAGAGCTTGTCGAAATCCCTGCGTGAAATATTCGGTCACGTCCATATCCGTATCTGAAACAAACTGAGTAGATTATTACTTACTGAGTAAATACCGGTGGAGAAATATATTACCTTCAACGAAAACACTAGTAATTACAATTCAATTCAAATTACACGAAACCATTAGCGTTACTAAACAACCTACAGACGCGGAGAGGTCATTACAATTGAATTGAATTGAAATTTAACGGACAAAACACAGTGCTGCCAACATAAATTTAGGAAAAAAAATATGTAACGGTGTAGAATCGATTATTCGATTATTCGAGATAATTTCTTTCTCTTATGATGAATTCGAAATAAACAAACAAACATTGATAAACAAATATATGCAAACGCTACGAAATGCAAAAAATCACCATTTATAAGCCGTAATTCTTGAAAAAAACGTTAATTAATCGAATGACCGAGTGAAATATCGATACTTCCAACATTTTAAATTGACGCATCGATAATCGACATTCTGGGTTGTCATTGGTGATTGATGTTTCCTCTTCCAAAATTCCCAATTCTCGTCGCTCATTGGCCAGAACGATTTCGTCCGCTTTCTAACCTTAAAAAGATGTTCAAAACTAAGGTGGCGAATAAAAATTAAATTTTGACAAAATTATGGCACGACCGTTGTACTTTATCGTAAATTTAATACTTTTGTGTGCGACCGTGCGGTGTTCCAAATTGAATGTACCCCGTATATTACTGCCGATATTCAATGATTTCGCGACGAATTTCATACTCGAAGCCACCGAAGGCGGTTGTTATAAATGGTAATTTATTTCGTACTATGATTAAGCGATTCAATAATTATGCACGAATCTGATTTTATTTTGTAGGGCTACTACTAGAAGTGACTTAATAGGTATAACCCCGTTGGATCAGAACCCGAACGAAGATTGCTCGACTAAGGTCCTATTATTCACCATATCGAAGGAAAAAGCTCGTAATATCGCTGTAGTTTTAGCAGAAGATCTGCATTCAAGAGAAACGTTAAGATGCGACGTTATATTAGACACGATAAGCGAATTACGAATAACAACAACCACACGAGAGCTCTTCATGGAAGAAGCCCCGGAGCATTTCGAAGTGAACGCTTACGACGATCAAGGAAACGAATTTTCCACCTTAGAGGGCATCGAGTTCGAATGGAACATCGTCACATTGAGTTCCAACAAGCAAACTGTATTGAGGTATATCACTTACAAGGACTCACCTTACGAGGCGCCGACGGGAATCGTGGAACTGGAAGAACGAAAGAAAAAAGGCCATTCCGTTTTGCTCGAAGGCGTCAAAAGCGGTTCGGCGAAAGTAACCGTCTCGTTGCCTTTTAACGAATACAAAAATATCCCCCCGTGCGAGGTACAACTCATGGTTGTTGCCAATATTTTAATAACTCCACCGGAAGTGTATGTTATGAAAGGCGATGTAGCTCAATTTAATGTATTTTTTGTAAGTATTCCGCGCGAAATTTCAACAGTATATTCGAATCGAATTTATTTTTAGCTCAAAAACGGCAGAATCGAAGCAATCAAACTACCAGACAATCAGTATTACCTCGAAACGGAGAACAAGGACGTAGCCATGACATACAAGGAATCCGGCATGGTCGAAGGAGTATCGGACGGTTCGACTCGAGTAGTCTTGCGGGACAAGCACGTAGACTCCAACGATCCTTTAATGAAACTCCCAGCCGCTAATATTTACGTAATGCCGCCCGAATATCTCGTATTAAACATAATGCCACACAAAAACTGGGCTGTATTAGTCGCCGATCATCACGACATCGTAGCCGAGCTCTACACCAAAGACGATCACAAGCTGGTCGTCGGACCGAACGCTCGAATTGAAATGGAAGTAACCTCGGAATTCGCTGTAGTCAGTAAATCGGCGAACGGCAGTTGGTTAACCGGTTACGGTTTGAAACCCAGCGTAGCAACCGTTCAAGCCGAGTTAAAGGGAGTCAACAGCGAAACGTACGGTAAAATAACGTTCAAATCGATCAACGCCAAAAACGATATAATGATCTATCCGAGGATGACGATCGTACCGTCTGAGGTTATCCTACCGTGGGATCCGGTCAACCGGCCAAAGTAATATTAGCGATTAACTTAATCGACCGATTACTAACTAATACGTTTTTAGATTCGATTTGCAACTAACCGTAAAAGGAGGTGACGGTAGATATTTGTGGATTAGTACCGATAACTCGATCGGTATGGTGAGTCAAACGGGTATGGTGAAAACCCTATCGAATGGCTTCTTCGAAGTAGCTGCAGTTATGTTACGAAACCACAATAATAGAGCCAGTACGAAGTTTATTATCATACCTCCGACTCGTCTAGAAATCGTAGAATTCGCCATGGAAGCCGAGCTAGGCAGTCCCGTGTATTTGCACATAGCGCTTTACGCGGAACAGGAACGAAACGGCGAAATCATCAATCTACCTTTCACGAAATGCCAGGAGTTGCCGTTTCACATTAAAATGTCCGATCAGAAGTTTCGACACAACAGAACCGCAGCGTTGCCGCCTATCGGAGTCTCGTGCGGCAACATCGCGATGACTGCTTTGGAACTCGGCACCAGTAAGGTAAGTAGCCACTTTTGTATGTACCGTTTGTATTAGTTTGTGTCGTTTTAGGTGACCGTTTCGTATTTCCAAGAAGGTAAAATGCTGGAGGATTCGGTGACGGTGAGCGCTTTTAAAAAATTGAAATTGATTGAACCGAAACGCGAAGTGGTACTAGCCGTTGGTACCACGCTAAATTTGGTGTATTCCGGTGGACCTCGACCGATGTTGGGTCGAAGTTCGGAGTATTCCCGAACGATCGTAAGCGAAAACGAAAACATCGCGCAAGTTAAAGACGTAACCGTATTATACCAAACGACTAAAGACGATATCACCGTTATACAGGTAACCTACGATCGATTCGAACACACACCGAAAGGATTTATACGATTCGGTTTTTCTAGGTGCTTTGCGCCCAATTGGGCGAGACTTACATCAAACTGATGATCAGCAACACGCCGAGCGTGTCGAATTGCAAGCCCCAAACGCATTCGATCAGCACGAAAATAATCTGCGGCAAACCGAGGAAAGTTACTCTGCAGCCCGAATTGCAAATCGCCGATACCGACGGTTGTCCCATGGACATCGGATCCGGTAACGTGGTGGTGCAAAGCATGGATTGCATCAACGTAGAGGTCTCCGTATACGACGAGTGCGGTAACAAGTTCCTCAACGTGACCAGCTTGCAGTTCGATTGGCTGGTCGAGCCCTACAAAAGTGCTAGAGTGTTGAACAAGGAATCGGTGTATCCCAGGAATTTGACTGTAGGAAACGTGCCGGTCGGTCACAATCACTACCAAACGATTCACCCGACTGTCGATAAAGGTGTGATTGTACTCAACGTGAGTGTATCGGGTTATAGATCATCGGTGAGTAAGAATTAATCGATCGATTCCTCTTATAATTGTATTATATCTCTTTGTAGATTATTAAAAGTTTTTATATGAAATCGGAGTGGCCGCCTTTCGTCGACGATGAAGACAAAGGTCGAACTGTGACGCCTCTCAAATCGTCGATAAGTTTGTACCTGGTGGAAAGTCCCGTGATAGCCGAGCCAATGTTAACTATATTCAATCATCCCGGTAACAAGATTACGGTGCCCATAACGCAAGGTTCGGGTTATTTCGAGCTGTTGCTCAGCGACGACGAGATAGCCGTTGTGAAGTATTTGGAGTCGAGTCGAGAGATTGAAATCACTCCGATGAAGTCCGGGGAATTGACCGTGCAAGTTATAGATTTGTGTTTGATTGCTAAACCGGCTAATTTGGTGGTGAATATAATAGCTGTGGGGATTATACGAATAGAAATGGTCGATAAAGTCGAAATCGGCAAGTGTATTACCGCTAAAGTGAGGTTGTACGACGAAAACGATAATTTAATGAACATTCCCGATCCGACTATGGTCGATTTGAGGCCGGAATTCGAAAATAACATCGCCAACATATATCTAGCCGAGAAAAGCGACGATTGGGGTATCGGAGAAGTGCAATTTATCATCACGGGTACCTACACGCTGCTCTCATCGATAATATTTACACTATAAATTTGTATGTTTTAGGTGTTGAAATAGGCGAAACTAAATTGATATTTATAACGACCGGAAACGAACAAGACGTCACCAGCGCTCCTGTATTGTTGCAAGTATTCGAACCGTTGAAACTGTCTCCCAAGAACGGTTCGATTATCATCAATTCCAAGTTGCAAATCAATTCGAAAGGTGGACCTTCTCCGGATGTTAAGATCATCTTCCACGCTGAATCGAGTTTCGTCGGTACACAGGCTTTATATATACTTGTTAAATACATATTACAGTGAATATTTTCAGAGGTTACCGATAAAGGCGTGGTAATCGGAAAGGAATTGGGTCAAGTTAGAATCTACGGTAGATCGGTCGGAGTGCATCCCTTCACTGGCCAGAATATTATCTACGCAGAAGACTACGTGGATATATCAATCGTAAAATTGCAAGGTTTGAAGCTAGTAGGTCCGATATTGCGGTTTAAAATCGGTACGGTAGCGCCATTTTGGGTCGTGGGATTACCGAATCTATCGCCCATGATACTCGGAGGTTTCGATGACCCGGCGATCAAATTCCGATGGACTGTAGACGATAAATTGTTGATTGACCTGTTCGGAATCTTCCACCAAGTCGGGGTGTTTAAGAAGAAATTCGATAGAGTTTCAGCTAAGGTTTTGTTGCTGTCAAAATGTATCAAATAGCGATTATTAACCAGTTGTATATTACATTCCAGGCCAGCGCTTTGCAAATAGGAAAAACCCGATTGTTCGTGAACGCGACCGTTCCGGGTAAAACCGTGAACGTTCACAACTTGGATTTCGTACCGTTGTCGACTTGGTTGGATTTGGAAGTAATCGGGGAATTTTCGCTGGTGCAACCGAAACATTTCCCCGCCAGGTCTCTACTCATGGCGCCATTCAGCGAGCTCCAATTGAGCACCAGCATGGAAAACGCCGTCGATATTATAGTCACCTACATGTAAGTTAGATCGTAAATCGTAAATCCATCGTTTTAGTACTAATTCGATCGCTATTCGTAGGTTACCGGGCGACAAAAGTTTCTCCACCGATCTCTTATCGGACCAATCGGTTCGCGAAGATCTAATCGTGACCGTGAGCTCGACGGGATTGATACAATCCTACGGCGTGTTGGGACAAACTTTGCTCATCATCACCTCCACCGATACCATGGGTTTAAAGCAACGCTTGAGCATAGTCGTGGAAGTCAAAGCCATACAATACATGAACCTGGTGGTCAGATCCAATTGGCGAATACACGCCGATAGTCAATTACCTACAGTACCGTTGGGTACCGAATTCAAATTGAAGGCTCTCTTCTACGATAACGTAGGCAACGAGTTCCAAGCGGGTCCTAAGAGATTACAGGCGAGGACTAGCCGGTGCGATTTGTTGCACGTGGCCGAAGGCGACGAGGACGCTTCGATTTGGGTGCACACCAAAGCCGAAGGTTCTACCATGATAAAAGTTTGGGCGGAGGGTACTAATACACCATTGAATTACACTCGGATATGTTTTATTTAACGTGTATTTTAGGTATTCATACGACGACCGATTACGTGAAGATCCACGTGGAGCAATCGGTGAAGCCCGAGTTGACGTTCCTCACGTCGGGGGACGTTGTTTGCTTTTGGACGCCGGTGGTGAGCGAGTACAACATGCCGGGTACTTGGAAGAGTAGCGACGATAGTTTGTTGCATATTAATCCGGCGTTGGATATCGCTTTCGTGGGTAACAAGGAGGGTACCGTGATATTAACGCATTCGTTTCTACCGAGCGCTCCGATCGCGATCGAGATTAACATGGTCAGTCATATCGAATTTTTGGATACGAGCATCGTGTTGACCAACGGCGATGTAAATAGCGTCGAAAGGATTATATTGGTGTTGCAAAGCGATAAGAGTTACGGTATAAAAACTAATAACTTGGTGAGTTACTTGTTTATCATCGATTGGTTCGTATTAACATGTATTTTATTACTTAGATACAAGGTTGGAGATGTAGATCGGATATTAGGAAGTTGGTCAGGCCGACTGGTTTTAAATGTTTCGGTACGTTTTCTAATACTTCGGCGCCGGTACCGTTCCAACGGTTGTACAATATAACGCCCAGTTGGGTACCCGATAGCGGTCAGTTCGCTTGTAAACTAATAAATCTCGGGGTAAACGGTACTCTGATATCGATGTTGAGAACCGACGTCGTCATTTGGGCTACTACTCTGGACATGTCCGTCGAATCGGAGAAACAAATCATCAAATTTTTACCCGGTAAACGCTCGCTTTATTTGGATACTTATTTATTCTATTAATACGTTATTTTCTAGGCGTTTACGTGGAGAAAGACATCCATTTGGAGAATACACTCGAAGGGGAATTTACGATAACGGGATTGCCGGAGGTTTTGGTTCAAATAAAAGTAGCACCTGCCGATAGTAGCATTCTGTACGTAGACGAAGGAACCGAATTCGGCGAAACCCAAAGGAAGTACAAACTACAAGTAATCGATTACCATTGGAGATTAGAGAATCTACACGAAGCGATGGCTATAAACGTGAGATCGATGTTAACCCATCAGAGATTCAATATATTAGTGCACGTGCACGGTCTCACGCAACGAGCCCAATGCATCGCGAACCAATCCCCCGTTTTAACGTTCTTGGAGACTTATAAAAACGTTATATTATCCGCCGTAACCATGTTGATTATATTCTTCCTAACATTCTACCGTAAGTACAACATCTTTAGGGTATATTAGATGGTTTAATTGGGCTTTAATTGCAGTATACTCGAGATACATGCAGCCGGTCGTCAACGTGAATCTTCACTCGCCTCGGGGGCCCCCTCCGCCGCCGGGGGGCGTTTTTAACCAATCGCAATCGTTCTACGCGGGGCCTTCGACGTGTCCGGGCTACAGGAGCGCCTTGAACGCGAGCATGAGCCCCCGAATGACGGGCGCTAATACATCGATGTGCGTTTGTTGTCAGTCGTCGCATTGCAAGCGACAGGAGCCCATTTACGGTGAGGCGAAGACGTTCTACAGCACTCCGGATTCATCGAGGAGAGTGATGTAATCGAGTTGTGTTCAGAAATTGTGTTCATTGACTGTATAAATAATAGACATTTGTTTTTGTAAATGTGATTTTTCAAATAAAATAAAAATGGCCGATTCAGTGGCTGTTTGATTAAGGAGTCGCTGAATAATCTCGGCGGTTGAGGCCGGGAAAGTTTTTAGGTTATGTTTATGTAATTGTAAACTTGGCATACGTGATGAATTGACGATATTCAAAAATTTGCATAAAATTGATAAAAAAAGTTTGATTCAATTATCGGAAAATAGTGAAACCAACCATGTCGGACGAGTTTGTTGTTAGAAACGAGAACATTTTGCACAGCGGCATGTTCCATCCCACTCTGAGAACTTGGCAAGGTTTACAATGCAATATCGGCCCCGAAAACTTTATGTATCCCGTATTTATTGTGTAAGTATTGAATAATTCACTTACATTATAATTCAATTAACTATTTTAGCGAAGAAAATAATGCTATTCAACCGATCGATAGCATGCCAGGAATATCTCGGTTTGGAGTCGATTCATTGAAGCAACACCTACAACCTTTGATTGCGAAAGGTTTAAAATCAATATTACTATTCGGCGTAATAAACACCCTTACTAAAGTAATAAAAAATCCAATCAACCGATTAAAACTAATAAAACGATGAATTTCAGGATGACAATGCAACACACGCAGACAGTCCCCAAAATCCGGTAATCAAAGCTCTCCCGAAACTACTCGAGTGGTTCCCCGATTTAATCATAGCTTGTGACGTTTGCCTGTGTCCTTACACATCTCACGGTCATTGCGGCATGTTTAACAACGATGGATCCTTAGACAATACGAGCAGCATCAGAAGAATATCCAAAATTGCCCTGAATTACGCCAAAGCCGGTTATAATACGATTCTATTCGCTTAGACATTTCATAAACTGCTCAATCTTCAGGTGCTCACATAGTCGCTCCTTCCGATATGATGGACGGGCGAATCGGTGCGATTAAAACGGAACTGGTTAACAACGGATTGGGGAATAAAGTAGCAGTGTTGTCCTACACGGCTAAATTCGCTTCTAATTTCTACGGCCCCTTTAGGTACGTTTTAAAGTCGTAAAATTCTGAAATATCTTTCGCTTGAATATCGCAGGGACGCGGCTAAATCGAAACCGGCGTACGGGGATCGAAAGTGCTATCAATTGCCTGCAGGTGGCGCGGGTTTGGCTTTGAGAGCGGCCGAGAGGGACGTCTCAGAAGGCGCCGATATGCTTATGGTGAAACCCGTAATGATTTACATGGATTTAGTTAGACAAATCAAAGACAAGTATCCGGAGCGTCCCATGTTCGTTTATCAAGTATCCGGAGAGTATTCGATGATTTATAACGCGTCTGTGAAAGGAACGTTCGATTTGAGATTGGGTTTGATGGAAATTTTCTCGTCTCTTAGAAGAGCAGGTAAATTTGTACTTGCTATGTTTTTAATATCGTTGCTTTATTTTTTTATTTTTTTTGTTGTACAGGTGCCGATGTGATTATTTCCTACTTTACTCCGCTTGTACTACATTGGATGAGTCAACCTAAAAATAAATTGTAAATGAACTATTAAATTTAAATAGTGTAATTATTAATTTGTTTTGTATTTTGTGTTGCCTAGTTTGAAGGGGTGTATTCTAAAATTGGCTGAATGCCTTTAGCAATAGAGGCCATATTTGTTGAAGGGTGACATAAATGACAGTGACAGTAATAATTCCAAACTTCAATTTTGATTTGATTGCGCTTTATGTCGTTAAAAATATTGTTAATATTTATTTGAGAAAATGAGCGAATTTAAATTAGAACACATAATTGCAGAACTACGCACTACTTTGAGGTAAAAAAGCGCGCGTCGAAATTCACGAGTAGTTAATAATTCCTTAAATTTTAGAGGTAAAGTCAATCCGAACAAACTAATCGAATTCGTACAAAAGCGAAACATTCCTACGTCTCCAGGCTATTCGGTCGAACAAAAACATTTAACCCGACTACTTCAACACATCCCAGATCAAAACGCTTTCATGGTGAAATACAATGATCTCAAAGATAAAAAGTAATGAAAATAATCAACGTAAATCGTACAGGATTAATCGAACGCCAATTATTTATTCCAGCGTCGACTCACTGGAGTGTTACGTACAACTACTAGATAGAATATCGCAAAATCAAAGGATGAAGATCGCTTTACTGAGGAATAATCGACCTCATACAGCTGCAGTAACTGAATTAACTAGAGAAGACTTACCACAAGTAAGGCAAACATACATTTACTATAGAGTTGATTATATACTTCTAATTGTAGTTAAGAAGTCGATTAAAAGAAGCGGTGAATAAAAAATCTATCCAAGATGGACACGGAGAAAACACCTCTCACACGAATTCTTTTCTACTAAACACAAGTCCATCGGTAGCATCTTGGGTGCAGCGTCGTCCTACGATGACTTGGGACTTTTACACGTCGGGCACCGGCCATTCCGTTCCTATAGTACCTTCGGTATCGCAAGAGAATATACTAATAGAGGATTTACTCAACGCTTTCATAGGTATTCAATTACAGATTTTATTTATTTAGTTATTGCAATCGATGTGATACTAGGTTTACCTGGAAACTACATCGAAGCCGAAGAGTTAAGGGATATTTACGGACCGAGGTCGTTTAGGATCAACGACAACGTTTCGTTGCCTTTAAGAGAACTCACCAAACAAATATTACCGTTGGCTAGTCACTATTCGATTATACAAAGGTTCATCGAGGAAAAAATGAAGTTTGAGTTTGGTCAAGTCAATAACGCTTTAGCCGAGGCCATGCAAAGTATTATTAAAGAACATATGGTAGGTTAAAAACGTTTTTTATTTCGCAGTACGATAATTGGATATTTTTAGTTGTTTACTATACAATTGGAAAGCGAGTTTAAGTTGGGCAATCTTACACTGCAAAAATTGTGGTTTTACGTGCAGAAAAATCTGCAAAGCTTAAGTGTAGTTGCGAATATAGCGAGTGTGATAAGCAAGGTAATATTAATTTAGTGTAATACATTGAAATATACATATCAATTTCGTTTTTTTCTTGTAGTCCGATGGTAAAGGTGGTAAAGTATTAAGTCTGCTGCACGATCGTGTGATCAGCTCGATCGGTGACGATCGAACGCAGGAATTATGCTTGAAATTAATGGAAGCCGCTTGTTTTCCTTACATGAAGATGCTAGGAATGTGGATTTACAAAGGCATCATCTCGGATCCCATTAAAGAAGTATTAACATTGTAACAAACTCGTAGAATTCGCTCACTCGATTTGCTAGTTTTTAGTGGAAGATAACGAAATAGTGCAAAGAGAAGAAATGCCGGTGGACTATTCGACGGATTATTGGGAGAAGAAATACGCCATACGACGCGAGAGAATCCCCGTATTCCTCGAACCGGTCGCCGATATCATCATCAAAACGGGAAAGTATTTAAATGTGATCCGCCAATGCGGCAAACAAGTCGACAACAAAGTCTTGCCTATACACTACAAAATCGAAGAGAAACATTACATCGAAGCCATCGAGAAGGCTTACAAATTCGCCAGTCAAACGCTCCTCGATCTCATCATCAAAGAACAAGATTTAATCGGGAGATTGAAGTCCGTTAAACATTACTTTTTATTGGATCAAGGCGATTTTATCGTTACGTTTCTCACGTTGTGCGAAAAGGAGCTGGTTAAATATTCGATCGATGTGAATCAAGGTTGTATCGAATCCCTTATGGACTTGGCGTTGAGGATGTGCAGCGCCAATAACGATCCCTACAAGGACGATTTGAGGATCGATTTGTTGCCGCAGAATTTGGAATTCCAAATGTTCAAAATACTCAGTATTCAAACGAACGCAGAGCAAGGTACTTCACCGCGCTATTTACAAACCAAACGATTACAATCTATTGTAACTTTCGCAGAATTCAAATCGTCCCACACGGAACAGAAGAAACTCCTTCTGATCCAATCGTTCTCGTTCAACTACGACGTTCGTTGGCCGTTGTCGTTGATATTGAATCGCAAATCGTTGGCCTGCTACCAGATGATCTTTCGACATCTGTTCTATTGCAAGTACGTGGAACGATTGATCTGCCAGGTGTGGAAATCGAACAAGGTGGCGAAAAAGTTCCATTTCGACGACGCCCAACACTACAGGGCGGCCTTCGCGCTGCGCCAGAGGATGCTCCATTGCATTCAAAACTTGGAGTACCATATGATGGTCGAAGTTATCGAACCGCATTGGTGTACGTTCATGAACAAAATTCATAAGGTATTCAGATTGATACAAAGTTCTTTGTCTTACTCTTTGTTCATTGATACTACTATTCTCTTCTTACTTTCCTTATTCTTTCTGGTATTCTTTGGACATGTCCAAGCAGTACTAGATGATAATAGTGTTTATTTTTAGGTTCAAAACGTTGATGAAATCCTTTGTTGTCATTCGGATTTCCTGGACAGTTGCTTGAAGGATTGCATGTTGACGATACCGCCGATTTTGAGTACGATCAACAAGCTGTTGAACATATGCGAGGATTTTTGTAAATTCATGCAGGTAAACGATAGAAATTGTCTTATCCGGAGAATTGGTAGGATTACGGTAGAGCTCTTACGAGGACATGTAATTGACAATAAGATGCTTGTAAATTTGTACATATAGAGTACCTATAGAGGCTCAGTAATGGTGTAAGTTCGTTTCACATTGCACCTCGATTATCTCGATTATTTCGATGCGAAATTTGTGCATAAAAAGAAACTAATGTTGTTTATTTTTTTTATTTTTTGCGCACCATTAACAGCAGACGCAGCGATATTTCGTGGAGGCGGAATTAGGCTCGTTGCCTAATTCTATGTACGAATCATTTACCCAGGTACTTTGATTAGCGAACGCTTAGCGATTGCCTGCTTTATTTTTTTTTTCTATCATTTCAGTTTGTTTGGTTTGTTGTTTTTTTTTCGCTTTTCGCTGTCGTGTGATCGTTTCGATGAATTCGCACTGGATGTTAATACACGCCATTTTAAATTCGTTTTAATTTATGCATTAAATACATTCAGCGCCTCACTTTAACATTACACAAAGTTGCGTCTCTAACTTGACAGATTTACATTGTTGTTATGGAGTAACTAGGGACTTTGTTTACATCAAAGCGACCCTCTAAAGCTATGTTTAAGTTTAAAGTGGGGGCGCTGAGTACTGACAAGTACATATATCACATTAAATTAATATATAAAGCGGATTATAACCGTAATTCAATGCGCATGTAAATTGGTCAAGTAAATATACCGTCATTATCGTTATGTAGTGTTTTTTGTGGAGGAATTTTCTCACATTTTTTGCATCGCTTTTCAGAACGAATTGGTTTTCCAAGGAAACTCCGATCCGGGAGCGCCGGCGCTCAGTTTCAAGCAGAAAATCTCTAAGTTCGATATATCATTTTCCGAAGCGCTCATTCAATTATTAGACGGGATCAACGAGTTGAACAGGGACACCAGCGAACACGAGCGGCTGTTCAATTTGTTGTACAGGTAATTTCGAGTAGTATAGGGTGTCCCAAAATGTAATTTGACTACATTCTTTGCGGTTATCTAAGGATAGAATGTTAAATTAAATGTTCAGTTACATTTTGGGACGCTCGATAATTCGCCTAATACTGTGTAATATATGAATCCTTGATAGAATCCTTGCCCTATGTCCTTCGATCGATGGTCGTCCGTATGTCCCTAACCTGTCCTATATAGCTCCTTCGATTTGATTGCGAATCGCTGTAAGGATATTTCGTTGTGGAATTTTTCGATTATTTAATGGTTTTATTTTATTTTTTAGATTGGATTTTAATATGTATTACCACTATAGCGGTCAGTCGCACAATCACAGCATGTTCTTCGAGTCTTCCGGTTAATGTAAGTTGATATTTCACGGATTAAATACGTTTAATTTACTTGTAGTTTATTTTCGAATCTCCGGGGAGGTTAGTGCAGTTTGAAATAAACAGTTAGAAATAAAGCAACAATTCATCTGGATTTCTTTTTTTCGTAATTCCAAGATTGGACTTTCCCCGAACCGAATGCAGTGAATACCGCTGTCACGATCAAGTAGGTAACGGCAGTCCAATAAAAAATAAACCTCCATTGATCTTGATTTTCCTGCAACAATCGTTGTTATGTAATGAGTTACTCAGTACTAGTACTAATCCTTACATCGTCTGTAATAGTGAAATAGATGAGAACGTTTCCTGTCGAAGCGTACAAGATGGAAGCGCCGTTGCCGATGCCCATCAAAGTACCGGAATGGTTGGGCGATAGATCGATGTAATTCATCAAATGTCCGCTTTTTCCCGCGCTGAAGCAGCCGAGGCCTAGCATTAGAACGACTAGGGCTACTATTCTGGTATCTGCATCGCAATGGGCTATGACTAGTACCGCTATAGTCGGTCCCATGAACGCTAAAAGGGAGATTTTCATCGGTTGTTCGAGAGACGAAAGCGATACCTACCGATCGCGATCAATATTTTCCTCGTGGTCGTTACCGATGCGATTTGTTTGGTAATCAATAGATCCGCGAAATAGCCGAAAACGAAAGACATCAGCCATTGCAAGATGTACGGAACGGCCGATAGAAATCCGTACTGAAAATAGAAATAAGTAACATCGAATTAGATGAATCTATTGTAGCGGTTTGTTTTCTTACGGATTTCATATCGAATTTCAGCACGTTCTTCAGATAATTCGGTATCTGCGACAACAACGTCCAATGTCCGAAATTGTTACCGAATTCAGCTATAATCAGCGCCCAAAACGGCAGCGACTTGAAGATCGCCTTCCAAGGCGTATCTAATTTCTATAACACAAAAATCGCCTGTAAATTACCCACAAACCAACGCAATTTCTCACCTCCAAATGAAACGTATTCTCCAAATTACTTTCTATATACTTCCTCTCCTCCACCGATATCCCACCGTGCTCATCCGGCGCGTTGCAACCCACATAACAATACAAACATCCCAAAACCGCTCCAACAACACCAAACACATAGAACGCCATCGGCCATCCGTACCAAGTATTACACAAGTACCCGCTCACCACCATCGACAGCAAAATCCCAAGAGCGCTACCTACAACCACAATTTTTATCCAACCACAAATTCCACTATTAGCCCAATTCGTTTCACCTGCGAAGACGACGCTCCCGAGCCGCCCCCGCTCGCCCTCGGGCACCCACCTGCCCAGCAGGTTGTTGACGGTGGGGTAGAGGAAACTCTGGCTGAGCCCCAGCAGGATCCGGTTCACCATGACGCCAATAGAGCCCGTCGTAGCCGCGCAAACCGGTACTATCGCCGTGAACAACGAGCTGGATAGCAGGGAACCCACGATGAACCATTTACCGCCGAATTTGGTGGCCGCCCAGCCGGCGAACGGTTGAGGTGGGGCGTAGCCCCACAGGAAGGCCGATAGTATTAGGCTCTTCTCCGGCCAGTTGTACACCTGTAATTAAGGGAAATATTGGACATATTTTAATCCTATATTGAGACCACAAAGAATCTACTAGAGTACTAGAGTTAAACACCCTGTAACTTGGTTGTAAAGGCTGTAAGATCCACATTATATAGTTTTTTTTTTGTGATCTTTTTGGTCACCTCTACATCAGCTCTGTTCTGTTCTAACTCTACTCTACATCTGTTCTGCTTCGTTCTGCGTATACAAGATTAAAATATCATCCTTTAACCTATTGAAACACCCTGTATAAAGCTTTGAAATGTTTCCTACTTACAGGAACATCTTTGTTCTTGTGACCGGCGCTCGTCATTGCTACGATCGCGACGGAAATGCAAGTTCTCATCGTGTACATTGTTGTTACAATTAAAGACAGCCATATTACTTGTATGTGCCTTTTTCCGAATTTTCTGCCTGAAAATCGATGGGTGAATGTTTGAATTGGTTTTGCTGCGACTTACCTGTAAATTTTGGCGGTTTTTCGTCGGTGTTTTGCGGCACTACGGTGTATACTACTTTCTGAGGATTCATTTAAAAGGGGGAAGAAAAAGGAAAAATCTCGTGGTGTGGACGGTCATGAAATTCGTGTTAAAATATTGATACATTTTCGGTTGGGTTGATAAGGCGTCGAAATATATTAGCATTATTTAAAAATTTTACTTTAAATCGTCGCAACTTACATATAATTAAACGATCGGCGTGCGGAATAAATCAAATTAATTTTAGCAAATTAGCAATTTCTCAAGATCCCTAAAGGTTTTTAAATGCAAAATAACACGAGTACATTTCCAATATTTCCAAAACTCATTTTTAATTTGCATTATTTAGTTATTTCATTCAAATCGTATTCACTCGAGTAGATAAATAGTACCTTATTCTTATCAGTCGCGGGTTCTTATCGTAGTTATAGGTGAACCTATAAGTGGGTTTACAACCCACATTATATGCAAATTTCAGTCCCTTAATACATTTTTACATGTGCAGTACATTCCTTTATATACATATAGAAGAATTCTTTCATAATCTATAGACAATCAGAATAATCTGATAACTGTTTTAAGTACAGAGATAGCGTATTAAAAAAAGAGGAAGAATCGTTAGATAAATTTAATATTTATACTCGCTGAACAGGAGTGCGAGAATTACAAAATATGATATTAATATACGTTATATTTTCATTAGTAAGTAAACAACAATTCGATACCATTTACTCAGTAAATAATTTTTTGTAGGATATAATAAATGGCTACTGTTTCAACGCGGCTTTTATACGCAAAACTCTGGAATTAGGCGGATCATTTACATTCCTAGGAGTCGCAGGCTTCTTCGCATCCACTCTGAGCTTCTTCTGGAAACCAACAGCCGTAATTTCCCAATTTTATCCAAACAAAACACCACCAATTTAATTCACCCAATTCCAGGGCAGCCTCGGCGACAGAAACGGCCCCTCTAAGCTACTAACCCCCTGCATTTTGGCCAATTTACTCGCCTTCACTTGCACCTACTTCAGCAACTCCTTGACCCACTTGCTACTATGCAGATTGATTTTAGGTAAGTCTCACTCCTCGCTAATTATTCGCGATTAATTCAAGAAATCCTTGCAGCTTTTTCGAGCCCCACCCAATCGCTCCTTCGCACGATCGTCACCAACACCAGCAAAACCCAACAATCGGAGAATCTCGCCAAATTGGGCATCGCGATGCCCATATCGGTCATTATCGCCTCACTCGCCTACGGCCAACTCTCCGAACTCCCCAATGGCGTCCACTACATCTTCGCCATAATCACAGCGAATGCTTCCATAAGCCTAAGTAAGTGTTTGTTCCACTAAACAGAGTAGAAAACTTCCACACCCGACAGCTTCCTACTACACAGTAGCCATCATTTTTCAGCTATATCGAAACTCCTTCCGAAGGAAACACCCCGAGTGCTCCAAACCCGATCGACTTTGAGCGAAATCCAATCGAGCCTGCGAAAGTTGCGGAGCCTATCGACGTCCGGCGCCTACTGGGACGTGTTCCTGATCAAAGCTCTAGCAGCTTTGAGCTTCGGGGCGATCGAGAGCAACGGGGTGTTGATATTCGAAGCGAAAGGTTTCACCGGAAAGAACGCCGGGTATCTAATGACCGTGATGTTCGTCACGGTGTTTCTAACGAATGTATCGCAAGTGAAGATCAACAGGAGGTTTTATAGCGACGATACGGGGTATCTGAGATTGTCCCATGCGAGCGCTTTCATAATTATCTGTATGCTCGTGCAGGGTTTCAACGAAAGCGCGTGGGTTTTTGGATTATTTGTAGTGATATCGGGGATCGGTAGGTGCGTTTTGGAGCAGTCCATGATGGAGCTGTTGTTGAGTAAAGTCGAAGGCGACGAAAAGGGGATGTTGTTGGGTAGTTTCGATAGCATTCAATCCGTTACCGAGCTGTTCGTTCCGTTATTAAGCGGGGTGACTTTGGAGTTTTTGGGTCTACCCGCTCTGTTCGCGGTTTCATCGATTTTGCTTTCGCTCGAATGCGCTTTGGCTTATTCCAGAAGGAACGTCGGAAACTTGAAGAAAGTAAATTAAGAATTTTGTATATTAAATGCTTTGTTTCTACAATTATAATATTTACGATGGAATAGCAACCACCGTAGGCGTATACTGTTGGCATATTCTCTGAAACTCGTTCTCTTTATGCTTCAAATCCTTTATGTAAGGATGCTCGGGATTGGCATCTTTCAATTGCGATAAATATCTATTGGCAATCTGAAATAAACCAAAAACAATATTACCAATATCAATTAACTTCATTTCATACACACCTCGGGGCCTTTTCCCATGTGCCTTTGCAGAGTAATCAAATTAACCAAGGTATCCGGATAATTGGCATCTTTATCTAAAGCTTCCTGTAAAGCAGCTTCCGCTTCCTCGTATTTACCTTGACCTATAAATGTAACCGCTTGCCCGTTTAGTAAGAGAGGAGTCGAACCATATTTATCAACCATTTCTTGGTAAATGTAGTAAGCATCTTGCAGTTTATCACCACCCTAATATACAAAAAAATTCATAAAATCTAAATAATTCATATCACGAATAATACTTACAATAGCAACGTTAACCCAAGCTTGGGCTAGTTGGGTTAAAGTGGCATCGTCGTCTTTATCCTGCATTTCCTTCAGTTTCTTCTTAGCCAAATCTACACGATCCAATTTCAACAGTATGTCGATGATGAAAGCGTAGGCTTCGAGGTTCTCCGAAGCGTGAAGCGCCTTGTAAGCGGCTTCCAAGTTGCCTTCGTTGACGTAAACGGTGGCTGCGGTTAATATTAAGGCGTCGTTACCGGCGTTTGCCAGTATTTGTTGGTCGATTTGGGACACGACGGTGTCCTTCTTGACTTTGCCGGATAGGTATTCGGCCAGGAGTTTTAGTGGCTGGATGTCCGGCGACGAGGCCCCGTGGATTTCGTCGAGCACGACTAGGAATTTATTCTGGGCCATGTAGGATCTGTAGGTGAATGCGTCCCTCTGTGTGGCGACTTCTGGGGTCGAGGGCTGGAATGATTTGGTGTTATTGTGAGGTTAAATCGAATTATTGGTATTTACCTTTCGTAGTTTTTGGGCTTCGTTTATGCATTGTTGGTAGTTTCCTATGTAAAAGTAGTTTTTAATTTCGAATAGCTCGTCTACGTCTTGCTGCTGACGTGCCATTTTTGTTTTGATTTTTTTCTGACGTTTGACATTTAATATAAATCTTCTTTTTCTCTTAGATTTGATGGATTGAATATCTGATACGTAAAAGACAAGATTTTTAACAGTCGTACCAATAGACCCTAGAATTTGGTAATAAAATTAAAATATTCTCCCCTAATTTTTATGAAATTTGCTTCAATCTCTACTCTATTTGTTCACATTTTCATTTCAAAGAAATAATTACTGGCATCATAAATAAATGTAACGAGGAAATTCATCGTTAAATCGATTTGTCTATAAATGATTCATCGAGCGGAATTTTTCTAGTAGAATTCCAAAATAATTTCGAAAACAACGATTAATCTTGGCCTCAATTTTTCAATGTTTTCTCGATTTAATAATAAACTATAAACTATATAATTTCCTGTTTCAAGACTCGTTTGTAAATCATTCGTATTATATTAAAATAAAGTTTTATTGGAGTATACAAAACTTATAATACAGTCATTATAATTTTGTATTGAATTTGAAAACGCCACAAAATCGAATCGAATTCCTCTTTACAACTACATCAAATTCATCATTATCACCCACAATTTTCGCCCCATTTTCATCAAAAACTCAACCTATTATGTAATTGGTATAAAAAAAATCAAAAAATATTGCCTGGACTAATCGCTAAAACTAAATAAGGTGTAAAAATTTTTACACTCCGACCTCCAATACGCAGAATTTACATTTTACAGTGTCGTTAATTTCCCAAATATGCCGCAAAAAGTAAACAACCGACAAAAATCCAGTCCACATCGGAAAATAGAGCAAATCACAACGATGATATAATTCCTTCGAGTTATTAGATCTCTTCTGGTTTAACGCAGCGATTCCGAAAATGATTGCTCCCAAAATTATCATCGCACTACTTGCATTCTGCGCTATTATCAACTCAGGTAAGCATAGGAATATTTCTTTATAATTCATTATTATAAATCATTTTAAATGTTCCATAGGTAAAGCATTGCGTTGTTACGAATGCATAGCCAGCGTTTTCCCGGGCGACAACAGCCCCTGTCTCAACGGGGAGGAGATCCACCTGAGAAGGGTCCGGTGCATCGGCCCCTCCGTTTGCGCCTTCTATCGCTACGAAAGTAAACCCATTTCAATTACAATTTAACAACCCCACTAACATTCAATTCGTGATTGTTTCAGGCACCGTGCCCGGTACTCCCCCGGTGACCCACGCGACCCGGGGTTGCCAGTCGTTGCGCTACGGGGGCACCTGCGAGGACATCTTCAACGAGTTGAGGGCCCGGGGCGAGGTGTTGCCCGGTCAACACACTTGCGCTACTTGCAACAGCGATCTGTGCAATATGGCGGTGAGCAGAACGGCCAGTTCGGTTCTGTATTTTATATGCGTTGTCGGTTTTTTGTTGGTTTATCGTTTAAGATAATTTAGGGGTAGTTGTGTAGTAGTAAATAATACTTTTGTGTTTGTTAATAAATTGGTTGTACGACTAAACAATGTAATATCACCAGCTGTATTCATCTTAGAAATAATTTTTTTATGAATATTTTGTACTCGGTTTATTTTTTTTTTGTCCCATTCCCAGTTCCATATCAGAAGTTTTACTGAGAGATTAATAACAGTTTCAATGAATTACGAAAACCTAAAACATTATCCCACTAATAAATATTACTGTTTATTAATAAAGAAGCTTTACTGAGAGATTAATAAAAGTTTCAACGAATTACAAAAACATTGTCCCCACTCTGGTATATGCATTATTTGCAAGATTAATAAAATCCACGGTCGTGTAACTAAAATATTTATTTTTCAAAATAAATACACAAATAACTTTTACAGAGGAAAAAACAGTAGTTGCGCTAATTAATATAGTCCTGCAATAAATCACCGATACTCCAGGATATCCTCAATTAAAATTAACCGAAATCTATCCATAAAAAATCACTTTTGTTTCAATTTTCGATCCAACGAGATGATTAAACTAGCAATTTTCGCATTTCTGTTCGGTCAATGTAAGTTTTTTGAAATTTATTTTTTCGTAGCCGTAATCGAGGATTATTTTCAGGTGTATCTTTGCGCTGTTTCACGTGCAGCTCGCAAGTGGATTTGCACAACGGGATGAAAAGCGAATGCGATTATTTCTCTTACTGGGACAAGACCAAAATATCCGAATGCGTTTTTCCCAACGTTTGCGCTAAATATTTCGTCGATCGTAAGGATTCTTTAATCGATTTCGTAATCATAAAACCTCCTTCAACCCTAAAGTGCTACTAGCAACCTTTTCCTGAAGTTACCTCTTACATATTTAAAGCAAATTTTATCTTATAACTTCCTTCTGTTAACTCATTCTTTAACTCTTTATAATGAAATCGGCATAAGGAATAAAAGAGCAATTTTTTTTATAAAATTTCAGATGACGGTGTGAGATGGGTGCACAGGTCCTGTCGTCCTTACGATATATGTCCTGCAATGGCTATTAAATACAACAACAACAGGAACTCTTTAGTGGAATGCGCCACTTGCTCGGACTCGGATCTCTGCAACAGCAGCGAGAATATCGAATATTCCTTATCATCGATCACCACTGGTGTAGTTTTGATTTATTCCTTAATGTAACAAGTTAGAATAGCGCGAATAAACTTTTTACTTTAAATTGTTGTCTAAATTCCATGGAATATTTTTTATTTGTATGTGTCATCGTATAAATGCTAATTCGGGCGTTAGATAAACAACTTTATGAGCAAGTAAACTTTCTTATCGGCTTTTGTTGACATAATTTACCTAATTAAATCGCACGAATTTGTTTCTTCGCTTTATTTAACGGCATTCGGTGAACCGAGCAGAGGGATAAAAATGGAAATCAAACTCAAAATCATTGGGTTACTATCAACGGTATTTTTAATATTTTCTATCATCCACGAAGGTAAGTAATGATTTACCATAAACATTTCCTATAATTTACTACAATTTTCGCAGGTGATTCATCGATATCGTGTTACTCCTGTTCGTCACAAAGGAATTCCTCCAGTTCGTGCGAAAGGAACGTTTCTTACATCCCCACATCTACCGTGAATTGTTCCTTATCAATTACCAATAACTTCACACACTGCGTAACAATCATAACTAACAGTAAGCGAATAAAATACGCCATAAAATTACTCTTCTATTATATAATTGTGAATTTCTTCCACAGCATCCTTAGTAAGGGACTGCGCAAACGCCTCGAGTTGCAATCCTTCGCACGGCTACCAACAATGTTTCCTCTGCACATCCGATTATTGCAACAAGGATTCCATCGCTTCGAGTCCTTGGAGTCCTTCGATCGGGGCCGGATCTCAACCTGGATACGGAGGATCTGGATCGCAGTATAAGCCTGGCGTGACGTCGAAACCAGGATCAGGACGAGCGAACGGAGCCGCTTGGTTAATTTTAGTTGTTTGTATAGCGTTAAATGTATTTTTAGAAAACATGTAACGAAAATCCTGTGTATATAATTCACAACGGGAATTCCCTTTCAACAAAATGAGTCCTCGTTTATTTTGAAACCCATTCATACAAGGCTCGATCTATCTGATGCTTTATTTACCTTCGTCGTAATCTTATCTAAATAGATATATTTCAGATGTGTTTCTACAAAAACCATATTACTCACATGTTATATTTTTCATTCAGTTGAGTATATCCTAACTTTCAAGTGTTGTTGTTAAATAATTTAGAGTCTACAACAGTACCATGAAGAACACTATTGCTTTAATTTATATTTTCTTAACAGTCTTCGCTCAACATGTACCTTTATGTAAGTATTAATCTATCGATCGCAAAGTATTGCGTAATTATTCGCAGTGAGTCCTGCAAATATTTCTGTACATTTTTTTTAGCTTCAGCGTTACAGTGTTATCTTTGCGAAGAACAGGCAGGAAAAATATGCGATCAAAACGTAAGAAGTGTCCTTAAAACAAATTGCACGGAATCATTTGTATGCGTAAAATACATCTGGTCAGGTAAATCATATCAGTATCTAAACAATACAGCATATATACAGGGTGTAACAGAATGGTTTTACTACATATATATTCGGGGTTCGAAATTGGAGCCATTTTGTTACACGTCCTGTATATCAATAAAACGTTTCGTATTAGTAGGTACTTAATGCGATATTATTTTCAGATAATGTCGGAACAATAATACACAGAAGTTGTTCTCCGAGATCTATATGTGATGATCAAAGGGCTCAAATAAATCCTGCGACTAATCGTACTTTAAAGTATTGCAGTACTTGTAATACTACGCTGTGTAATTCTGCGCCGATAAGTTCATTTTATATTCATAATGCTTTTATTGCCAGTTTCTTTGTATGTTTGTTTATGAACAGATTGTTCGGATAAAACGTAATAATTTGATAGAAAATAACTGTTTATTTCTTAATTTATCTAATTGTAATTTTCGAATAAATACATGGGTAAAAGTAAATTGGTGTAACATGAATTAAACAAGGAATGATTAATAAAATAATAGTGGTTAGTAGTAAAGTTCAAAATAATTTCAAATTTATCCTGTCAGTAAGCTGGCCCGATGCAACTTAACGTAAGAGGCCATGTAACAGAGAAGAAGAAGAACATATATGTCAACTGTCAATCCTATTGGCCGAATAGCCCTGACAGCTGAGGCCAAGAATTTATGAAGAAGAAGAAGATTGTCAGGTCTCTTCTTTACGCTGTATTCAGTAACAGATCAATTTTCTATCAAAGAAAAAAGAAGAAAAATTAGGTTAAAATTTAAGAAATTGCAATATTTAGCATTTAACAAAAATATTAAATAATGTCCCTTTTAAAAACCTTATCGTTTACGAAAACAACAGTAAGGCATATCAGCAAGCGAGTGTTTCAATGGTACAATGAAGGTATACAGTATCCCGGATTTAAATATTATCCCAGGTATTAAAATTTACAATACTCGCAAGCAGGACTTTAATAAAGATTGTTTTAGAAATCCGGAGACGTTTCAAGACCCGCCTTACAACCCGTCTAAGTTATTTCGTGTAGAAAAAATCAAAACGTTAAAACACGCTCCATACTGGGAGAAGAAAATTATGAGCGAATTCCATCTAGACGGGAAGGTAAATCGAGCAATTAATTTATTATAATCGTATAATGTATTCCCTAATTTCAGCTGAACTCTTACACCATTGTAAAAAACATCCCGGAGAATAACCAGAGGTTATGGAGAGTGAAGCACTTGGTTAAAATCGTGCCCATAACGTTTCCGGACGGGTTTCCCAAAGAAGATGATATCACGTACCTTCAGGAAAACGGAGAATTGAAAATAATTAAAAAAGTCGATGCTGTAGATGAAAATAAGTTTAAATTATCCGAGTCTTTCCGCAAAGAAGTTAAACGTATGGACGGGGACACTTTGAGAAGACAATTAAGGCAAAAATGGCTGAGCGGCTGGGAACAACCTTAGAATTTAACTATGTACAGTTAATTTAACAAAGTACCTTTAAGATTATTCATTTTGTGTGGTGTTTTAACCAATTCGATCGATAACTAACGGGTTATAATAACAGAAAATGGCGATTTAATTAGTTACATAGTGTATTGAAACGAATTTTTTACAATACCTACCTTTTATTAACCTCTCGGTGACAAAATTTGCGAGCACTTAATGACTAGACACTTCAACAGAAATTTAAATAATTTACTAAATTTTAATACAACATAAAATCAACAATCTACCTAAAATTATTCAACTTTAGCCGTGCGAAATGATTATTTAAAATACGATGTTGAATAGTGGATAAGAAAAAAAAAACTATCTCGACCTAAGGTTTTGAAGTTGCTCGCACGAAGGCATCTTGATGTTCTGCGCGTTGTGATAGAGCTCCTGGTCACCGAAATTCCTCGCCTTCCAAATCATAGATTCCTCTGAAAAAACAAAAAAAAAACACAACCATAGTAATTCGATTAATCGATTATACAATAAGACTACATGTGTATACGCTATAAATTCTATTGGGCCAATACACATAATTTTATCACAACATTCACGGACTCTTTTCGAGGAATACCACAGCAAATTTCTACATCATCGCAGACGAGAATTTCGATAGTACATCGAGCACTTGGGGGAGGAATATTTTGAAAATACACCCGTAAATATCCCTCACGAACCGGCTCACCCTCAGGAATATATTCATAATAAAATAGACAAAGCAATTACTGTAACTTTTCTCCCTGTAGCAGGCGTGCTTCAGCGTTTGTATGTAATCCTCTTCGACTGACATCTCTAATCGCTTCACCGAACCTTGGTACTCCAAATGGAAATTATCCTTCACGTAATAGGGTATGTTCAAGTTGTGGGTCTTTCGCAAAACGGGATACTTTCTACGATAAATTCACGTAATTTATGATTAATAATTGTATAATATATCATAATATACCCGCTATGTTGTAAACTATACGCAGGATCGGAGATGAACAAACTCGAAGCCATCGATAACAAAATCGCTAGTAAAATAGGCAAAAGTTGGATAAACGCTGTATAACTGCTTTGTTGCTATAAAATATCGCAATTAATAATTAAACGAGTAAATATTTTTAGTTATAAACCTCTCGCTGATGGTGCTGGTGCTCTTGGTGGTTTTGACTGGCAGCGGTTTGTCTATGAAACCTGCCACCGCGTCGAAAATAGACATTTGTGCCAGTAAAACCGCCTCCAAAGAACATATTGAACAATTCCTCTGCCGTGGCGTCTGCTTCGAAACCCCTCGTGTAGGTGTGGTGATGAGAATGCGATGATATTCGCTCCTCGTCGGATCCATACAAATCGTATTGTTTTCGTTTTTCCGGATCAGTCAGTACAGCCACAGCGTTACCTTACAAATAATACATTTATAACGATTATAAAAAGTAGATTAATCGTGTTTTATACGTACCCACTGCTTTGAAAGCTTCCGAAGCGCCGGGGCACTTGTTCTTATCGGGGTGCATTTGCAAAGCCAACTTTTTATAAGCCTTTTTTATTTCGGAATCGGTGGCGTCTTTGCTGATGCCCAGTATTTCGTAATAATCCTTGCATTTTTTAATCCTCTTGACGGCCTCCGCCTGTTCGGGCGTGTAGTCGGGCGTTTTTTCTTTCTCTTCGGGTTTGTTAAGGGCCGTACGTTTCCTGGGCTGCGTGGCCTCGACGTTGTTCGGTGGTATCAGGTTCAGTTGGAGCAAAAGATCTGGAAAGTTTACGATATGTGAGGGATATATGGAATCAGCAATGATGTTTACCTTTGGCTTTCTGAGTCGGAAACAATTTCTCCGCTTTGTGGAGAAACTTCTCGGCCTTCTCGCGATTCTTCTCTTTGATGTACTTCTCCGCTAAATTAACGCAACGAGCAGCCTCGTCCTTATTGCCTTCCATTGCGGACGATATTATTAAATCCAATTAAAATTTTATTTACTAATCGACCAGCTGATGTCAGATATATTGAAGTGACGTCTGTCATCTGACGTAAATCGCGACGAATCACTGACAAGACAACTGTCAAATCGCTTTGGGCGGCAATTTCAAATATGGAATACAACAGAAACTTTAATAGCGTTTTCTATTGGTAAAATATTGCGCACTAAAAGTGCGGAATAGTATAAAAGAAACGATAAAAAACATTATATGTATATTACGTAAAAATAAACTTAATTATTGGCTGTTCTCACATCAAAAAGTGTCCAATTCGGCATCGGCTTGAAAGTGGGTTTCAAATGGGACTCTTTTCGACATTTTACCATCGACGAGAAACGTTGCAAACCTCTTTGATTCAAATATAGTACGAATTTCTCCAGCAAATATTCAAACACATAAGAATCATCCACCTAAAAAAAAAATTAACATTAATCCTGAACTAATACGACAAGTTTACATAATTCCTTATAGAGAGGAGTTTTAGCATAACTGACGAATTATGCAAAACACCCTGTATATATTATAATAATTCCCAATTACTTGGTTCAGGTGAGCTTGATTGTTATGGGTATCATCCGGCTGGTCTTGATCGTGGAATGAATAAATACCATAAAAACCGGTCACTAACCGGAACACTTCCAACAACCTTTCGGAATTAATATGGTTGGAATTCGTTAGAGAATTCGAGAATACTCTGCTTCTACCCGCAATATCTTCAGTGAATAAACTACAAAAGTATCAAAATTAATAAAACAAGTTATTAGAGTAAAACGAGATAAATTACATCATGGAGAATTCCATTTTATCCTCATAACAAGTAGTAGATTTTGTTAGTCCTTCGATGCTTTTGCACGCTTTACAAACGATTCTCGTTATTCTCAATTCGCATAATTTAGTCTCGAAAATCTCGTTCCAAACCACCACACCTCCGGGTATTCCGTGACCGTTGCTCAGGAAATACCTAGTCGATTCCATCGAATTCGATCTATAAATAAAATTACTCCGAATAATCGTTATTGTATAAAGGAATTTTCGAACTCACTGGTAAACTGGTACTTTGGGTTGGTAACTAACTATCTCGATTGTAGTGAACGCAGTAGGCTGTAGATACCTGGGCATCTTTCGTACGTTTCTAACGCGCAGTATCATGGATGGTACGAGGCCAATCGGTCGCACTTTCAACTCCCCATTGCTCAAATACAGCCTCATGCCGGCTTCATTCGATTGCGAAAAATCCACCGTGTTGGTTTTGTTATCTGCGCAAAATTAATACAACTAATGTGTTATCATGAATGGGTTTTAGTTTACCTAAATTTTTAAATCCGTTGGGTAATCTAGCCAAGCTCGATTCGTTCACGTACTTGTTCTCCACAAAGTCCCTGTTACAAACGGCTCGCTCGAATGATATTAAATTGGTCTCGTTGTTCGTTAAATTTTCATCGATCTTTTCGAGTTCCTCGAAATACACAGCTTCTGCGGGGGATACAACGAAGCATTCCAACTTTTCGATTGATCTTAGTTTGTGATTGTGTTTCGTGGCGCTAAATGATTAAATATTAAAACAAATTTGTGAGCGAAACATCCGGAGGAAACTTACAAGAGTTTGTTGGTGTACAAATTGTATTTGAATCCTTCTCGTAGGAACAGGTGGATGCGAGTATAAAATTGTGGCAACGTAAGGTAAGCTCTTTTTCCGGTTTTAACCGATAAAATCTCTAAATAAATATCTATAGCAATGACAGTAAGTTCTCTCAGGGAAACCTGAAAAATGTACATTATGGTGAGTTAGAAAATTTCGCAGGAATACAAATTAAACCTGGCTCTTTCGAATAATAATAATTTCCTCTTTAAATCGAAACTCTCCAAGCGGAGGCGTCGTACCTAATAAAGGACATTTCTCTACGTTATGCACCATAATAATATCCTCGAAATCCACAATCAAATATTCCCAATTTTTCACGGTCGGATCCTTAAATACCTCCGTAATTACTCTGTAGTCCTTCAAAAGAACGTAAGTGTTGTAAAATATCGAAAGGTTACTCGAGGAATTGGTAATTGCGCAGGGCATTTTGTGGAAATCGTCTCCGATCATCAGCCTACCCTCCAGTTTATCAATGAAAAAACGACCAAATAATAATGTATTGTGCCCAGGTTTCGAATGGACTCCATAAGACCAATAAGGGAAGTCCTTGTACATGCAGGATTTATCGTCTATTACGATGTATTTGCAGGAGCCTACGGAGATAATGGAAACGTCGCCCTCTTCGAAATGCTGCGAAATTTCCCTCTTCAACGGCCCCAGAAGGACTTGCCGTTGCACCTCCGTCATTTGGAAATTGTTTTCTAACAAATGCTCGATTCTTGTCGTTAAAATTTCGCCCGTCTCCATCGCTGTAGTTTCCTAAATACATCGAAATCATTAGATTTTTAATGGAACGAACCACGCTCACAGATTACCTATCCTAGTCGTTTGGATTAGTGCCATTAGTGGTCTAGGACCTGAACCGGAATGAAAAATGAATTTGAACATTAGAAAAGTTCAAGTTTATCCAACCGCCAATTTTTGACGTAAATGTCATAAGTATAAAAAAGAAGAGACGATAAAAAAGAAGAGAAACTATAAAAAAAGAAGAGTCGATAAAAAAGAAGAGACGATAAAAAAGAAGAGACAATAAAAAAGAAGAGTAAAAATAAAAAAGAAGAGCAGTGTTTAAGACTTATAACCTCAAAGTAAAAGGCCGCAAATTTGACAATCAATCTTATAAGAAGATGACAGAAACGTAGCTAACTTCACATCGCTGGTTTGACGTTCTTTTCCAATTTTGACGTTACCGAATCCAGCGTTTCTCCTCGATTTTTCACCAAATAAAAACCTAATCGACATGGCATTCGGAGATTTGAGCACCGAAAAGGGCGTGAAAGAACTCAACGCTTTCATCGAGGACAAGAGCTACGTGAGCGGGTAAGTTTAACCAAAAATCTCTCCAACATAACCCAACTTTACACGCGTACGTTCGCTTCGATTTTCGCAGCTTCGCCCTGAGCCAAGCCGACATCGACGCCTTGGGCAAGCTAACCAAACCGCCGGCGGCCAATCTGCCTCACGCCCTGCGCTGGTACAACCACGTCAAATCCTTCACCGGCGACGAACTCAAAGCACTGGGGCTCTCCGGAGCGAGCCCGCTCAAAGCCGGCGCCGCCACCACCACCGCCGCCGACGACGATGACGACGTCGATTTGTTCGCCTCCGACGAAGAGACCGAAGAGGCGGCGAAGATCAGAGAGGAGCGCCTCAAGGCGTACGCCGACAAGAAATCCAAGAAGCCCGAGCTGATAGCCAAGTCGAGCATCGTGTTGGACGTGAAGCCCTGGGACGACGAGACCGATATGAAGGAGCTGGAGAAGGCGGCGAGATCGGTGGAAATGGAGGGGCTCGTGTGGGGCGCGTCCAAGCTGGTGCCCGTCGGATATGGAATCAACAAATTGCAGATCATGTGCGTGGTCGAAGACGCCAAAGTGTCTGTGGACGAATTGGTGGAGAAGATTCAAGAGTTTGAGGATTTCGTTCAATCGGTCGATATAGCTGCCTTTAACAAAATCTAAATCGTTTGATGTACGTTAAGTTTGTATATTACTATTAAAGTGTTGTATACGATTTATATAACAGTGTTTTTTTCGTTGTGTGTTTGATATAAATGTTAATGTACAATTGAAACAACTTATGAGACAATTAATAATGAAATGTCAGGTGTCAATTATGGAGATTTTTTTACGAGGCTGAATAGCCCGCGCATCTGAGGCCTTATACAGATAAAGAAATATAATGTCAAATAAAAAAACACGTACTGTAAAACGAGTATAATTAATTAGTACAATTTTAAATATAGTCACTATTTATTCAATATTCTATAGTATAGAGTTAAATCGGAGGAAGATTTCCATATGAAATGTTTAACTGTTCTCAGATCCATCGAAGGATCCAGCACCTGAAAAAAAAGCCACAAGAAAATTTCATTTAAAACAATTCTGGACAATTCCAAACGATTTCGAACAGTCCTAAGATAGTTCTGAACCGTTTCAAACGGTATTACTAATCAATTCTAAAGTGATTTCGAACAGTTCTAAGATAATTCACCAACCTGCTCGTTACAGGTCAATTCGATTTGATCGACGTTGTAACCGTTATTCGATAGAGTAGAAGAATCGGCATCGCCGCCCGGCGAACTGGCCGTCCCGTCGCCCAATAATTTCTCTAAAATGTGCTCGGCCACTTTTCGACATTGGATAAAATCGTTCGCCACCAATCTATCCGGCTGAGAAAATCAAAATCTCGTTTATGTAAATACCCCGAAACACAAAACAGTCTTTCGTTCGTTCATTTCTTTCGATAGTTTTCGTACCTTTTTCATCCTGTCTTGTTTCAAAAGGTGCGAAGGAACGCTGGAATGCGGTTGAAGGTAGAATTGTACTTTGATGAATTTATTCTGCGAGTTCTCCTCGATGTTCGATATCACCCACGAGGGGACGGTTTCGCTCAACAGGGTGTTTTCCGTTTCGCCCCCCGCGTCGCCCACCAACATCCTGTAGAGCGTGCGCCCGCCAACTTCGCTGAAAAAAATCCACAATTTCTTATTTATTCTTAAAAGTGAGAATCTACAAGACAGTTGGACACAATCCTAAGCGATTTTGGACAGTTCCAAATCGTTCTACGATTGTTCTAAACTGTTTCGAATGTTACTCGGGTTTAGAGCACTCAAATAAACAATAAATTCACCTCAAAATCAACGGTACGTGATTGGGAACGGTGAAATATTGCCCTTCGTCGGTCTCGACGCCCCGCCAATGTTTGAAGAGCGCCTGCAACAACAATTTCCCGTAATTCACTTTGAGATCGGGCTCGGGAAGGTTCTTGATGCCTGCGTCTCGGGCCGATACCCAAGCGGAGAAACAATCTACCTCGTCTTGCCCCAAATGTACTGTTAACATCTGGAAAAATCGTCGGATAAAAATCCTAAATAGAACGAATTGTTAGTTTGCCTACGCCGGTTTTTAAATCGGTGTTAAACCAATTGGGTACGTAGATCATTTTGAATCGGTTCTTCTCCTCTTCTTTGAAATCCACTTTGCCCAAATCTTCCACTTGTTTGGCCTGGAAAAATGCACGGTTTTGTACATGTTTATTATGAATTTATCGGTTCGATTACCCTGAGTACGTCGTAAACGGCGACGTTGCCGTGAGTATCTTCGGTTAAAATGTGTCTTTTATCGTTTAATACAACGGCCTTTTTGATGGCCGCCCCGCCGGGGATGATCGATAGAGGGGCGAATGTTTGTTCGAATGAATCTTCGGTGAAATGTTTATCGGTAGGGAGTTTCCAGCATCTTATGTTAGAATCGGACGTAGACACCTACAAATAATCATTTAATAATATACACACACTGAACAAAATAATGTTTAAAATAACCCACCCAGATGGCGTGATGATCGGCCGTGAAACACATCTTCAATATGGGCGCCTCTTCGTTACACACCGTAATACTGTTCGAGGTGTTTTTTAAATCAGTCATCACCACCTGAAAGATATTTAGTTAACAATAATCGATTATTTTTAATGATTATCTACCACCTTTTTATCCCGTCCACCGGATATCACGTGGCTGAAATTCTCTGTAGCCAATAAGGCCCACACCGAATCCTGATGAACTCTAATCGTCTGTACACACCTAGAAATTAAAACAGTAAATAACACATAAAAGATTATTCTTTAATTTGACAGGTAAGACTAAGAAGATTCTTTCACTTTTGACAGTTTTACATTGGTTGTTATGGAGTAACCGAGGAAGTTGTTTACGTTAAAGAGACCTCTTCAAATACGTTTTAAAAAGGAATATTTTCATAATAAATTAATTGATTTAATTTACCTTTGAGCGACCAAACTCCACAATCTAATCGATCCGTCGCTACTACCCGACAGACATTGATTTCCATCTCTCGATACCACCAAAGCCTTCACGTTATCCTGATGACCTTTCAATTTGAACAATTTGGCACAAGTTCTGGCATCCCAAATCCTCAATACTTTCTCGGTGGAACCGCTCACGATTATACTACCCGACGGGTTCATAGCCAAACTGTATATCGACTCTTTGCTACCCATCAGACTGGAAGCTGCAATGATTTTCCGATGATAATTCGAGATAACCGATAACATTTCCTTACTTACTCGTAACGGTGTTATTGAGCGCCGTCAGCGCCGTTAGAGTGTTAATGTCCCACAAATAGATGGATTTATCCAGACCGGCCGAGGCCACTTGTTCTCTGTCTTTCGCGTACGCCAAGGCCTTCACGTAGTCCTTGTGGGTCCTCAAAGTGGACATGCAGAAGCCTTTGTGGGCGTTCCACACTTTCACCGTCGTATCCGAACTGGCCGATATCACTGGAACCAAACGAACAGTAGGTTAAAAAAGATAGCTGGAGTCTTAACACATCGAGGGACTCGAGGGACTTAATGGATGCGCTTAGAAGGAGGAATGGGATTCGATAGGCCTCGCTAGAGGTATCTAATGATAGTATTTTAGATTGTTAGATGAATTTGTGGATAGTTACGGTTTTTTCCTCCGCAGCAGAGGACGATGTCGTTGACCCAATCGGTGTGGTGTTCCATTCCGTGTAGGAATTTCTCATGTTCGTAGACTCTGATGACCGAGTCCCTTCCGGCTGAATATAGACGGTCTAATGAGGGATCTAATTGCAAAGCGTTGATGCCTGATCGATGTTTCTTCTCTTCAGCTTCGCATATGACCATCGAAACCTGGAATTTTAAATTTAATTCGATTCAGAGACTAAAGTTGATTGTTTGTTGTGTTTGAATCGAGATTGTTATTCGAAAGTACGCTGCTTTGTAACGTTTTATGATTTAAAACGAGTTTTAAATGAATAAAATGAAATTATAATCGACTCGCCTGGACTTTTTTCCGAGTGCTTTGACTTCCTTGCTTTATCGTGGCCATTTTGCTCAGTGGAGAAGAAACATCTCATAATTTCGCTGTTTAATTACAGCTCGATGAAAATGTACTTATTTACACCTTCAAACAATAACATTAGAACCCTTAGGTTATGTTTTTTTTGTCAATAAAATAAACATTCGTTTCTACTTCTTCTTCTTCTTCTTCTCGTTCTCCTTGTTGATTCAAATTGTTGCCTGAGTCGGTGCGGTTATTTGGTTACTTAAAAATTAGGTATATGTAAGATAAAAAAATCAATATTTATTCAAAGAAATATTAAAATTGTAAACATCTACGTAAATACGGTAATGTTGCGACCTAAATTACGAATTTAAAATTTACCTATTTTGAAAAACGACAGGTGACAGGTGTCATCGAAACTTTGGTAGTTTGATCTAACAGCTTTTTAGGGTTTTTATATGCATTTTTTCGATTTATTTCAAGTTTTTTAATAACTTTTGTTAAAAAATATAAACAATAATGAAACATGCGTGTGTAGTGTGCAAAAAAGTGGATCATTTAAATCAATATTTGTCTTTTTATCGGTAAGTAAGTTTAAGTTATATTTTTTTTTTCATTTGAAGCATTCACGTGGGGCACCATGGAATTTATCATAGAAACATTTAAGTCTCTTAGTTGTATTATGCCTTTATCCTTTTGAACCCTATACGCTATATTTTAAATAAGAATAATAAGATGCCCAGCCAGCACGGCATCACCCTGTATGCACATCACGCGTGCCAGCCCTTTAAATTTATCCAAAATTTACTACATACAATTACAATTTACCCATAAAACGAACCGATGGGTATTCCCCATACCAACAAACACCTCACAAAAACGCTGTTCGGGTATTCCCAATTATAAAAATATACCTGTTATAGGGAGGCGTGAATAAACAACTTTCGATTTCATCCCGACCCCTCACCGAACACAATAGAAAACAACCCTCCATAAAACGCGCATCAACCGGATCGTGCCCGAGCCTAATGATTACTTCATTTCGACCTTTTTTTCCTCGAGAACCTCGACGCTATTAATCAACAACAAAACAACACAACAACATCCTCAAGAATAGACCGGGGCACCCGGCGTGTGCCCCACTACCATAGAAAAACCACCACGCTCGAGCGAACGGAGGGCTTTTCGTGGAGACCGTCCAGTCGTCGAGCTCGAGTCGCTCGAGCAGTCCTAATCCTGCCCAGCGCGGTGGCCGCATCACCGGGTAGACCTCGCGAAGCGCGCACGTGTTGCTCCGAGACTCGCGCGCGATCTTCGTTCGATTTTTTGATTTTTTTTGAGAAAAAACTCCGCCGGAATTATGCCGAGGAGTGGCGCTTTCGAAAGCGCCTGTCGCAGGGAAAGGTGATTTGCGAAAGTGCCGCGAAAATGAACGTTAAACACAGAAAATCCTTGCAGACTGTATGCTGTGCGGTGGTTTTCGCCTATTTCATGTTGCTGGTCTACCAGACTTTCGGTGGAGTCCGTTTAGGGGTAAATATTTAGTGGATTTTGGTGTAGTTTCGCGCAGGTCGCGTCTCCGGCTATTTAGTTCGAGCTGTACCTACACATGCAATTAATATTCTAACTCGACAATTTAGAAATTGTCTCCTTTTTCTTCCTCGAAAGGCTGATTTATTCCCGGTTGATTGCCAGACGTTTAGGAGGGCGTGTTGAGACATTGATAAAATGGGGGATGATTTTTTTTTCTTTCGAGGATGCGGGTGGAGTGTCTTTCACAACGCGCTCACGTTTTATAGAATGTCTTTGTCGAATTAGTATTCTCGGATTGTAGAAGGAGACGCGGTAATGATTCTAGATCAGTTCTAAACAGTTCTGGATAGTTTTAGACAGTTCTATACTGTCTAGAACATGCTCGCGTATAATGTCTTTGTCGAATTAGTATTCTCGTATTGTAAAAGAGATGCGGTGTATTTTGTTACAACAATACACATATAAAATGATAATGAACTGTTTATGCCCTTTGCTTTATACGGTCGATTGTAAAATAAAATGTATTATGTCGTAGGAAATAATGTCGAGTGCTTGGAATATTGAAATAGAATTAGTTTGCATTAAAGAAATTGCAAATACGAGTTTTATAGCGGCGTTTGTGCTGAGTTTGAAGTTCGTAAAGAACTTTGATATAGTGCATTTTTTACATTAATCAGAATTATTACTTTATGTAAATTCGAACCGATAAAACGGTAATTAGTAATCGAATTAAAATACCTTAATTAATAGCAACAAACGAACGAAATTCAACGACGGGTCTCCGGGTGAATAATTTATCACAACGTTTCGTCCGTTTTATCTCCATTTTCATCGCGTGATACTCGACATGAAATAGTTTTTAACCGTCCATTAGGTTTCTAATAAACGGCCATTTGTCTATAATAAATTAATAATATGGAAAACGAAAGCCGCAACACGCGGAGACACACTCGAATCCGACCCGTTTAAAATGTCATTTTAAAATTCCTCAAACGACCCAGGTATATAGTTTAGAGACTACTACCAAGCGAGTTCCGGAATAATTGAGACGAGAACGCGCTTGGAATTGTTGAAATTATTTTATAACACCGCAGAAATAATTATGTACGAGGGTATAAGGTGAACAGTTCTCGGTTATAAATCGGTTCTGGACAGTTCTCGTATATACGGCTACACTTCCGAATGATTTAAATAAAATTAATCAAAGATTAACAGATTAACATTTTCTATTCCAGGTAGTGGTAAACGAGGAAGTGCGTTCGGATAAATTCCATTACCGGGAGAGGAGTTTGACGGAGGATCGTTCTCAAACCGAAATGGAGGTTCCGTTGGAATTGACCAGCGAATTCGCCACGGCGACGGCCACGGTTAAACCGCCCACGACTACATTGGACGATATCTTCATCAGCGTGAAAACGACGAAGAATTACCACAGGAAAAGGCTGCCCATCATATTGAAGACTTGGTTCCAATTGGCCAGGAAACAGGTACGAAATTGCTATCTTCTAGCTAGCTTCCTGGCATATCTTAGATGGTATGTTTTATTTTCTAATTCGTTTTATCGGCGATAAGGAGAATCAAGAAAATTCCGTATTTGTTCAATTAAATTCCTTCCCACGACGCTATCGCGAGCCAAAACGGATTCCGAATACTACTAAATTTGTTATTAAATATTAAACAAATTGATATGGTTATCTCGGGGTATAGTTTGTTTTGTCGATTACTATTTACTTACGATTCGATATCTTATTCGAGACGAGTCCTAACTTGTCGTGTATTATAACATTAATCTTCCAAACATTTTAAATTTTCAATTGCTCATATAGTACAAGAGTACTTCCATGTCAACGTCCTCCGTTAATATCCCCGATGGAAACAAACGTGGAATTTTCCACGTACAAGTGTTAATTGAAACAAAACTCTCGCCGGTTAAACATTCAGGTTCGTTATGTTTAATTTCGTGATTTGTAACTATTTAACGCCCCGTCGTCGGGATTCGAAAAAAAGAACCATTGGTGTAGGTACGAGGGTAATGTGAAAAGTTATCTGCCTATTACAATGAAAGATTGATGCAATCTTCTTATTAGGTCAACATTTTTAGTTCTAGATAGTTGTGATTTTAAACAGTTCTAATAAATAATTGTGGGTAACAAAAATTTTTGCTGATTGATGGTCGATAACTTTTCGGCCTACCCTCGTACATAAAAAAAGTGGAAAACGACGTGTAAACAAACATACATGTCGTGGGAAATGCGCCACTTGATGCAATATGGGTAGCGCTCAGAATAATTTTTAAACAAGTTTTTTTTTATTTAATTTATCGTCGCCATCTTTCGAAATAAAAACATTTACGCACCATCGGAGATGTTAAAGTAAACTAATAAAATTTAATTCGTGTAAACGGTTTCGCGTTGAATTTACGAAATGGGACTTTTTCGCGGTGAATCTGCTGGGAATTTTCATTTATTTCAGCATTTTTAAGGCCGAGTGAATTTGAATCGCGGTCACTTCCTTCGTGCGAAAAAAAGTCTAATGGAACAAACCGCCGAATTAAAATAAAATAAAGTACATTAAACGGTTGTACATAGTCGGTTGTACGATAATTCACTGCGGTTAGCGGCGAAAAAACCGCGTTAAACCCTATTTTAACGTGCCCGTTCGTTATGTTATTGCGTTCAGGATATTGAAATGCATTGTTACTAGTTATTGAATCGATATCATTTTATTAATCTCCGCGAATTTGTTTATAAATCAACGAATTCGCGAGTTTCATTCGATGTAATTTCTGCCAATATCGCATTGTTCAAATAAATTGCGAGGAAATGAAACGCGCATCGGTCGATTGGAAAATGAAATCAAACGCGCTGGAAAATTGCCACAAACTATACACTATATAGTGATTGTTTGGAATTTACAAAAAAAAAATTGTATTTCATTTATTACCTAGCAATTAACCGATATATGTAGGTACAGTTATTTTTTATAAGCGAATAACTGCGAATATATTAAAGTCAATCAGCGCCATTTAGAGTTAATTAGATTGCGAAGTGCGTTCGGTTTGCATCAGTAAATTTAATGAGCGTCAATAAATTGATGAATGTTCTATATAACTAACAGAAAATGCGTATTAAGCTCATTCAATTAGCCCCGCATTAAATGATAAATGCTATTTAATAAAGCAGTTTTATATGGTAAATCATTTTGCCGGTAAAAAGGATTCATAATTCAAAATAGCTGAAGGGTAATTAATATTTTCGCTCACCAGAGACCTTTCGCGCTACCAATATTTAGAGCAGTACCAATATGGAACTGAATTTGGTCCATTAGATTATACCCTTAAATTTATCGAACAGAAATTATTTTCGTTCTCATGCATAGCTTATTCATTCCCACGCAACTGCTCCCACCGTACCAGTAATCATCAATTACCGCCTTAATAAAATGGATACATTCAATCTGTTCTAGTTACTAACCACCCTTCCTTCTCACGCGCACTATTTTTAATCTAAATCCACGCGACTTCCTGTTTATTGTGCTAAAAGCGCAACGCGAAATAAGGGTAGGTAATCTATTCGTAAAATTCGATCAAAATACGAATTTTAATTTCGCCGGGTAAATTTCTGGTGGAATAAATCAAGCTCATTCTATCTACCTTTACAATAAACGTAAATTCGGTCGCGCGCTGTACGCGTGCATTACCCGTGGGAAAGGACGAGGTCCTTTTCGTCCTTTATATTTTTCTTTTTGTTCCACCCGACGCCGTGAATGTAATTTTAGGGATATCGGGGTGACCCAAAGAGAACCGGATATCGGCTCTATATACACTCTACTATGCATATCTGTTTTTCGGGGGTCGGTTTAATTGAGATAGGGACTTTGCGGTTGAGTTAAACGGTTGTTAAAAAGTTAATTAACGTCGATGTTTAAAGGGCGAATTCGACTGATTATTGTTTGTAACGGTGTATAGTGAATTTATCGTGGGATTTATTGGATATCGAACCAGTTCTATGACAAGACGGGGCATTTCTAAATGATTGTTCTACCTATTGGAGAACTTTTCACCTTGCCCTCGTAAAACAAATCCACAGCCGACTAAAAACGTTTACGGCGAATTTTTAGTGGTGTCTGCCTCGAATTTTCGGGTCCATCTGGCAGCCACCCATCGCAGTTTTGGGACCTTTCGGCGTTCACGAGAAATTTTCGGCGCCCCATATCATTAGCGAGTCGAAACGTTGGAAATTTATCACCAAAAAATTAATAGACTCTATACCTGGTTTTTTCGGGCGAACCTCCCATTGGGGATTTCTGACGGTAATTGGCGGTTGGTTTTGCGGTAATTCGCGGTTTCCTCGCAACAATAATATAAATATTAAAATGAGGAATCGTGTGTATTTGATATCCGAGACTGTTGGAAGTTTCAAGGATTTTTGTTGTGACTTTTACCAATCAATTCGAGCGATCTAGTTAAGTTTTGGAAGGGTCAATCAACGATAAGTTTTCCCACGGGGTGGTATTATAGCCAGTTTAGCTACACATTAGGGTGGTGTTCTTTCCACGTGTTTATTATTATTCGTATATAGAGAAACACGAAGGCGAGGCGAGCTGGCTTATGGTTAGGGTTCCCCCATGAAAAGGTCTATTAATTTTTTGGGTAGCGGCAAGTGATGAAAAACACGAAACTTCTCGTCTGTTTTCAGTCAAGAGGCCCTCTCGGAACGCCAGTAACGAGCAGACACTCGAAAAATAAATTAAATGTACTTCTGCTCGCTCGGGCGCTCCGATGTTTTTATACCAAATTTTTTTATACCAAGTTCCTTTTTAAAACTTTAAATTGCGATAAACTCGAATTTTATCATCACGTAATTCATGGCGAGTCTTGGCATCACGCAGATAGGAATCGCTCTGTATATGAACACCCTCGCATTTTTTTTTATTACAAATATTTGAAGTTAAATGAGCCTCTTTATTTTATTTGCTCTTTAAAATCTACCGTGATATATCGCAGGTAAGTACCCCGAATTTCAGGTGGGCATCCAACGACACTTTACTCCGAGATAGAGGTTGTGGGAGATGCAAACACTAGATTAGAAATTTGATCTCCGAATGCGGTTCTCGTTAAGACGCCAGTGGCGTCACGTTGGGGGCTCGAGAAACGATTAAAATAGATAGAAATAGGTGCTTTTAAATCTCTGTATTTTTTAGTAAAAACGTGCTAATACTCTCGGATGCAATTAATTTAAACCACGTAAAACCGCGAGTAATTAAAGTCGATGCAATTAACTTTAAACAAAGGAATGAGTGAGTTCTCATATTTTCCGGGAATTGTTTGTGCTACGCCGAGCTTTTATATTATTAAACTAATTTTTTTTATTGTTCTTTTCTTTTTCAGACGTGGTTCTTCACAGACACCGATGACGCGGAGTTCCAGTTAAAAACTAGTAAGTAGATTTCATTGTAAAATATCACCCGTTCTAATCTTAATGTTATTCCGGCATTAACATAAATTATCGCTGACGAAAACTGCTTTTTCTACTAATTAATAAATCCTCGCTATAAACGATTTATTAGAACTATTATTATGAATAGGAAATCGAGGAAATCCGAACTAAAAAGGTAACAGATGTAAATACGTGACCGGATTAAAAATCGACTGAATTATTTATACGGGCTAATCGAAACTACATTTCTCTTTTATCACCGCAATTATACCGACTTCAATTCACTCTATACATTGTATTAGAACGCAACGATTTGCATTCCCGATCGATAATCCCAGTTCCCACTACAATTTTTCTACTAATCTACTAATATGAATGTAACAGCGACACCTGCGTTCGTCGGAACTCTTCTAATTAACCGAACTTCTCGCGCAAGTTACAAGAGGAAAATTTATGTTAAGCGGCGAAATTCCCAAGACTGCGAAAAAGGCACAATATACTCCGCTTAGATCTCTAATCGCTCCGTTTCCTGTAGTTGTTTCCCTTGGCGGAACGAAAAACGATATATAGTCCGGTCGAATTCCACTTAATTTTACAATTTATTAGCTGTAAAAGTTACCAAAAACCATCTGGTTTAGATACATTTGAATATTAGTTCTTCGAGTATTGTTAATTAATTTTTAAACAGGCAATTACTCTGTACATTTTTTGATTGAATAAGAGAATTTTAGTGAGATATCTACTTTGAGTGAATTCGCCTGTACCATTTCAGGTGTGCAGGTGCACTTCTCCTTGCTTCAGTTAATCCGTTAATTCAGCAACGAGTATTCAGAACTCGGATTATTTTTATTTTGTATATATCGAACGGATTTATATCGAGAGAAGCGGGGAGAATGCACACGATTCGCGTTTTTTGCCCCGTCATTTTTTTATACTCCGTTCGGGCGCGGTCTCTCCATTTCCATCTATAAACAATATTCCGACGATTTACCTACTCATTACTATAAATTAGTAGGTCGATTCGATCGGTGGAATGTGTTAATTAAAATGCAATCACGACGCGTGCAAATCGCGATTATTTTTCCCCGTTACCGTAGCACTCCTCTAAAATTCTATACTTATTATAAGTCTTTAGTTTATGGCGGTTCTGGGGCGATTCTGGAGCGTTCTAAACGGTTCTGGAGCTTCGTAAATCGTTCTAAATGCTTCGGAATTAATTACAAATGTCCTAAAAATTTGAAGATTAGTTCTTCGAGTAGTGTTAATTAATTTTTAAACAGGCAATTACTTTGTCCATTTTTTTGACCGAACGAGAGAATTTTAGTGAGATATCTAAATGTCCCAAAGAGGAAACAACCTTATACTGTGGTATTAAAACATTTTAGAGGTCATTGTCACGCCGTTAATGTCATTACCATTGATATACATATAAAAAACCGTACATACATTCAAACATATGTAGCAGTTGACAAAAACTTATTTTTCATATAGGCGCATATCCTGCCTGTGGATCGTACAATATTATAATTGGAATGGAAGCTTTAATGATTTTTTTTTTCCTTTTCAGACGGCCACATGATCAACACGAATTGCTCGTCGTCGCACAGCAGGAAGGCCCTCTGCTGCAAAATGTCGGTCGAATTCGATTCGTTCCTGAACACCGATAAACGGTGAGTTTTCTTGTAAATACATTTTTTTGTGTTGAACTTTCGCTTCGGAAATTCGTATTCCGTGCGCAGGAATTCGTCAAACCATCAGCAGGAATGACACCTGCTACGTGCTCATTCATATTAATGGGGTTATTTAAATCTGGGACAACCCCCCCTGTAAATATTCCGGTCCAATTATCGAGGCTCGCTGGTTTTCAATGAATTCAATTCGCCTAATACTCCTGCAATTTTTCCTGGTAAAACGTTATAAGTTCTACTTCTAGCAATCCAATAAAACGAGATTACCTAGCGTTAATTATAAGTGCACAGCGAGCGAAACCGTTCTGTTTTTGACTAGACTTTTACTGTTGGATTTCAGGAATTTCTTGTTTAATATTTTTAACGATTCATCATCACTTTAGAATAAACAACAATTAGATGCGATCGTATTACCTCGAGGGCGATATTTGATGTTTAATTATCGTCGAAAAAAAAAACAAAGTATTTGCATTCGTCCTCCTACTTTCAGCTGAATAAACTGAAAAATGTTTATCGGTTTCTTTTCTCTCGCATATCTCCGAGACGGTACTTCGCTTGCATGAGGTTAGTCGAGAGGATTGTTGTTTTAGTACGACCGAAGTCTCCGAAGGATAATATTGTTTTAAGGATAATTTGTTTATCTTGCCGTCGGCGATGCTTACCAAAACACAATTATCGGTTGTTAATGCGATATAAAGAAGCATTTGCTACTATCAATACTGTTATTCTTCTTATTAAATCGAATATTAATTTACGGTTCTCTGGATCAGATGGAGAACTTTTCACCGTGCCCTCGTATACGATAATTGAAGAGACTCTTTTACGTTTTACGATAATACCAGAACTAAGTATTCACACCTGCTGTTATATCTTTTACGACGACCCCAAGGACGGTCGCTTTTCGAGGATAAAATACGAATAAAACCCGTAGACATTATGAAATAAATTAAAGTAATTTGTGAAGTCGTTAAAAAAAAACCCGCTTTGATATACATTTTATTAACGTCGACTGGAAGGAACTCGGCTTGATCGCTTAATTTTATTCCGGGATGTTTCTTTCGAAACGAGCCCGAATAAGCGGTAGGTAAAAGAGCATTAATAAGTACATATAATTAGAATTTTAGAGCCGTTCTATTCCTGGTGATGCTCTAATGGTTAATAGTGACAATGACATTGTTAATTGCGACATCCTTCTCGACATAATTGTGAAAAATTGACCGGTTTTAATGGATATTTCGAGCGAAGTAAACGGATGATTCGTCCTCCACTGTAAACGTTTCGACTTCCTGATCGAATTACAACTACACATTTAGTCAAATTTATCTAATTTAGCGAGTAGTTGTGCCAATTTAACCGACCTACAGCGCCGGACTGAGCTCATTTTTTGTCGAAGAATAGAAAATTGATCTGATGCATCATGAAGGGTTGAAATGCATCGACCGATGCAGGATTTATTTGGCTGTACATCCTGCTAGTATCTCCAGTTTCTGTTAAATCTGGCGGAAAATCCGGTAACATTAATTCTACTCAATTTGCGCGACGTCTCGAATTTCGCGAATAATTTTCCCACAAAAATTTACAACGCTTTACCGGTCAGCGGAAAAAGTATTTACGCAGTTTACCGATCTGATTTACCGGATAAACGCCGATTACATCGCAATTAACTCCGCACAATCGGCGGTCCATTAAACGAATTCGAAATGATAAAGAGTTGGGTTTTTTGCGCTCGTTATTGTCGAATCGCCGTGGTAATTACAAGTAAATCGAGTGTACTAAATTTGCATCTCGTTCGTTTTAGTTTCTTCCCGATCGGTTCGAAACGATTTTTTTGCCAACGATGCATTCCAATAACTATCATTCTTGCTGATAAAAAAGTCGGATCTTGCTAAATGATTCTGTAGAGTTCAAAGAGAAATTTTCATCCTACCCTCGTATCTAATGGTTCCACGTGAGATGCAGATAAACCATCTTTCTAAGCACAATGCGATAATAAAGAAGGAGGCTCCCTCTAGCCCGAAAATAAACAAAAAATAAATAAAACTTTGTTCTTGCGGTTGTGTTTTCGAACTTTTCTTTTCTTCTCGTTTTTCATTTTATTATATATGTATGCGAGTCTTTGTTGTTGCGAATAATGGGCGCGTTTGGTGCGGTAGCCGGCGGCTTATTATTTATAACTCTTCACCGCTCATTTTTGTCGCAAGTAGATCAAGTTTATTAGTACCTATCTTCTTGTTGCTTTATTTTCTTGTTGTGGATATACACCCAGTAAGTCCCACGTACATATATTGTTCGAAATATTTACCATTTTCATCTGTATAAAACTAATAAAGCGCAATTAATAATAGTAAAAAGTCGCATCGTTTCATCTCCGTTGGAAGAGTATTTATTCTATTATTCATTTCTCATTCGGTATAATTAAAATAAAAAACCCACAACGGATGATTAACTCATTAATTAACCGTCTAATAACAATTCCTTTTTGGTATATGGCGACCTGAAAAAATACCTAATAACACCGCCGTGACTTCGTAAATTACTAAATTCTCCCGCTGATAGAACGTAATTACCTCGTCGGGACTCTCTCTATATAAAAATATCGAACTGTTTAATCACAGAAACATGATTAGAACATCCCGACTTTGATTAGACAAAAAAAATATTTCGGGAAATGCTTATTAATCCATTACTCAGCTTATTTTTCGTTCGATTAAATGTACCCAATAAAAGTCACATTAAATAAGATCTATTTTGCTCACGAACCAACAAAGATTTTTTCAGTTTACAATACGCCCGCATATACATATATTTTTTCTGGTCTCAATCGAAACTCGCCCAGGATCCCTTCGAGCCATACGAGTATATATTCTCATTCTCAAACACTGATTATCTTTCGCTTTGCATCCAAAAACAACCACGCGAAACTCCCCGTCTCCTCTTTTAAATAACTAAATAACAGAGAACGATCGCATAACAATGAGCCCACGTGCTCTTTTCTGCCAAGTGCATTCGAACATAATAAATATTTAGTATGCACGGAACGATCTAGTTCTTAACAGTTTATAGCGATGATAAATTCCTCTTCTGAACGATTCCAGACAGTTCCAAACGGTCCTAAATGCTTCTAAATCCACCTAGAATAGATCTACAGATATGTTCCCATTAGCGAAAGGGATTCGTTTAATTTGAAATACGACCATACCGGACGAGTTCAGTGATTTTTTTTGTCCGCTCTAAACTGTAATTACGTCCGGACGCGACTCGGGGCTATTAGAAATTGTTTCAGTTAGTTTTAGAGCACACTTTCACGGAACGTTCCGTGTTGGTTTTAATTTATTATCGCCCCCCCCCCCGGGCGTGAAGCTCTTCTCGTTGTTCTTTACACCGAGAATGAAGGATATTTAGGATATCTGCGCCCTTCGGTATTAAAACAACCCCTATACAATCGTATAATAAGCAAAGTTAAGCGTATCGGGGAAAAGGTATTCGAGGAATAATGAAGTTTGGAAAATTAGAACTGCTTCGTCAAAGTCATCCGGGTGGGCGTGCTAGATGGTTATTTAGAGATAGGCATTAAAGAAATAATCCGGGGCCTAATGAAGTCGCTTCGGAAATGAGATTTCGAATTTTCGGGCGAGCCGGTGTGTATAGGTATATTAAAATCGAGGTTTTCTTCTTATCGCAAACGCTAAATTAATTACGATTTAAACCGGTTAGATTGACAACGAATTAATTTAATCGGCCGTTTTATCGGATATTTCGTTTGTGTGTTACACGTTACTCCTAAAGCGCATATTCTACTTCTGACTAGTAAAAGCTATTCGTTACAGTTACAGTCTAATTACATTTAATTGGCGGCCCGTAATCAAGACTTAATTGAATTTTATTATATATAGTTACCGAATTTTACGTCTTGTTGATGGGCCCGAAGGTCGTAAACAATCCCGTCGAGAAATTTATGATGGTTCGGTCCGTTCGAGGATATTAATTGTCATTAAAATCGTTAATGATGGGACCCGTTTTTGAGCCCCCCCGGTACGAACGCCTCGTGAAAAATTACCAAACGGGGTATCTAATAGTCCAGTGTAGGTCGAATCATGTTAGAAGTTTAGGTAAGGTTTATATATAGAAAGGTACAGTTTCTTTAATTTGTCCAGAATAGAGCGTTCTTAATGATTCTAGATAGTTCTAAATGCTCCCGGAACGTTATTATTTAGTTACGAATGGCTAAATTAATTTCGTTTGAGTGTATAAAAGTTCCTTTTTACGCCACTGAAGAGGATAAAGCGTTGCGAGAACAAGTAGGAGAATAAGATTAATATACTCTAATATTATGTAGGATGGTTTCGCTTCATTTATAATGTCTTGTACTTATTGAATTCTAACATCGATCGTTTTTCTATCGACAACAACTTAGATTGATCGTGTTTACGATTATCGACAGGTCGAAGATTATCGAAGAAATCAATCATGTTAAATTCGAATTTATTAATAGCGATTTCGCTTGCTTTTCGATGAAGAAAACGTTTAAAAAAATTTAAATTCGCGTCGGGATAATTGTTATAAAAGAGTCTTTTTTTTTTATTAAAAACCGGCGCCCGTTAATTGTAATTTTGATCGACGGTGTAAAATTGCGGTGTAATAATGGCTTCTGCATGCTTAATGAGTACGAAAAAAAAGTCAATTTTCTCGCCCGCTCGTCCGCCAATTAACCAGGAATATTTCACGCGCGATTAACTGACTGATTGAGTGACTTTGTACGAGATAAATTTTTTTATTTGAGCTCAGAAAAAACGGAACAATTCGCTGATGTAAATTACATTTTGAGCTGTTTACAAATGCGCCAGCAAATGTTAAACCCGGTCCTGTGAAAATTGTTCCCAAAATGTAAATTAATGCAGGAACTAAACGCCTACCGAAAAGAGAACATTAAAAGTAATTCGGAGTTCTTCGGAAATTGATGGGAAACGACATTCCGAAATTCCAATCGGAATTGAAATTAGAGATGCCACTAAACGGGCTACTTGCATTCTTTTAACGTTTGATTTAAAGTTTAAAGGAATTCCTAATTTTTTCCGCTACACAATTAGTACGCCTAACTTCTCTACTAATACAAATCCGCCGTTAATGGTCAGATAAATAATTTTTTTATATTAAAATGTAAGCTTACAATTAACCGAACGGTTAACCGTTCGCTCGTTAAATCGCCTCTTATACGGATAACACCGTCGGGTAAAACTTTCTTTATTTTGTTCAAACGCGAAATAAAAGTAAATTAATATATTTTTAATTAAAAAGTGTAACAGGCTAACTAGCAGGAAAACCGGTGCCTGCAACTTCCTACTGTTCATCAAAACGACCTGAATTGGCCGCCAGGGGCGTTGCGAACGGTACAAAAAAATCTCTTTTTATTTTTTGATTAATTTTTTAATTTAACGAATCGTTTAAAAAAATATCAAATTGCGTTTTAAGCGGCAGTTTTTATCCACTCACGCTGGGCTATTAAACGCGTACTAGTTCAAGAAGAATTTATTTACAACCCGCATTAATTCCATAATTAATTACTTGCGCAAGTTTTATTCGTGAAAGTAATATAATACGAACAATGTCGAGGGTATTTCACTATACAAATTGCGATTATTAAATCAACTCAACATGTAAATCGTGTGGCCTAATTAGGTAATTCATTTAGTGAAGTGAACCGCAAACTGATAATATTCGAAGCCCACACATTCACTTTCCCAATTAAATAATTAAATAAAATCCTTTATAACCCAGCACGATATTTAGTACCTACAGTCAATTAAAAGAAATCGCATCAAATCATAAAACGAGGCATTCAACACTAAAAAAAAAGTCATCGAATTAGTTTAATTACCAACTATTTCAACTACATATAATCGATCGAATCGAAACAACAGTTAACGTGATAAATTAAAGGAAACGCGGAGATTTTATTGTAGATCATATAAATCTTGATTAACAGTCAGTGTTAATGGCGGACCGACAGCGGATAGCTAATTAAAATTTCAACTCTAATCGAGACTCTGTCAGGGCGCGTTCTTATACTCTGGTTAAAAATTATCGCGATGAGAAAGTTTTTTATTATAACAGAGCGAATTTAATTTTCTAGTTTGTTACGAATAAACGCCTACCTACGCCTTTGGTTGGGCCTTTAACCAATCGGTTTTCCAGCGACATCTGTAATGTGGTGTATCATTTTATGCAAATTAAACCGTACCATTAACGATCGCCTTTCGAAACGAATTTAATTGGGCGTTGGTACCCGTCGTACGCTCGAAACGGACGCGATAAAAAAAAAATAAGAAAAACAAAGTGCGATATGATTTCTCTTTTGCGCCCGACCAGAAGTCGCTCCTGCCGGGCGAAAACAATTAACCGCGAGTAGCAGGAGGATTGAATTTTTTTTTATAGCTTATAGCGCTGATGGTAAATTCGTTTTTTGTTCATTAACTTAACTCGGGCGATCCATCCGTTGTACGGGTACAAAGAATAAAAGGGGGTACCGCGACCGAACAATAGCAGGAAGTTAACGCGCAGGAAGTACGCCTGCTAATACATCGTTAACCGTTAACAAAGTGGAGTGAAACTCGATCGGGTGACTAGAAATTATCGAAGTATTTCGAACTGGTGCGCAAGGTGCATCTTTTAGATGACCGACTGTAAACTGAATGGAGTTCCGCAGGAGTAAAATTAAAAACCGTTCTCGGCAAGAATGAAACGAGTTCTCGTAATAATTACGATCGCGATCGGCGCATCTGCCTCGTATATATCGGACGTTATAAATCACTAACATGAATACGCAATAATCGGATAATTGGTGCTCCCGTTGCGTTTTTAATAATTTATTCCAAGGACGTGCCGACGGGGCGTCCGGCCCACCCCCCATCAAAATGCAATTTCGCTTTAAATAAAAATTATAACCTCACTCCATTCGAACAGAAACCAACGTTAAAATGCGATATTTAATCATTTTCTAACGGAGAATTTAAACGTTACTGAATGATGGTACTGGTCACCAGGATGCAAAATGGTACTGGGGAAATTCTCCTGCAATAACAAACACATATTTATTACAGTACTTATACGGTACTGGTATTAGAGCTTACGTTGTTAACGGAATCCGGAAACTTTTGAGTTTCCAAGCACAAAGCTCCGTGTTTCTTGATGAAACCTCCTTTCCCTCTCAACGTATCCCCTTCGGGTAAAAAATTACCGGTGTAAAATTGCACTCCTGGTTGATCGCTGTACACCTCCATGGTTCTACCGCTCCCCGGGTGCCAGACGCTCGCCACGAAAGCCCTACCTCGCTCGGCACCCCTCGAAACGCAGTAATTGTGATCGAATCCCGGCGAATCCGGTACCGCATCGATGACTCGTCCCAGCTCCGTGGGTACCCTCAAATCGAAGGCGGTTCCAGCCACGCTCGGGGTTTCGCCTGTGGGTATTCCACCGTCCCGGACTTGGGTTATTCTATCGGCGTTTATGCAAACCAGGTGCTTGTAGAGCTCCTCGGCGCCGGCCCCGTCGCCGGCCAAATTGAAATAGGAGTGATTGGTGAAGTTGACGGGGCACACTTTGGTGGTAACGGCTTTGTAATCGATCAACAGTTCGTTGCGGTCGGTTAATTGGAATGTCACGTTGGCGATCAAATCGCCCGGGTAATGTTCCTCGCCGTCGGCGGAGTGGTAGCTCAACGTTAATTCGGTACCTGCGGATTAGCGTTTTTAAATAGGTGTAGGATTTTATTGTATTAATTTACCTCGTACGGAGGCTTCCCAGAAGACTTTGTCGAATCCGACGGTGCCTCCGTGCAAGTGGTTGGGGCCGTTGTTGGCGTTCAAATTGTAAGTAACGCCCTCTACAATCATCCTGGCGTTTGATATGCGATTGGCTACGCGACCGATCGTGGCGCCGAAATAGCGATTTTCCGGTTTCAAGTAACCGTGGATGTCGTGGAAGCCGATGGTGATGTCGTCGATTTTGCCGGTTTTGTCCGGTAGTTTGATCGAGGTTATGTAACCTCCGTAGTTAATGATTTGTACGGTGGTTCCGAGGCTGTTGGTCCACGTGAATCGCCTGACTGGTTGTCTTCGACCTTTGAAATCGGTGGCTTCGCCGAATGTGTCTTCTGTTAGTTTAACGCCGGTCATTTCGAGATATCGAATGCACTTTGCACTTGTGTTAATCGTTATCTGATGTCGTGGAAATTTGTACGAACGCGATCTGATACTGTTGCTATCAGACTGAATAAAATATACGAGAAGGTGCTTTATTAATATCTATAATACCACGTTGGAAATTTTTACATACCACTTAATCAATTTACGTCTATTAAATACAATTGGTGTTTATCGGTTTGATAAACGAAATATTCCGTTATTTACATTTTGTTAGAGTTAAAAAACAGATTGGTTTATTGGGATTTATTGGAAACGTCCCAACGTTGCATTTCGTTTAATCAAATCCGTCTGAATTATTGCAGTAAATAGTTTGTTTTGTGTGGAAAAATTAAATGCCAAACAGACTTGGAAATTTGATTTGTATAGTACCCAGCTACTTTTATATTTACAAAGCGATTATTCTTATATAACAAACTACAAATAAATAAATTGAAAAATTTTATCTTATCTAAACGTTTTGAAATAGGTTATAATAACCTTCATAAATAAACAAATCAATCAGTTATAATTATATTATTTTCTTATTTAATAGTATAGACAATTATTTAATTCACAAAAAATTTATACACGACTGTATGATGGTATTGTTCACCTGGATTAAGCACGGCCGGCGGGAAATTTTTCTAGAAATTAAATCGTTGCGATAAATTGCAATTATATTAAAACTTTTTCTAAAAGCTTACATGATTAATAGCGTCCGGCCAATTTTGAGTCTCCAAGCACAAAGCTCCGTGTTTGTAATACGGAACGCCATCTTTCCCATTAAGTTTGTCCACGGAATTTTTCTCAGGTATAAAATTTGAACAGTAAAATTGAACTCCTGTGGGGAAAAAAAACCGTCATCGTATTTTCACCATTATTTCACCACCATTAACTCACCTGGTTGATTGGTATAAACCTCCATGGCCCTACCAGAAGGCGGATGAAATACCTTCGCAGCAAATGTATTTTCTTGCTTCGAACCTTTGTTTATACAGAAATTATGATCGAAACCATCATAACCGGGTATTTTGTGTATAACGTCTCCGAGTACTTTCGGTACTCTTAAATCGAAAACAGTACCAGCGACCGGTAGAAGTTTTCCTGAAAGAGTATACAAGTCAAATAAAATAGGTATTAATATTAGTAGTACTAGCAATACCTGTAGGAATTGAATCGCAGTCCACCTCGGTGGTTCTATCAGAGTTTATGGTCACCACGTGCTTGTACAACTCATCAGCCCCTTTACCGTGTCCAGCCAGGTTAAAATACGAATGATTCGTTAGATTAACATAGGTAGGTTTGGTGCAAGTCGCTTTGAAATCCACCAAAAATTCGTTATCGTCAGTCAAATCGAAACTAACATTAGCTACAACATCGCCGGGAAATCCTTCATCGCCGTCCATCGACAGGTAACTCAACACCACTTTGGTGCCTTCAACGTGGTGATTCCAATTCACCTTATCGAAACCTGGTTATATTTCGGTTAATATTATAGTAAAGAGTAATTGTTGATGTTAGATTATTACCTCTTAAACCACCGTGTAAAGTATGTCGCCCGCTATTAGCAGTCACTTGATATGTATGACCTTCAATTGTAAACCTAGCTAAACCTATTCTATTGGCTACTCGACCGACGGTCGCGCCGAAGTAAGGATTCAAAGGATTCAAGTAACCTATAAAATAAAAATTAAAATATTACGAACCAACGTATAATTAGTAGATGTATACCGTCGACATTATCGAATCCCATGACGATATCGTCGATTTTCCCATCGACTCCCGGTAGTTTGATCGACGTTATCGTCGCTCCGTACGTAACCACTTGCACGTTAACGTTATTCCGATTCTTCCACGTAAACCGCCTGACGGGGCTCGTCACGCCCGTGCGTTTGTCCGTAAACACCCCGAATCCGTCCTCTTCGAATTCCACGCCGGAATCGGAATCGCAATTCCTGCTCGAATTCATTTCTAAAAGCGGAATCGAATCAACAGGTGTACAAGAAACACTCCGAATGATCGGAATAATCGACGGTGTCGCGACTATTTATTGAAAGTTTTTCAACCGCAAAGCGTTGGATGTTAAAAATACACTCGACACATTTAACATTGAACTCAACGCCAACGAGCGATAAGCTGATAACAATGCACGACAACATTGATTGCGTTTGGGAATGTTATTTAGAAGATAATATTTCTACGATATCATGTCAGGCCGATAACTTTTCACCTTACCCTCGTACAGGTATTATAGTATATGGGTTCAATTAAATCGAATCCATCCGATTAGCCGAGCACAACCGAAGAATCCGTACGCAACAATGGGAATCTTCTATCGAAAGAAACGAAAGAAAAAAAAAAAAAAGAGATCTAAATCTGCATCTGATCGTTAATCAGTCAGAAGTCGGGCTCCCGTCAAGCTCCCCGTATACGGAACGTTATTCATCGGAGAGCTCGATTTGCGCGCGGGAAACCTACAGGGTGGTACCTCCCCGAACATCGAACAGGATTTCTAATACTTTGGAATGTTACTATTTTATTATTGGTTATCGTTCGAGCGAATCCCCCACGAAACGCATCGCGTTATCTAACGCTCCGGTAGCGGCCCGTTCGAGAAAATTGACCTGTATAATGGGCCGGAATATTTATGAAGTCGAAGAATGCTCAAGTGGACTGACAGCGATCGGAGATCGAAGAATGAATTCGTTTTTATTCATGAGGCGGAGACGTCAGAAATAGAACGGTCTTTTTTTTTGTATAAGCGATTGGGTGCAATTTTTATCTCCAATTAAATAGAACCGAGAGAGAGAGAGAGTGACTAAAGAATATTGATTGACGTTTTTTTTTGTTATTGGTTTTATCCGCTTTCAGGTGGTTCTGTCACTTCGATGATGATAATTACGTGAACGTGCCCAGACTGGTGCGATTTTTGGGCGACTACAATCCAAAGGACGAATGGTATTTGGGCAAGCCCAGCATCCAGGCGCCCTTGGAAATCGTAAAGAAGGAGAAAAAAACTGTGGTGAGTACAATTTCCAGTATGTACAAAATTTGAGTACAATTGTAATCGTTATATTAATTAAAAAACGGTTCAAATTTGGGGACAATAACACGCGATGTCATATTGGAATAAAAATTTTTATTTCGACGATTTTGATTTATTTGCTTGTACGTGCATCGGCACGTGTAAAATTTATAAAAACTCGCAACGATGACATGATGTGCATGCATTGTTTATTATGTAAATCAAACGAGTGTATTTGATATTTGTCATTGGCAAATTGAAATATAGGATTCGTGCTTTTGTTTACACATTGCTCCATTCATTTCACTCTTGAATTATTAGGTTCGTTCGTAAATCACACAAGATCCATTTGTGAGATTAGTAGGTAAATTTCTGGTAATAATATTAATATATTGTTACTTACAAGAAGTAAAAAAAAGGCGCTATATATTTCATTTATCACGCTGCGTCTCGAACATTTAACAAAATATTCTCAACCTCTTTAAACGTCCGTAATATCGTGATGCATGATGCAAGATGCAAAGGCTAGTCGGTTTCGGTTTGTATATATATATCGGGCGTATTCAATGTCGTTGATTTATGCATTCCATATTTCAAATTTGTTTCTTCCACCCGTGTAGTTCACAACTAGTTACGAGTTGTAAATCTCCGCGACCGGCTGGTCGGTGGTCAAAGATTTATTATAAATACATTCGTCGACTTTTTACCGTCACATTTTCGATACCCCGCTGTAAGTTCTACATACTCTTATCGATAAATGTTTAATTAGGCGCGGTAAAAGTTTTTCGAAAGGTGGCGAGAACAGCAAACGCGCCATTTGCTTATCGTGAATTTTTCATAAGCTCAAACGATTCATTCCAGTGTAGCGCGTTATAGAAGCAAAATAAACCTGTTCAATTCGATAAACTCATTATTTCCATTCGAGCGCGCTCTACGAAATAAATAATCGAAATCTCCCCGAATCGAAAACGAGAAGTACGCCGAAGGAAATCTCGCTCGAGAGAGTACCGGTCGGGTCGACGCCCACCGCATAAAATGCATTTAAACGTTACACGGGCGATTTTTTTTTGGGCCCCGAGCCGCCCCTGCAACTCCGTAAGCTACTTTCGATTGTCGCTCGACAAATACGTACCGGTTGGTTCATTATTACTAACTTATCGGTCACGAGATGTCGATAAAAGTTGGGGGAAAATTGGTCTAAAAGTAGGGAGAACCGTGGAGTATTATAAAGAGCAAAGGTTCTAAAGGTTCTGTGGAGAAAAGTTAAAAGAAAGACGATACAATTTGCTAAGAAAAATACACCAAAAATCTGGAGATTAGAAACCAATACATTTCCTAAACTTACACACAATCTCCACCGACATAATCATCTCTATCATTCAACGATACCAGCGCAATTTACTCGCATTCGTTATCTCCACATCGGAGAGCATCCGATCGAATCCGTATAAAACCAAACGACCGGGTTCGGATTCGAATCGCGAACTCGATCGGCGTTTTCCAAACAAAATGATCGACGACCGCGTGTGCTCGCGAGAAGCGCGATCGTTCGAGTGGAAACGGCTCTATCACCGGCGGCTATCTCGGGGCCCCCATCTCGGATCTCCTCATCGCCCCGGCGTGGCGAGCAGAGGAGCACCCGAGGAGCGCCGAGAAGTACCGCTCTTCAATCCGGTATCTCCCGCGAAGAGTTGGAAAACGGTGTGATTGGAGATCGAGCAAGAGTTGGAGAGCGATCGGTTTCGGTGTGATTGGAGATTGAGCGAAAATATTTGTTTTGCGGTACCATATGCAATTTTTTTATGAGGATTTGTAGGATTCGAGATCGATAAACTCACCGATGCAATCGACGATATATCAGTTACGATTCCTTATCGCTTTGGTGGTTCTTCGTTTTGGATTCGAACGCGCTGCATTTCGAATCTTTGTTGCATTGGCAAATGATTGTCAAATCTGCGGAAATCTGTCCCCGTACAAAAGTCATGCAACTTTTATCATTTGATATACGAGGGTAGGGTGAACAGTTGTCGGAAATGAGCGCGATTTTCTTATTATAAGTCAAAAACTTCAGTTCTAAACCAGTTCCAAATTATTCCGGAGCGTTCTAAATTGTCTAGAACACACAGAACTTTTCATCTTACCCGCGTACTTCCTTATCGGTTGGCTGATCTCGGACGAAAAAATCGCATCGGTTTTAATTAAATTTCGCTCCGCGGAGGCTCCGTTAACGGACTAATTAACGATCCGTGCAATTGACTAGTCGCTTCGATATCGGGATAAAAAATATATATAAAGAGGGGCGCGGCCGTTCTTTCTATTAGCCTCGAGAGATCTACTGACAACTGACAAGAGGAAGCTGAGGTTGAACATATTGCACGGGCATCGCCTGAGGAACGACGGTTTTTTTTTAAATGAGACAAAACGGCCAAGTTCGTGACTGGAACACTTAATGGTTTGTTCTAATTTCTATGCGGCGGTATCTCTAATTGTTTGTTCTATTTTTTTTGTACCTACATACGGAACGAAATGGATTCTTCTTGTTACGTTCGAATAATATTAATTATACTGATAGGCTGTTTTATCTTTTCAAATAGTCGTTAATGTTCTGAGAGGTTCGATAACCGCTTTTGTGTTTGAATAATTTTAAAACTAATATTGCCCACTTTCGGTTAGATTTTATGCGCAAGCATAATTAGAAAAAAATACAGCAGTAGATAATATCTAATAATAAATTACCATTATGCTTTTAACCCAGTTTTCCAAACAATACAGCAATTATAACAATCCGTACAATAAACTCAAAGATTAAACTTTCTTCAAACGTTTAAAACATGTTTTTTCCCATTACAAAATTGTTGAAATTGCGGCGTGAATGTTATCCGGATAAAAAAGAGGTAGCCCATAATGAAATGTGTAGTCTATAATTTCGAACTTTCAATGGTAGATCGCAATTAAGAATGATGCAGTACTCGCTGCATAAGATATAGAGATGTAATTACATGTATTAGTGGGAAATGTTCCTATAGAACGTTCACTAGTAAGCTCAGTAGCTGTTTCAAAAGTGTATGATGTAACACGAAAATACATGTTAGGGTAATTAATGCTTTTAATGCATTTTTTCGATGTTTTACGACAGGTAATAACGGTTATTAATTTGTGTATGAACAAAAATTCAGTTTCCCATTCGAAAACTCGAAATTTTCAACAAAATTCGTTAACTTCATTTACCCAACAAAAGACTAAATATTTAATCGAGTCAGCGACAACATTGCTGTTTGTTGTTTTAGCAAAAACGTTTTGAGCCAGTTGATTAATTCCAGAATAAAATTTGTTCAGGATTTACTTCATAAAAAAAAAAAAAACATACAAGTTTGTTTCCGACAGCGATAAAATCGCTTTCTACAATAAAATTTTAGATCGACGTGAATTTCATATTTTTGTCATCAGAAATTGTGTTCCATATCATCGAGTTTCTAACCGTAAATTTCTGCAAATCTGTAACTCGAGCCTACGAGATTTTTAATTGCCATCGTTTATCACGAGACTTTCTATATTGGGCTGGGTCGCTAAATTAATGTTACAATAATAAAATGCCGTGTTTATGCACAACAACATGGGCGAGGTAATGAAATTTTTCAATTACCATTATAAGTTAAAAGCACTATGCATTAGTTACTTTAGGTGTACTGATTGTGACTGATCTATCTTCTTTTATAAATCTACCTTCGAAGTTTTATTTCGGTACGATCTTTCTGTAACACGTTTGTCAATCGCCGGAGCGAACTCCATAAATTCGAGAAATGCGACCGAATAAGTTATACCGGCGATATCCAGCTGTTAAAAGTCGTTTCGATTTGGGTTAACAGATAAAATTCCGTTTCGACATCGGCATATCGAGGTACTTTATAAGTACTTTCCGCCCGCATGTGGTCGCCTTTCGAACGAGCAAAAAAAAAAAACTCGAAATTCACACGCCGGATTTATCAAATCGTAATTGCCGCGTAGAGTATTTTAACCAACTCGATGTAATAAGATATGAACGAGGAGCAATCGGTGTCTCGCTTGACAAGCGATTATTAACTTTGACAAAAAGCGTCGAGATTCGCAAGACAGTTAAAAAAAATAACGAAAAGATCGAGTAACTTAATTCGAAGGAAATCGGAATGGAATTTCGACAACACGAAAATATAATGAAGCTTTCGTTTCTTATTCCCTCGTCGGTTTTTTTTTTACCTTTAATTGATTCGTAATGATACAATCGCTTTACAATTACCTTAACGATTTCGAATATACTTATCACTTAGTGATTTCTCTTAGTCATCGTCCAATCATTTCCCATTCATCCTGCTAATCTGAATATAGAAATGCTTATACAGATACTGTAAACTTGCAGAAGATATGTTCGATTTAAGAGAAGCCTCGGGCCTTTGTCATGGGATAATAATTTTTAATCTCATTACGCGGAAGTTGTCCGATTATCGAAGACGAACGAGCCATCTCTATACGTCGAAAAATGTTCCTTTTAATTGGATTAAAAAGTCGGCGATTTGTAATGGAACAAAACGCGCTGACTGTTGTTCTATTAACCATCAGCGAGTTTGAGTGAAGATTTCGCTGTTAAAAATCGACCGCTCCTACGCTGTGGAAGTCAATCATACAAAACCGAGTTCGATATCTCGTCGAGATCGAACGTATAAACGTAACGGTCGCGGGTCCGTTGTATGTATACATATAGTAGAGATGAAGAACGATCCGTTCGTTTTCTTATCGCTGATCCATCTGGAATATATACCAGCAAGAAATGACCCCGAGTTGGCCCCCGGTAGCGCATAAAAGAGCACCGGCCACGCCTTGCAGTTTATGCAACACGCGAACGCGAACGTCCGGCCTTTTTATTTCTGATTTTCTTACTCGATTCTTACTCGAGGCAGGTCTCGATCTGATTCCTTTATGTAAAACTGAAGCCCCGTTCGAGCATTTAGTTTCCATCGAACGTCCCTTCTACAAACGCTCGAATTGATTGATTTGTAAGGAGTCTACTTTTACAACTTTATTTATTGATCAACATTGATGAAGCTCTGGCGGCGTTTCGGTCGATTCCATTTTATTTACCTAAACTGTGACCCCTCTAATGGCTTCGAAAGGGAGCCGAACGGACTAAATGCGAGTGGGTGGAAATTCAAAGTAAATTCCCGGCGTGTAATTTGTTACATTTTAACGCTAAATCATTCGGTAATTATCGTCGTCTTGGCTGGGAAATGAAACAAACAATCGCCCACGCGGGACACCGCCCGTCCTATATCGTATTTTATATCGAAAACTGTCGCTTTATTACGGATGAAATTTGATTTAAAACGCGCCAACTCCTCGAACGAGATGTATAAAAGGTGATATCGCAATAAAATTAATTAACCGTAGAAGGAAATTGCGGGATAACGTTGAATGCGAAACGAAAGTGCGCTCGAATTCAACACAATCGAACTGGGATATTCTCACATTCGTTCTCCGCTAATTTTAATGACGAAATCATAAATCTTTCGCCGGCTCGGGAGAAATAACGATCGTTGAATTTAATGCAAGAAATTGAGAGAAATCGCGTATTTACTTACTTACTTTTTTTCCCCCCCACATCCATATCACTCTTATGCGTTATTATAAATGCATTAATTAGGTATCGATAATTCCGTGGACAGGCTACATCGAAAACATCGAAGAAAACGAAGATATCGTCGAGATTATTATCGATACCGTCGTAGCCCAACACCCTGTAATCTACCGTAATCCATCACGATGGGAGTTAATTAATTTCGTGGAGCCGTTTTTCGAAAATGCTGTGCTGGTTAATAAATAAAATTAGTACCGACTATTCCTTTCAGGACCGAACCGAAATTCTAAATATTTTACAATTTCAACTACTATTTTTAATAGGATTTAATAGTGGCAGTAAGAGTGAATTAACATAAATTAATAATTCAATGAAAGTTGAGTTTTTTTTTTCTACATTTTATGGAAGTAGAACTCGTTTAAAATATGCATTAAAATGTCTCGAGCCGATTAATTTATGAGGTGCTAAATATAACGACGCGTTTCTCTAACAATCGTTTTGTAATAAATTCAGAAATTTTAATTTGTTTTGTACGAATTAATTCGGCATTTTCGCCAGTACGTTACTGCAAGCTCGTGCTTTCCATTTCGCTAAAACGACCATTATTTCTCGGCAAGGGTTAAAATGTTTTCAGTATCCTGTTGCGTACGATAATTCGCCTAATTGTATTTTTCCCTTTTTATTTTTTTTTTCCAGAAAAAAATCAAATTTTGGTTCGCCACAGGCGGCGCCGGTTTCTGCCTCAGTCGAGCGCTCGCAGTCAAGATGATGCCTTTCGCAAGGTGAGTGAATTTCTCCTTTTTATTTTTACTTTTTTTATTTCCACCGCATTTCGTTTGTTCGTCGGTAATTAAGCGCGCATATGCGAAAGCTCTAAAGCTCGAGCTTCGGTATAACTCGTTCAGAGCGACGAGCTCGCGCAGGAATCGAGCGAATTTCGCGAATTTCGTTTTTTGTCGGAACCAAAAAAGAAAATTCCGCAAATTTAATTGGGACCTTTCCGCTACGCCGGAGTGAGCTCATTAATTTTTATCTCTTTCGTGTGACGATTGCTCGGACGGTTTTTTTATTTTATTTTTTTCCGAGCTCGGCGTTTAACTTGTATATATTTCTCAATTTAATTAACGGCCCGTTTCCCATCTAATCGGCTGTCAATTAGACGCATCGTTCGAAATTTGTCCCTCGATAAATCGCAATCGGAAATTTCGATATATTATGCGAATATAGAAATCGATCCGGAGGAGAATTTTTACAGCGAGGCTCGGTGATCGAACACGTGTGTTTGTGTGTGTGGTGAAGCGAGTAAATAAGAGGAGGATTAAAACTCTTTTGACTTGATGAAAATCAGCCTGTAGCTCGACGACGGCAGGTGGCAATCGAGCCTTTCCTATCCTATCTGCCAGCTCCATCATTATCTGTAGCAAGAAATTGACAGTTTCATGGTAAAAATTACTCTTCTTGTGAACTCGACGTGCATGGAGTTTCTAAACCGCTTCGATATCATCGTTTATATAAGTCGAGGTTTTTAATAACGAAACGAGGCGATAAAACAGAGGAGATATGAATGATGCGATCGGAATTGGGGGTTTTGTTTTGGGGTCCGGTTCGTTAGGAGGGCTCCCAATTAGAGGAATTCCTCTCGAATATTTGCACAAACATTATCTAATTGTGGCCGGTCGAATCTCCGCCAACGAACGATCGAGGGAAAGGTATAAAAAAAATGGGGATTTTGCAGCTTTAATTGGAATATCTGCGGACGGACGTTCGTTAAAATTTTCTATTAATTCGACCACATTAAAGATTTTTTCTTAGAAAATCCGAAAGGTGAACGTTTCCGTACGGAAATCTCGAAACCATTAATCGTTAATTTTATTATTACGCGTAACCTTTATTTTTTCCTTTCGGATTGATTGTGCGAATCGAATTCAATTTTCATGCGGTATAGAAACCACAGAACCCATTGGCGTGCTGTCGAAAACTCGTAATTATAGAAAATTCTGCTCAGAAATACCACATTTTTTTCTATTATCGAGTATAAGGTTTTAAAATTGAAATATGCATACGCCGCTGGTTGATTAAAATCAATTTTTACTCATTATTTCGCGGTGAATACGGTGGTTAGGTCGATTTGTGATGGAAAAACGTTTTCGATAATTCGTTGATATCGATACAAAGTACGTGATATCATCATATTCGCATTGTATACGCGAAATAATGCATAGATTTCGTAATATTAGTCTATACATTAAAGTTAATTAAAGATTCGTTTAATTAAAAATAAAATGATCGGCCCTGAAAGAGAGTGTGGGAACATTCCCGGCGAATAACGAGCCCCGTATATATATTTTTTCCATCGTAAAATAACGAGATAAAATAAGCGAAATAATTTTGTCGCATTTGGTAATTGGCCTCTCTCGTTGTTTCGTAGTGATGCTTAATATCCGAAAAATGCGGCGGCGACTTTTCGAACGAGCCCCGTAAAATATTTCGTTCGACCGGTAAAAATCTAGTAGTTTAAATTAGAATCGCGACGACTCGCGGTATTTCCTAATGAGCACTTTTCGACCTTCCACTAATATCGAAACCGAAAAAACACAAAATCCACGTCGAATGTAAAAGAAAAAAAAAACAATCCGAAGAGTCCTTTGAACAATCGCCGAACCGTGCTCGTTAGTTTTATACGGTCGATAATTTTATTAGTATTAGTACCGGCTACTTATCGACTTGAAAATATTTTAATTGATTCCCAATGAAAAACCCGATAACTTCGATCGCAGGATTTTAATTTCTAACGTTTCGTTCGACTGTAATTAAAACACTTCGTTTAAAAAGAAGTGTATAATAGATACCTATTTTATTTATAAAATTTTGATTCGAAATAATCCTGCGTATAATTATGAAATTGTTAGTTCACAAAGCCCTTTGAGGCAAAACAACATTGCTACTATATATACACAAAATTAACGTTTTATATTAAATTCCAATCGGTTATTCCTGTCGCATATAATCGGCCTTTAAAATATCTAATGAAACCCATATCATCGCATCCTTGCGGTTAATTATTCAAGCTCGGAGGGTCTATTCTATTCAAATCATCGGATCACGATCGGGGCATTATATTCCCGAATTCCCGCTTTAAATTAGATTCGCCGGAGCTCTTGAAACATCTATTTCGGTAACGTAAACATTATCGAAATTTCTAACTTTGATATTCGCGTAAGGACATTCTTCTCGATCGATCGAAAAACTAAAGATATCGCTCGAGGAACGAAGGATACGGGGATTGAAAATCGAGGCGAGGCCGCACAAAAACGTTCGATTATCGTTCTTTTTTTAAGCCCCGATTTGCGTAATAACAAATATCTAAAGTGGAAACATTAATGCATGCCCAAGCAAATGAGTACTGTATGAATCGCTGCAGGACATCCCACTGTAATAAGCAGGATGTTGTTGTAACAACGGCCTATTTTATACAGAGTTTTATCATTAAACGTTAACGTTTAAATGTAACGTGAAACTATTAGTTGTTAGCTAAAAGTATCAAAGTTTTTGCTTCGCGAATAACGAGTAGTTAATCCGAAAAATTAAAAATATAATTTATACCATTGCTTTAAAATTATAAGTCAAATCCCGCTGGCTACGATTTAGAGCCAAGCGGTGCATTAAAGCGGGTTTTCACGCTTGGCGTTTTCCCTTTTTTTTCCCCTTTTAATTTTTTTCCATTCCCGTCCGTGGCGGGTTTATTAAAGTTTCGTTAGAAGTCCGAAAAAAAAAGAACTTTTCTCAGCTTTTCCCCCAGACCGCCACTGGACATTCAGCGTTAACCTTTTATTTACGCCGTTTACGGATTCGCTACGGTTGATTTTATTTTTCTAACCGGATGATTTAGTAAAATCGTCCGATTCGGCACCCGTAAAAACGTGAAATTGAATCGGGGTTTTTATATTTCTTTTCTCCTTTCGGTACGATTATACGCGCTACAGACAGGGGCTTATCGAAATTGAATAATATATAACCATTATAATGTTATTAGTTTTTTTTACAAGCTGTTGAAATTAGTTTTTTTATTGTCTACAAATTCAAATCCAACCATATTCGGTTCAATTAAATTGAGTATAAGAATTAATGTACACTCGCATATTTTAACCCTGTTTAGTGCATTTCCTGCGTTCGTTTATGAATTGTTATTTTCATTTAAACCCTACAATATTTCCAAATTTCGTTCATAAATTTTTCTATTCAATCTCGCGCCTACGCCTTTGGTCATTCTCACGGTAAAACATCATTAAAACACCAAATGACCGTTTAATGAATTTAAAATTGACACAATACCCGTATACTCGATGCCTAGGAAAAAAAATCCAATCGTCACTTCCACAACAATTCACTTTGCGGCTCGTTTTTTTCGTGGAGATATCCAATCGAAGCGTAGAAAATCGAAAACTCGGTACGTTTATTACAACTCGTTTTTTCCCGAAAAAAAAAAAAAAAAAAAAAGTTTCGTAAAGGTAGCGAGAAAATCGTCGCGCCATCTTCTCTACGAAGAAATCAATTTCGAATCTTTCGCCCGTTTAAATGCTAATTAAACCCTAATAGGTGAGAACGGCTCGAGCGAGGAGGATAGTTCTTATTTTATCGCGAATTCCCGTTTAGGTGCAATTCGAATGCAAATAGAGCCTTTTTCTCGGACATACAACACAATGCTATAATTACCTTATAGCCGATCCATTTCCAAGGCTATTTTCTAATTCAATCGCGCGCTAAAACAACTACATATATCGATCATGTTTTTATATATATATTTTTAATTTTCTGTTTTAGTAATAGCAGATTCATAAGCACCGGAGAGCGAATTCGTCTACCGGACGATGTAACAATGGGATACATAATAGGTAAGTAAAGTAGTAGAAACTCTGCATTGAATTTACCGAAATTTGCTCCACTAATCGCAAGCAGGAATTCCCCATACTACTCTATACTCTACTATCTACTCTCTACCACTAACTCTACATTAGGATTATCATTTTGTTATGGGGAATTCCGGTAGTACACCGAAAGGAGTTATTGTGGCGATGAGTCGTTGTTGTTGTTCTAAATTCTAAATTGAGGAAACGCCAATTAAATTAATTACCTGACAATTAGCGCGAATTAGAGCGATCGACGCCCGTCCGGCGTTTATTCTTTTTTTGCTCCTCGTAGATTGTCGGTTTTGAGTTTGAGGTTAATTGATTAAAGGGGATCGTAGACGGTGCGAGGTGAATAAATGGGTCCTATATAAATTAAACGTTTAAGAGGAATTGTACGATGAAAGTAAAACCTGCAAAGGGTCGAGGGAATGTAAATAAATTAGGGTGAAAAATAAATGAATGACAGTAACAGCTCGATTAATATGAATTTTTGTTACAGAACATCTTTTGAAGCAACCTCTTACCGTTGTGGATCAATTTCATTCGCATTTGGAGCCGATGAAGTTCATCAGAAAAGACACGATTGAAGATCAGGTAATTGGTACTTTTTATCATACAAAACGAGATATTGACAAATTTTATTGTTAATAATCACAACTCGATTTGAATTTTAATTAACCGTTTCATATATACCAATTAGGCCTTTCGAAAAACCCGATAATCCAACAACATCGAGCCGTATCGTCGATAAATCATCGGCGAAAAAAACAAATATTTTTTAATCGAGTCGAAATCGTAAATTAAAAATTTCGAAATCCAAGCGAGAGAGAGAGGATTACCTGCCGGAATATAAATAAATATCTCCCTTTTCCCCGGCTAACCGAAATTTCGGCCGATTAACTTAAGGCTTCCTACACGAAATTTATCGATGTTTTTAATTAATCTCGTAAAACGGAATTTATGGAGGCGAGAATCAACCTCCCGCGGCCAAATTTATTGTTCGCCCGGTGTTTATTAACACATCTTCTTCTTCCTATGTACAATTATGCGCGCTTTTCTTCGTCCCCCCATTCGCTTCGTTTAAATACCGAGATTTCGCCTGAGTTACATTATCTCGAAAACCCACGTTGGGCGTCAAAGGGGAACGAAAAGAATTCAGGATTTTCAGCGAGAATAGCTTTTTTTTTATCTATATCTAATTTTCGATTTGTTTCAGCTATCTTTCAGTTACGCAAAAGCGAAGGAGGAATGGAACGTGGTGAAAATCGACGGTTTCAGCGAAACCGAAGACCAATACAGGTATGTATTCAGCAATAGAAACGAATAAATTAAATATCTGCTGGCGAAAATCTCCAAGTTAAATCTAATTAAAGTCGACGAGTGTCCGGCTGTCGAGTTGAATATTTCCTGCAGCGGTCCCTTCGTATTCTTATTTCTGTTTTCTTCATTCGCGTTTTTCATCTTTCGCCGGTGCTCGCAGAGAGAGGGCTCTTGTTAGTTGTTTGGGAAATTCTCTGGTCGCGTCAACGGAGTGGGAAAACGAAAGGGACCATTAATTTCTAAAGTCGAGCGTCGAGCGGTAAACATGGAAGCGACATTCCTGCTTAGATGTTACGGGTTAAACGCGCCTGTTATGGAAGATAGTGGAATCACTTTAATAGTTTCTTCCGAGTAAACGAACGCGCTTTATTTTTTTTTTCGGGCAGCTTATTAATTACCTACACTGCCCGTCACAAATCGTCGATTTTTGTTTGTTATTTGAAACGATGACTCGTCGATTTGAACGATATATATTTTTTTTATTTTCAGGTTCCTGTCACTTCATTGTTTCTTGTTCCCGTACTTCAGCTTTTGTCCCAGACGGAGGTAGGAAAAAATAATGACGGGAGGACGAGAAAAGGCATCAGAAATCGTAGGAATTCGAGTGATGTAATGAAAGGGACCTATCATTATGGTCGATTGTGATTTTTACTTTGTTAAAATGACGTTTTGTACTGTTGAAATCGATACAGAGGCGCGTCGTGGGATTTTCTGTGCGTGAATTAAAATCCTCGTTTTAATTTTAACGTCGAACGATTATGTAATTTTTTTTTGTCTGTGATGATGTAAATATACGGTTTTAATATTTTTTTTGTTCGTAGAAACTGGAAAATGATAAATAGTAACTAGTCGTTTTAATCAAAAACATAATCGAAAGCAAATAGAATAGAATTTATTTGGGAATAAATTTTGTCAATAAAAAAAGTGCAATTATGAATTGATTCTACGCATAAATGAAAATTTGTAAAATAGTTATTTCAACCAAGAATTTTATAAACATATTTTGTATAGTTTATTTAGTTGTAAAAATGTGATAAATATGTAATTAAATAAAGCGCGTCGAATTGCCGCAATTAAATTTACGAATTTATTCCGATAAATTCGATGCGGTATTTATTGTTTTAATTATAGGGTGCAATGTTCATAGAATTTTTTTAACACATGGTATTTGCTCAACCATATTGCATATAGTTTTTTTTTTCATCTATTGTGTATGCCATTATTTCTTTTTTATAAAAAATTGTAAAACTTTTACTTGTTTGTAAATAAACTCTTGTTATTATAAAACTTACATTCTCCATTAACCCGTTTACTTTCATCGATTTGTAAGAATCAAAAAAATCAAAGTAAGTCACAGCCTTCCGGATGTTATAGATGCACGTTAAACTGCAATTTTATTATACCCTCCTCATTTCCCGCTTACAAAGTAAAAATTAATCGATTATAAAAACGTTGGTTATTCAATGTCTTCGTCTCATCATCGTAGGAAAACTATTTTTAACTCATCACCGAGTCTTTTGTCTTCTATTCGCGAAAAGAAAGCATAATAATTTCCCCAAGGAGCGTTGCTTTCGAGATCCCCGAAGGCAGCGGCGCGACGTCGAAACGGGAAATTCCCGACGCCCGAAAATCCATATTTCATGAGAAACGGAAAAGGAAAAACTACCCTCATCCCTTTATTTATGCGGAATATGTATTTTTTATCGAATTCGCGGAAACGGCGCGGGAATATGTACAATATTTAAAACTTTAAAACGGCCTCGTTGTAATCTAATTTTCGATATTATTCCACCGAGTTTCCCAATTACTATTCCGAAAATTGGAACTGCACCGGCGTTGCCAGATCTACATAAATTGCACCAAAACTAATTCAAGTAAATATATTTCTTAAAGAGATTATTTTAATAACCTTTTAGGGTATTTGTAACTAATTTAAGGGAGACTCTTCTCGCAAAAATTTCCAACAAATAACCATAAAAAATCTAGTAGGTAAAATACGAGTAGTATGGGAAAATCTCACCAGCAGGTGAATTGTTGGGCTTCTCCGCCCGTGTCCGAATCTCCAATTCCCGGTGAAAACTCTTCGAGCTTTTCCGGGAACACCTGATTCAATTCAGAATCGGTAACTTCTGGTCGGGTGCATAAAACCGTCGGAAAAGGGGGGGTTAACGACCCTCGAAAGGGGCCAAAGGGCGGTCCCTTTCGGCCAGAATCTTGGCCCGTTTTCTTAACGGGCGATACTAAAACGCAGGAAAAGGGGCACCCGGATCTCGGAAATCGTTCGAGAGAGAGAAAAGGGTTTTGCTCCTTTGCAGGAGGTGCGTTTCATGGCAGGAAATCAGGGGGTGTTTCGTTTGGAAATTGAGTGTTTGATTTATAAAACAAAGGGTTTTCAAAAAATTTCTCTTTCAATTAATTCCGGTTCGATATTAGTGCATTTCGCGGTTTCATTTGGACGAGAGCTTTTAAAAATAACACGCTATTCATAAATGGCTGGTCCTCATCAATTGGCTTTTAAAAGGAACGAAAAAAAAAACCGTTATTTCATCGCTGCTAAACAATAGGCTCGATCATTTGTTCTCGCTTCCATTACCGAATATTAAAAATTCAGTATAATGTCAGAAGTCTTGTGAAAAATTGCGAAAAAATGCGTCGATGGAGTTTTTCACGTTATCGAATATTAATAATGTGAAAAACCTCACTCTGAGTGCGCTGTATTCAATACAATATCGATCATATGATATTTGAATTTTTAGACTTTTAGACAAACTGGAAAACTGATTTTTTTTTTCAAATAATAGTGCAGATATCTAGGCAAGTGACCCATTTTTAGCGTGTTTCATCCCATTTTCCCTCGTTTACATCGACTTGACTGCTTCATTTTATAAAAAGGGTTTATCCCGACGATTTCATCGAGACGGGAAAGGAAGTTTTTATGTTAAAATATATCGCTAGTATCGATACGAAACTTTTTTTATATGCCTTTTTCGAATTCAATTGGCGCTCTTTAGCATAAAGAAGAGACCTTTAGCAAAACGCCAAAATACATATCTTTTTATCGCAATATATCAAATTGAAATATAAAATAAATTTTATTCAGATATACCTGCTACCTATAATAGTTTCCAAGGAAATTAATTGTGTAGTAAAAAGCTCTTTCGTCGAGCTTTCGACAGAAAGCTTTCCGCATTCGGCACTCCGGGCGATTGACGAAATTAAAGTTTTATTGGGAATATCATCCCGAACGCCCAGCGTAAATCTTTTATCAGACCTAACACCATTACTCGAGCCTTATCTAAGGGATAGATTGGTAATTTATAGAAGAGATAAAAGTTACTTCACCTCGTACACTTTCGGTCCATATAACAAAGACTTTTCCTCACAGTAAATTAGACAAAAGACGTGACTGGATTGAGAAAAGAAAACTGGTTGTTTCTACAAGATCGATATTATACTTTATACTGATGAACAGAATGGGGTAGGTACAGGAATTTCGTTTAGTTAAATAACATTAACAGAATTCCTTTCGGAGATAGATCAGTAACTAGTTAAACAAAACCAATGTTAGAGAATTGCATTTAGAGAATGTTTAGAATGTAATAAACTGTATTTTATTATTAAGGATTAAGTGTAACATGCGTATACTCAAAGTATATTCAACAGGTTCCTACACTCTCGCGCCATCTGTTGAATAAATTTTCTATCAATATAACCGGCGATTAGTGAACTACTTACTCAAATAACAGCAACACGTGTTTCAAGGTTCTGACACTTTGTAAAGCAGAAATGAGAGAAGTTTGTTTGGAATTATTGGAGTGTAATGTTTTGGTAAATATTCGTTTATTGGGGTAAGTTTCTTTTTCTATAAAACCGTTTGTATTTGCTGTTTACTCGAAATTGTTTTGTTAATAATATTTAACGGTTCCTTTTATTTAATTTGGAGGTTTTTTCAAGGTAATAACTGAATGTTAGGTTATTGAGAATTTTCCCGCCTTATTTCTAAACGTATCTGTATAAAGGAGAGGGATAAGTCAATTTTATTATACCATTAATTATCGAATTTTCTAATTTTTAAAGGGTGTCCTGTGTACATTTAATTCTCTGAAATACACCAAATTTTGTAAGGACGAATACTTAAAATGTTAAAATTACGAATTATGTTGTAAAATAATTGAAATTTTATATGAAATTTAAATGCAAAAATTTCTTGTATTTATAGCCACGTCTCGAAACCTCCTTTGGAATCTTCCTTCGAGATTTCTTCTCTAACTTATATCATTATCGTCTACTTGAAGAATAAATCATCCTCGAGAACAACATCCATAAATACTATTTAACTCGCCTTAATTTGAATTACATTCCTAACTTAAGGACATACCTTACAAGAAACCCTTGTGGAGGGTTAATAAATGCGGACAGTAATCCTTAATTTGTATCACAGTCTCCCTTAAGGATATCCCGAGCCTTCCGACTTGCAAATAAAGATACCAGTCTCATATTAATTTGCATTGCAGTCTCCTTTCCCAATGTTATAAGTACGAGCCCTTAAATTTAGATCCTCTTCAGTGGTATAATTTATAATTTGTAGATAACCAGAATTATTTCCTATTTTTATCTAAAGAAAAGATATTTTCTCCGGCACATCCGCTTTTCTCAAGCCACATCTTCGATCAATAACGCTTCGTGTTCTTCCAGTAAATTGTACATCCAATTATATACAAGTAGGTATTCGAAAAATACGAACCGTTTCATTCCAAATTCAAATAATATTCCACATCTCGTCTGTCCAAATTTCCGGCGTATTAACGGACCCGCTTCGGTTTCAGATATCGCCATTAATAATCCGCCGTGATGGATTTAAAATTGACGAAGACAATGCCTTGCAGATCGGCCCAAATCCAAAGTCTCTACGAAGTGTTCGCGTCCGGCGATCTCGGACTGCAAATCGAAAGCGTTTTCGTACAAGGGGGTCCCAGTACCGGGAAATCGTCGATAGTGAAATCCCTGCTCGAGGAAATCCGCGTCGATCACGCCGTCATAAATCTCGTCGAGTGCTATTCGTCGAAGGTGTTGTTCGAGAATATTTTGAACAAGATATCCGGACACGAATTGGATCCCTTAGAACCCGCGCCTTACGCTCGATGCGACAACATGATGGAGTTTCTGTACAACGTGGAAAAACTGAACGTGACCGGGAAATTGGACGGATCGGTGTTGGTGTTGGATAACGCCGAAGAAATGGTCCAGATGGATTTTAATTTGTTGCCGTGTTTCCTGCGATTGAGATCGCTGACGCGCGTTAGAATGTCTGTCGTGCTTATTTCGGAGTTGACGTTCGATAAGTTTTTCTCGAGGAACGGCTACGTGGAAATCGTAACGGTGCATTTTCCGCAATACGGCATGGACGAGCTGCTGGAAATTCTCTCGTTAGATTACGGCTATTGCAAGGGGCTCGTTTCCAGCCACTTTAATAAATCGTTGGAGTTTGACGTCGGATTTTTCGGGAATTACACCAACTTGTTTCTATCGGTGTTTTATAGATCTTGTAAAGACCTTTCGGAACTTCGCTACATGTCGAGAATGAATTTCATCAAATACTGCGAACCCGTTATGAATAACCAATACAAACTCGAAGATTCGATGGCTCTGTGGCGACATTTTTCGCCGATATTAAAATCTTCTTTGGAAAATCTCTACTTGAGATTAGACACTACAAACACCGTCAACGAAAAATCCCTTCCCGCTCCGACTTTAGAGTTACCTTTTTACGGTAAATACCTTTTAATAGCGGCTTATTTGGCTAGTTACAATCCCGCCAAGGACGACAAAAGGCTGTTTATGAAGTGCCACGGCAAACAAAAAAAGAAATTAAAAGACATCAAATTAAAAAGTAAAATCAGCGAAAAATTAAACACCCAACTCGGACCAAAGCCCTTTGTTTTCGACAGATTATTGGCAATTTTTTACTCCATTTTAGACGAGAAGGACAATAAAATGGGCTTTAACAACAACGTGCTCGTCCAAATTTCCAGTCTAATCGAATTGAGATTATTATCTTTGGTAAACGACTGTTGTTTTTTAGACGGTCAAAAATACAAATGTAACGTTAGTTTCGATTTTATAAATGTCGTTTCGAAATCTGTCGGATTAGATATTAGAAAGTACTTGAGCGATTTCAGCCATATGTAATTATAAATTAATGTTTCAGTAATATATTTCCATTTTAATATACTTTAATACTTTAATATACTTTAATATACAAGAAGAAGAAAAAGAAGTGATGTATACATCAGTATTTATTTATCTAAAAAGAATTGTTCGTCGTGTCTTTGTCGTGATAATGTGAATCATCTTTAGCGTAATTTATTTATCTATAAGTTTGTGAGCGAATGAGCGACAGTGACTAAAATTTCATTATCATCGCCCGTTTGCTTAGGCATCGTTATTAAATTGTACGGTCTCTTCATTCATCACGTCGGAATGTTCACGCCGAAAGTTAACCGTATTGGGGGATATACATACATTACTAACAACGCTTTTAATTAAATTAATAATTATTACGAAAGTTTATTCGATTTGTTGATGTCGTTTTATATGCCCTATAAGGGCAAACGTGATGATTTATAGCGGGCAAACTAATTTTTTTGTATCGCTTTTTCGGCCATCGCTAATTGAAAATTCCGGAAATGTAAATAAATCGATAACACCGCAGGGGATCGGAACCTCAAAGGGCGAGAAAAAAATGTATATACTTCGAGCTACACGAAAACCAAATGAATTTTTTATAACCGATATATGAATAGGACAGATTTAACGAATTCTAATCGAATTTTCTGTCGATCGTTCATTGACATTCCAGTTGAGCTTCATCGAATTATACATCTCCGCTGTTGGTTATCTACATGATCTGACTTGTTCGTCGTTAATTCGATATACCAAGCCATCAAATTAACGTCTGTTGTAATCAAACCCGTTGGACAATTGCCATCGTTTAGCACAAATTAATCCTGTAAGGGTTATTGTTGCTCGAAACAGTTTTATTATACGCGCTTCGAGTTTCCTTCTAAACGTCTGTGGGGCGTTCTGTTTAAAAAATATCGCGCCCCTATCTAACCTGAGATGTATTTTTTTTATGAATCCCTTCGGGCTATTAATGTTCCGGTTCGCCCATAAGAAAAGCAAGTGAAAGTGTCTCGTGTAATCAGAAGACCCAATAGAGAAAAATTTCGCATACTGAGAGAGTTTTATACGCCATATCTGAATTTTCTAATTTAAATTTGATATCGTCCTTTTAGCCAGTTTTCTCTTCCATCGCTCCGTTCTGGAAGAAGCCCAACGAAAGCGAAAAGCTTTCGGAACAATTAGGCAGCGCTTCTCTTCGCCTGGAAGCCGACGTAATTAATGATTTGTTAATGGATTCAATTAGGAATATTAAACGGGGAAGCCTTCGGTTTTAACGGCAATCAAAGTGACCGCCTTAAGGAACATTTTCCTCCAGCTTCGACAATTTTTCAAACTCGACAATTTCCAGCAAATAACGCAGAAACTTGCCGAGATTTGCAACTGTTCCTCTATACATCTAAAGACGAAGGAGAGGTCGACGTCCGGATGCGATAGAAGTCTTGAAGTGGTTTCAAATATGTGCGGATTCGCTTCGGACACGAAACCGCATTCGACTCTGGTCGGGAAATGTAAATATACGTTAACGTTAGCGAATTCGCTTCGATAATTTTTGGAAAACATTGGAAACCGATCGTGGTGGAGCCGGAAGGAAACGACACGAGCTATGAGTTAAGTTTCTTCGATGTAGTAGTTTGAAAGGTCTTTAAAAAGTTTATGATTCCTCTAGCCATCTATACAGAGGTAGATTGTTGTACTATATCTTGATCTTCATCTGCTCTTATTTTATTGGTAACTCTCTATAGTTTAAGAGAGGTTCTAAATCTTCTAAATTGGTCTGTTATCTTCCAATTCCCACCGATTTTCTTCCTAATCCTCCTGCACTTTAACTAATTATTATTTTAGTGGCAAATGAACCAATTCCTGCATGACTTCGAGCAATCGACATGCAACTTATAATGCACAAATCACGACCAAAGTCATAGCGGTTTTATTCAGATAAGATCCATCGAAATAAGCGCGTTTCCGTAGATCAAAACATCAAAGTACACCAATCCTCCGAATCAAACGGGCCGGGGGATTTTTATGAAAGAGAACCCGCTACCCGTCCGGGTATCGATAACCCTTCGCGTCGTTCCATTCAATAACAATTCCTGCGGCATTTGCATCAGTGCCGATAGTAAGTATCCGATTCGAATGGGGTAAAAAAAAAACAGAGAGAGAGAGAGAGAGAGAGGCGCAAGGGTAGAAAGTTTGGCGCCGGCGCCGTGACGTCTATCGATTTGGCAGCCGCGGGGCCGCCGCTTTTGCAGAGGAGCCTCTTCCTGTGACCTCGGTTCGGCTCGGAGCCCGCAGTCGAGATATTCGCTTTCGCGCGACACGTGTGTGCATTTGCAGGGGGGGCGATTTTCCGGGGGCCCACACCGGATTCGACGATTCGCGTGCAGGAGGATTTTTTTTTTCGTCCTCGATGAGGCCGCGCGTTCGACCGGCAGGAGACTCGCAGGAGTTCGAAAGGCGCGGGACGTTCGCGAGCTCTTAGGACGATCCGTTGATTATATTTTTTTTTTCGTTCTGGTGTTATTGAATGGTAAAATCCGCAGATTGTTCGTTAGGAAATTAGTAAGTTTATTGCTTAGATGGTCGACGTGGAGTTTTCTCATATTCGCCCAATTTTATCGCTATATAAAACTCCTATTATAAACGAATAGTATCTAGATATATCTACTGTAGAATCGAGATAGTTGTACTTGTATAATTTGTTACATAGAAAGGTAGAGAGAAAGGAACAGGAGCACTTATTACGTAACCTTATTTACTTTACCTATTAGTATACATCAAACAAGGGAAAGTAATCCTTTCTGTATAGGGAAAGGTAAATGAGCTAGGCACACACACACACACACATAAGTATACAAACATAACTGAATCTCAACGTAATACTATAAAGGTTCTACCGTTACCCCATTATAATCTAATAAATTTTATTTCAAAGTACCTATATGCTTGGCATAAAGTTCCGTTTATACCTCCTGTACCTACGTTATGAAATTCAATTAAAAGATAATTATAAAGATTCCCTTAGGTATTAGTAATTTAGAGTAGTTCCAATTAATGATTGTTCATTTGGCATTCTGGTCACATTTACGCGATTTTTTATTTCGTTTCTTCGCTCGCGAATCAACTCGTTCGTTAGATAATTCGTACAAAGGGCCCTAATTTCGCCTGCGATGCTCGAAGGAATTCTCTAAGATGCTTTTGTCAGCGAAGAATTCCTCTTGTTTTAGAGGGGTTTCTACAAATTAGATTCGGGTTTTTTTTATTCGTTCGATTTTTTTCAGATTGAAGTTTCAAATTTTCGTTTTATATTCTCATTGCGTGATGTGTTTATGGTAGAATTCAAAGTGGCGTGCGTAAGAATATATCGATTTAGTGCAAGTAATTAAAGTAAATGAGTGCAATTAGCTATAAATAATTTTCACATATTTGCATAGGTATTTCATTTTTCTAAAATGTAATCGAAAAGGTATCTACGCAATTCGTAAATCACTCAAACGACGATGTAATAAATTTACCAAACAAAAAATATACACCTATATAAATAAAAAAAGCAATTTCTATCAAGTCCCCAACGAATTGCCTTTGCTCGAATATTATACGGTTGTAAAATCGGGAAAAAAATCTGATTTACAAATCGCTTTCCGATGCAATTACTCCTGTACGTTTTCTTCTTTTTCTTCGCATACAAAAGCCGGGATTTTCTTCTCCTTATGTATATATTTTTTGCACCTCATTTACATACATTTGCATGTCGCCTATGCTTGACAAAGTTCCAAGTCAAGTAAATAAAGTTTCCCAACGAAAAGCGCCAGCGAAAATCCTCATCGAACAAAACAAAATATCCGCAAGGAATTTTCTTAAGGGAAAATCTCGAGCAGATGCAATTCCAATGATTAAAATAGAGACCACCGCATACGAAGAAAGACATTTTGGGCTTTTTTAATCATTAAATAAAACAGAATTTTATTCAATTATCGTTAAATTTGGATTAGGTCGAAGGCGAGTAAGCAAAAAGACTATAATTCAATTAGGTTTACGCCGAAACCGCATCAGCTGTTGCAAAACCGATTTTAACTCTTTAATTATGCAGCTGTGGGAACATCTTTAATGGACGGTTAATTACAATGCCCCGAGAGAGCAAAAGCGCTCGAATTATCAAACACACCACCGTTCAAATTAATAGCGAAATTTATTTTCCTAATGCATTACGGAATATTTCGCCGGCTCGTTTTCGCAATTTAAATTGTAAATATTTAACAAAAATAAACAATTGTAATTCGCTAGCTGGAAGCCTTTAATGCGAGGCTTGGTAAAACTGAAACCTGAAGTTGATACAAGAAAGTTTCCACGATAAAAACCCGCCCGGAGATTTATTTCCTCGGAGGTTTTTAAATGACGTTGACAAATGAAACTGCGAATGTCACGCCCCGGAACTTTTCCACGGAATAAACGATACACATTATATACCTATAGCCCAGAAGAAAGAGAAGAAGAAGAAGAATAAGAAGAAAAGCGCACCTACATTGTAATTTACACTTTAATAGATTGGTAGTATTGTTTAAAATCGTGTTGATTCGGTTCATCGTTGGTGTATAACAATGTTATTGGGGAAGTGAGTTTTTTTTTCGAATGGATTTTCCGAATAAACTCGACAATTATTGTTCTATTAGGCGAACTTTTTTTATTTAAACAAAGCTTTATATTGGTTTTACTCGCCGCGTTTGTATTACGTATGGTGTTATCGATTAAACAGAACGTCCGCAATTCCTGCATTTATTCTTCGCCTATTTCAAATATGAAAGCGGATTTAATTTACAGCGGAATTTCTAGTTAAACAGCCAACAGTCCATTCGTCAAGTTTTCAACTCTCCCGTTAAAATTACCGGAGCGTATAACTCCGTTCTATTTACCTCTTCTATTTAATACGGAAAGTATTTAAAAAAATTATATGTATAGTCTAGTCGAGAATATGTTCAATATTGGTAACACACTGATTGATTGACATTGAATTCAAGTTGACAACTGTTGAACATTTTTTGACAAATTGTAACCAACTTAATTTATGATTAAATCGAGCGATTGGAGATACGTCGATTTCCTTTCGGGAATTATTCCCTCGATGTAACCAGAATTAATTATACCCCATAGATATAGATGAGGCGTTCTAACGCAAAGGGGGTGAGTCCGGGTAACCGTAACTATACCTTCGGTGTTTGTTCCGGGTGTTCCGGGCTCGTTTTCCTCGACAGATAAACGCTTTTCCTTATTGCACGTCCTCGTAAATAAATTATAATGGGTGCTTTCGAGACGCTCTCGCGTCGCCCAGGGCTCATTCAAACTTGAATTATTATTTTTTATTAAGTCTTACGAGACTTTATGAAAACTTTTGATTGTGTTGTACTCTTGATTTTCTTGAGAATTTTCCAATTATTCGTGAAAACTAAATGGAAGCCCAATGGAATAAATACGACTACAGCAAACATAAATCGTTTGGAGATTGTATGGAGGTTCGGGTTTTAACCGAAAACAACAAATTATACTCTAATAGGTTTTACCGGAGAGTTTCGCTCTAGCTAGACGATTAATTTCCGAAAAGTTTCTATAGAGCAAATCGAACGGAACGGATTTCTTTTTGAACTCGTAGAAAACATCGGCGTCAATTGAAAAAGCTCGACGAAGCAATTTTGTGAAATTTCACAAGAGAAAAATAAGTAGTTTTCCAAGATTTTCAAGTATATTTGTTACAACTAAAAACCCTAACGTGATTAATAGAAATTTCTAGTAATTAGATTTCTTTTTCATTTATATTAGTTTTCATCTATTGTTCTATTGATGGAATTTGAATAAAAGGATCGGTTTTTTTTTCTATGCGTTCGCGCCTCGGAAAACAAACATTCTCATTTTCACGAGTTAGAAAATCGTTACTAAAGAGTGTAAAGAGAAACTCTAGTAATATTTGCTCGGCCTAAATTGTATTGTGTACTTAGGATTGATGGGGCATTCCAGAGGGATTTTCATAAATCCCCAAAGTCAATAAAGCAATTATCGATTTGAAATGGAGTGTTCTCGATTCGACCAAGTGGAAAAACAATATTTCGCGCGAAAAATCATTTAGTAGATTAGCGAGTCAGTAAATTTCCATCCCGATATTATTATATGATGGAAAAGAAAAGACGAATCGACGATCGTAAAACGCGGAGTAGATAATAACTCGGGCGATAAATTCGCATCGGAAAAATCGGCATAATCCTCGCAGGAGGCATTTTTCCGATAGATTTCAGCAGGTGGCCGTGAAGGTTTTATAAAATAAACGACTGTCGGTCGAATAGGAGTTGCCTCTAACTTTACGAATAGCCCGCTATTATTCACTTGCTCTCACCTTTCTACCGATAAATATTCGTTTAGTATATTCATGGTGAATGCCAAAAATACTTTTGCAATTCTCTCTAGTTTACGACGTATATTATTAAACAAGTCACTACATGTAATACATTATACAACGAATTTATGACGAGCAAACCTGCCTGATTTGAACGATCAAAAAATTATATAAATATTTTTAACCTCCATTTACAGAATCTTAATGTTTTGGAATTTCTCTCATCGCGAAGGAGGAAGCACTTTGAAAAGCGAAAAGTTGCCGAGGAAACTTTATTAAAGCGCTAAACTTGCAATTTGTGTTTCGGGAAGTTTCGCCATCGGGAAACTCTGAGCTACTTCATTTTTATATCACAATAGTTTTCTATTTAACTTTAGGTTACGCGATTGTTTAATTAAAATACCGGTTAGGTACCTATCCAAACATTTCCCGTTTTTTATCATATTTACCTTTACAACAAAGTTGAAATTACTAAAACTCGCAATCTACTCGAAAGAAGTTCTACGTCTATGAAACTTATTGGATTATTGACAATTCGAGGATCCCGTTTAGGGCCATTAGCGAGCCATTCAAGGCCCGAATTTGAGGTGGTAGTAAATTCAAAAGGTACCTTAACGTGTTAGGCTTCAATTACAAGATAATTTCGGCGCCAACGAACCCCCGTCGACTTGATAGCTTAATTAAACCAATTAAAAGTTCCATTCGATTCCGCATTTCCGTTGAATATACTATCTCGAATTTGGTTCGTTATACGAGGATTCGGATGTAAATAATTTCTAATAAATGGGGTTACCGAATGTAACTAAACTTTGTATTACAAATTTACTCCTCTATATATAGCATACAGGAGGCTCCCGAATTGCGTGCGGATAAATAAAAATTTGCATTATTGAAACAAATCTTTGGCCCCGACGAATCTACATACCTACGCCCTTTAATCACTTATTCAAAAGTCCGAGGGTTAAGTCACAATTCAACAAGTATACCCGATAAATAAATTATTCATTTCTTTCACCATTAAATATACGCAACGAAGGTAGACGGGCGATAATTTGTTACCATGTAAAAACACGCTAAAACAGGAAGGATTTACTCAAAAAAAAAAAAAAAACACCTGAATAAATAATTACAGGTACTTTGGTTGAAACTTTTACAAACCTGTTGATTTCTGCCGGACACGTTT